ACAGTACTTTTGAAAATGCATCTGCATTAATTGGCAGAGCTATGATAATGTGGCCAAGATGACGTGTAACTTTTTCAGCAGTATATCCAGTACATCCAGCTTTAAAATTTCAATCATAATACTTTCAGATTGGAATAAACGACGAGCTGTATTTCCATCATTGGATGTCCCAGAATCACCAAGTCTGGTCACATCAATAATTAATATATGCCTGCCCTTTTTGGTTATCCATATCGTAGGCAAGATGAAGACAACATTCTACTGTTCTAATCCATGCATGTAGTGATGACAAGCCATACTGTAGACCAGAGTAGTTTGCATTTTCATTTTTTGCTACCATTTTTTTAATATTGTTTATCCTTTTTAATATGCTTCCACACACTAAGCAGGACTGTGATGGTCTCGACTGATAAGGCTCTTGCCACCACCATCTACCATAGTTATTTCAATGATATGCAGCATGCTGATGTTATTCCATTAAGTTAGTTCAAGATTTACATTTCTAATAAATGACTCTTTGGCTATTAATACATCTGTTGTTTCTTTAATAAACTTAAAACACAGTGGACAACAGTTCAATGTTGAAGATGGCTTATGGTTGTACCAAATTATTTGTTTACAGCCATCAACAACACAAGATAATTTAAGTGGAACAAGGCTTGTGAGAAATTGACTTTGTTCACTTTTAAAGTGTCTTTCACCATCAGTTGTATTCTGCTTGTATATGGACTGCCTGGCGCTACCATCAAATCCAATTTTGTGTCGCAATGTAAGTCACAATCCAGTAAAATAGCTAAAGCTTTGTATGAGAATACGGTGTTGCCACTGAGCAAGACATATCTGACTCAGCTTTGAGCATTTGACCTAGAAGTTGTGCATCTTTTGGCCTGTGACTTTTAGTTTGTAACTTAAATAGCTTAAAAGTTGCTCATGAGCTTTAGATTTAAAAATGATTATATTATTTTCACGTAAAAATATGTGAATATCCAATTTTGTGATCACCATGTCTGAAAATTATTAAAATAAAATAAAAAATAGCTCGGCTTTTTTTTTAAATTTGGCACATTTAAATAATGAAATAAAACTTTTATGTTTTGCCAATTCTATTATTCATTTATTACAGCTTAAAATGACATTACCATTGATGACTGTGGCTTAGTATTACGTTTTAAATGTTAAAATGTAATGAAATAGCAATCAATACTGTTGTTATGCAAAAATAATTTAAGAAATTAAGTATACATAGTAAACAATTAAAATTATGACTTTCATAAGAAGTGTAAATTTTATTTTAATACACGTATTTAATATAATGTGCATAGTAGGAACAAAATATTGTTAAAATAACAATAATGTAAAAATAAGTTGTTGCTATGTAAAATTTGGTACCATAGCAACAAAGTTGTACTCAATGTGTAGCTTGAATACGTCTTTCTACGTCCAAACAACCAAGTGTTTTGGCTTCCTTACATGTAAAAGTACAGTTTATGTCCATTTATTTGCTGCCCTAACCCACCCTTAAAAAGATGCAAACTTTTGTGTTATACCTATTCTAATATTCATTTATTACACCTTAAAAAGACATTAGCATCCATTACTGTGGTTAAGTATTATTTTTTAAATGTTAAATTGTAATAAAATAGCATTCAATACTAGGGATTGCAAATCTGGATTTTGGAATTTCAGAATTCCCATATTCATTTGTTTTTATTAAGTTTGAAATTCCGGAATATTCCCGAATTAATAGAATAGGTATAACACAAAAGAATAGGTATAACACAAAAGTTTCTATTTAGAAAGAAACTCAATTCCGGATAATTCGGACTTTAATATTGTTAGCTTTTTTCGAATTCAAACTTCACATTTTGTTTTTATTGAAACAACAACGAAACAATTTTATTGTGAAATTTTGAACAAGCAGGTTGCGTGAGTTTACACTAGTTTTAATAATATTTATTATATAACATTTATTAATAAGCCCAGTTCAAAGCTTATAAGTAAAGTTTTATTGGTTTTAACGTTGCATATATTTACTATGCATACTTAATTTTAATCTCTAAGATGTCGCATCAGCAAGAAGAAATTTTTGTAGATGTATCCGAAGAGAACTCACCAAACTTGGTGTGAAATTATTTTTTACGAGGGACAAAAAATCAAGTGGCGAAATGCATACAGTGTAAGCAGATTTTAAAGATATAGGGTGGATGTACGACACCAATGCATACCAATTTGCAAACAAAGCACAACAAGGTATTAAACAAACGAAAATTTGATAACTATTCAAGTGTTGTTGATGCTGTAAATTTAAATAGAAAGAGCAAATCTTTAAAAGATTTTTATAGTTCAAAAGTAGACGAAAGTTTTGCTGCAGTAATATCTAGAATGGTCACCTCAGACGGGTTATCGTTTCAATAATGCGTGGATTTAATGTTCCCAAATCACCCGCTAGTATACAGAAGGTTGTAATGGACTTCAACGAAAAAGTTCATTAGTCAATAGTTGCAGAAATAATTTCCCAAAAAAAGAAGAAGGTATTTTTCTGTGTCACACTTGACGAGTGGACTCGTAATCGGCGTTTTATGAATATTGACATTCATGGATCAGGATGTCATGTTTGGAATTTGGAGCTGTCTCGTATTAATCGCCAATTTGCGGTTGAGGGTTGTGTAAAGTTGTTGGAAAAGAAGCTTGAAACTTAAATATTCAAAATAATATTTTGTGCATCGTGCCTCAACGATGCAAAAAGCGGGTAGATTGCTACCATGTGAACAAGTTTTATGTTTTGCCTATGCAATTCAAATTGCTATAGTGAATTATAATTTTATAAAAAGCAAACTGAGATAGAGGAAGAGGCATATAAAAGTGAAAGTAAATTTTGAATCCGATGAAGAAAATCTTACTGATGACAAAGATGATTAAAATGGAATGCGGATAGACGTGGGAAAAGATATAAAATGAACCATCAAAGCATATTTTGTTGAACCATCAAATCATATTTTGTTGAATCATCAAATTATATTTTGTTGAACCATTAAATCATGTTTTGTGTATAAAAACTAGTATGGATATCTTAGGAGCTTTTATAGATTCATTGAGTATTTTTAACAACCTGTATGTAGTATGGTCAATAATGCTCTGTAAATCAACTGAGGCTGGATAATCAGTAGTGTATATTCCAAAATAACGTATGCATAATCCCTTACTATAAATTGGATACAATTAGTTTCATTTAGAAACTGCTTCAACACAAATTATTTGGTAATCGGCTATACTAAGTCTGCAGTCCGATCAAAACTAATGCTTTCTCTCCAGTAAACATTGTTGTTGAATTAACTGAACCATCTTTCTCTTATTTTAATATTTGCTTCACAACCTTAAGTGTAAAAATGTAAATTTGAACAGTGAAATTGAATAGTGGATTGTATCTATACAATCCATTAAGAAAATTTATCACCCGTTATATTTTAAATTTTTTTTTCAATAAACAAGATGAATTAAAAATGGCTAAAGCATAGATGATACCTTAGCATCGCTGATGTACCTTAGCATCGCTGATGTACCTTAGCATCGCTGATACCTTAGCATCGCTGATGTACCTTAGCATCGCTGATGTACCTTAGCATCGCTAAACCTTTTTTCCTCTATTAGTTTTCCTCTCTTTCGACAGCAATGTTTTTTTTATCTGCTTTCCTCTTCTTTGTTTTATCAAAAGCTTGGGTAAATGGTATGGAAAATGCACCTGGTGGTCTTAAATTAAAATATCAGATGATTGTGTTTAGTATAAACACTTTCTAAAACATTATTAAATAGTAAAAAACATCATGAGTCCATTACTTTGAATTTTATGAAATATTATACCTAAACTGTGAGAAAAAGCAGGAAAAGCCAAGCCCGAGTTTTGGTTCTTGTCTAGTTTATCTGTTTCAAAATTTGCATTGCTTGTTTTTTTTTCTAACCAGATTTTGTAATGTAACTCAAATCTATCCTTGTGTCTGTTTACTGTATTCTATTCTTTGTTAAATTGTTTAGTAAATAATTTGAAGTCAGCGAGCCCTGCAACTTTGTAAGCATCAGGGTTGGTAACTAATTTGATTAAGTTATTTTTTGAAGCATGACTTCAACTTCGAGTAATTTCCTTATTTTTCATAATTAGTGGTACAATGAAATTTCAATTTGAAAATATAATTATAGTTTTTTAAAGTTTTTAAATAGTATTCGTATTTTAGATAATCAAAAACATAATCGAAAATTAACTGAAATAAGTTTAAGTTTATAAATAAAAAAAAACCACATTACTTTATTAGTGGAACAGCATTAAATTTTATTGTTATAACAACCCCCTCAAATTGAGGGGGGTTTAAACTTTAAATGGTCATAATTTTTGAACGCTAAAATATTTTACTATGAAACTTAAAATTTATCGTTGAATATAAGTCTAGTTGAGAATATTACAAAAAATATTTCATCAACTTGTTGCTCTCACGTTTGAGGCAGGGAGGCAAAATATTTGGGGCTTTTTTGTTCCCAGCCTCCAATCATAGCAATTTTTTGCAAAGCATCCTTATTTGACATAAGTATAAACATATAAATGTTTGGAGTTTGCTCTATGTCTGGAAGTTAGTTGTATATACAATGACAATAATCATTGTATACACAAAGGCAAAAAGTGTTATTTAACTTTTATTGTTATCTTATGTTATAACATTGTATACAAGATAACAATATTATCATTGTATATTCTATGACAATAAAATATGTATGCCTTAATAATAAGAAAAAGCATTTTAAAAGAATAACATCTAGTCAAATTCTATATTTAAAATGTATAATTTTTCATTTGTTTGGTTGATTGTTGTTATATTTAATGACTCTTTCTTTCTATTTTTGGTGGTATTTGTTTTTGTTATAGTAACATATAAACATGTAAAAGTCAAGGTGTTGATTTAATCTAACCTAACTAGTGCTCTTCATTTATTTTTTTAAGTTATGTACAAAAAAAATAAATCGTTAAAATTTTTAGTAAAAAAAAATCAATTTACAAAATAAAAATGTTGAGTATTTATAACTGAGCCAAAATCATTTTTCGACTATCTAATTACCGATTGGATTAACAATTAATGGAATGCATGCCAGTTGTAACTTGTCGTGAATATTTCGAGCTATAATTTCTAATTCATCTCTTTCCAGTTCTTCAATTAAAATTAATGATGCTTTTACTAAACGATTTTCAATAACCTTCCCGCTAAAATGAGGATCTGGATTAATTGTTCGCTTTGGTGGTCCAAAAGGTAACTCATTTTCCTTTTTACTGTTTAATATGCTAAACTTATCAAATGTAGGCAATGGGTCAGGTCTTATAGGTTCTTTTCTTTTATCAACTTCATCATTTAATGAACTTTTGTTATGCAAACTTTCGTTTTTGTTAATTTCCGTAGTGTTAAAGTTAGTAATACTTATGTTGCCGCTGATTTTAACACTTTCTACGAGCTTTCTTCCTTCTCCTTCTTCTGCATACTTTTTCATTATTCCAATCTTTTCTTGGATACTTAAGACCTTTTCATTTGTTGTATGATTTTTATTTTTAATTAATTTAGATTGTAATGGTAGTGATGAAGAATCAAAAAAAGAAATATCATTTTTTTCATCGTTTTTCTCGTTTTCTGTTCTTTTATAAGAAGTTTTGTAATAATGTAAATAACGCTCCCCTTCTCGGAAATAATCGTTTCTCATTTTTTCAATAAGAGCGTGATTTAAATTTTGAGTTGATAAAAAATTTGAGCCGCTTCTCCACCCTCTTAGTTCATTGACACCATCTCCTATAATATTTATCCACATTTTTGCTGACCATAACTCGCCTTTACTTACAAGAGTTATTCCACTTAACACTTTAGGCTCCATTTCCCCAAGCCAACCAGTGTATGGAGAGATTTCATGATTGTAATAGAAAATTGCGCTTCCTGGTTTTGGTTTTATTACCAAGTTATTTTGACTACTAGAAGGAACTTTCTCGCATTTCTTGATTGTGTCTTGTTTGAGATCCTATTGCACAATAAACTGTAATAGTGAATATTCAAATAAATAGAGTATTATAGTTACGTATTATTAAAGTTGTTTCTATCATCATGTTATAATATTTTATTTAACAAAAAAAAGTTTTTCCTCTTACGTTCCAAGAAAAAGTATGGTTGTCTGCCAACGGAAATACAATTTCTCCACCGGATTCGGCATCCTTTAAAAATATTCTCATTGTCAAATATCTAAATAAGGTAGTTTAAAATATATTAATAATTAGTTTTTAAACCATTTTAATCATAAATATACGCTATAATACAAAAACAACTTGTACAAAATATCAAAATTGTGTTTTCATATTGGCAGAACACACATCTTCCCTTCACCTGCACATACGACAGTTTTTTTTCCCGTAAACACAACACGGCTGATTATCAAGGTTGTTTGAAGAATCATACTGACAATGCGAAAAAGAGCCGATCTCGTTTGTTGTCACCTAAAGAGTGATTAGTACTTAATGTTACCTTTTAAAAGCATACTGATGAAAAATAAAATCTACTTGGGCAACTGCAGTACCTGTAATGGTTCACTTTCTGAAATTAATTCAGTTGGAATTCCAGTTAAATGCGAAATTCTATACAAATAAATACTTTCAATTAGCTAAATTTAAAAAAATTAAAACTAATATATATATATATATATATATATATATATATATATATATATATATATATATATATATATTATTGTAACAATACAAATAAACTGTTAATATTTATAGTAAATTATATATATTTACAAGTAAAATTATTTGAAATCAAGAATTTAATAATTTTTATTTGCATGAAATTTTGGTCACATGGATTTGTAGTTGAAGAAATGTAGAGTCCAATTTTTTTTGTTATTAAAGTAGTTTGCTTCATGCATTTTCTATGAACTTGCCAAATTTCAACGAAAAATAATTATAAGCAATTAGTCTAATTAGTGTTTGACTTTAGGTACCTAATTTCGCTTTTTCTGTTGTTTTTTTTTTGGTAAGCGAAATCCGGGTGGGGCCGAAATCCGGATAAAGGGGCGATGTTTAATTAAAGTTTTATTAAACATGGTTTTACAAATTAAAAGTATATATAATTTTTTTATATTTATAAAATTGGTAAATGTTGTTCAAAGTAAATTTATTTATTTAGGTTAGTTATCTTGGTGTCATTGGTGGTGCCAACATTAAATATATATCAAGGAGTATTAACAGCTTTGATAACTAATGTTTTAGCTAGTGAATTAAATTTCATGGGACATGGGAAAAAAACTTTTCTGTCCTTATGATAAGAAAAATTATCAATGGTAATTATGAAACATTTTTTTACATTTTTTATGCAATTTAAAGATTGCAATCTTTAAATTGCATTTTTTATGCAACTTAAAGGTTCCATAAAAAATGTAAAAATTTTTTATACCATTTTTTATAAATTTAAATATATGCATAATGCCTTAATTTCTGTTTCAGCCAACAAAACTTGACAGACCTTCCTACGCCAGTGTCTAGATGTATTAAAAATTTAAATTAAAAAAGATTATGCTACAATGACTGTTTTATATTGATTACTTGTTTAACCAATTTTCAATAGTTATGTCGAAAAACTATACTTGTTTAATTTAACAAGACACTTTATGAAATTTATAAATAAATTTAAATTTTCTTTTGCTTAATTAGATGCAGTTCAACTTAATCTATTGACAAAAATAGCTACAGCTACTGAAGTAGAAGACGTAGTAAAGGAATGGCTTTAAAACGCAAAATATAGGAGCCAAGGGTGCGCAAAAAGGGGAATATTAGAGCTGAACGACAAAGTTACAAATAATGTAGAAGACGAATAAAAACAATTTGTCACAATTGCAATATTGAAAAAAAGTATTATCTTGGCTATATGAATATTTTTTTAATTCCATTTTTAATAGTATTTAATATATATATATATATATATATATATATATATATATATATATATATATATATATATATATGTATATATATATACATACATACATACATACATACATACATACATACATATATATATATATATATATATATATATATATATACATACATACATACATACATACATACATATATATATATATATATATATACATACATACATACATACATACATACATACATACATACATACATACATACATACATACATACATACATACATACATACATATATATATATATATATATATATATATATATATATATATATATATATATATATATATATATATATATATATATATATATATATATATATATATATATATTAATTTTTAAAATTATTTTTTGTCTACTTTTTAAAATTATGAAAAAAAAAGATAAAAAATATTCTGCATATATATATATATATATATATATATATATATATATATATATATATATATATATATATATATATATATGCACAATATTTTTTATCTTTTTTTTCTGGAGTCACTACTTTTTCCGGAACAATTTAATAAGGTAATTTTTATTAGAATACTATTATATTAAATGTAAAAGTTTTGAATAGTAACAAATTGATTTATATGTTGATTTTGTAATTACTCATACTAAGTTTCACTTTAGATTAAATAAGTTAATATTTAGATTTAATAAATCTTAGTAAAGAATAGTTGAAATTTATGACAAACGTGTTTCAATCTGTGATAATACTTCATGGGTATGATAGAAAATATAAATTTGTGAAAGATTTTGCATTAAAGTTTTATTTCCAGACTAATATATTAATTCGCTTTTTAGAGTAAGATATATTCTGATTAAGAAAAATGCTTCATTAAACAATGAAGATGCATATAGATGACAAATGTCCTGCGATGCAGAAACACCATAGTTATAACTAATATCATTAAATCTACTGAATAATTGGCGAACTGTATACCGACATGCTTCAAAAGTTGGTGAAATATTTGCGGTTAACTATTTTTTATATTTTTATTATTTAATAATTATTTAAATTGTATAAAAAATAGTTAAGTTAATAATAGAAAAACAAATAATTAATTTGTCGTTTTATTATGTATTTTTCGATAATTTCCCATTCTATTTTATAATTGCTATGAATAATAGTCACTTTTGTAATCTCATTTATTGATCAAAACTAAAGCGGGCTAATGTCTTTTTACTGATCTTGGCCCAACATTGTTTTACTGATCTTGCCCCAATGTCATTTTACTTATATCGGCCTGATGTCCTTTTACTGATATCGGCCCAATGTCATTTTACTGATATCTGCCCAATGTCATTTTACTGATATCTGCCCAATGTAGTTTTACTGATATTGGCCCGACGACATCAGGCCTACATTATTCTGATAAGCAAAAACTACGTCGACCCGACGTAGTTAAACTACCATCAGCCGCTGTAAAAACCGATGTTTGCCGACGTCGAGCCATTGTGTATATGTTATCGGGGAAATGTTGGATACCTGGGTCTTCTCGCTATACAAGATAATAATTGAATCAATATTTTAAGCCGATTAATCAGAAAAAAAAATATTTTTTGAACATTGTTTATATATATTTTGAACATTGTTTAAGAGCAATTGAACTGATGTTGGACTGATAACATAATTGAGCTGCAAAATATTTCTGTTCATCAGGTGCAGCAAGCGCTGTCTGGCTTTTCAAATCAAGCTTTTTGTTTTATGTGACTTTACGTTAAACTGTTTACTTCTTGAGAATTAATTTTTAATCCATAAAATAATTTTAAATTTTAAATACTACTGCTTTGAATAAACTGCTAGTATTATTTTAATTTCTAACTAGTGAGAGATGTGTTCAATATACCGCTAGGATATCGTTTTAATTTCTATTCAATGAGAGACGTGTTCAATAAAATGGCATGTCTTTTTAATTTCCATCCAGTGAGAGATATTTTGAATAAATAAGTATTTAATTAATTTTTTAAACTTTTATTATTATATATAAATAATTATAAAATATTTTGATTTTTTAATCTTTTCAAAGATTTTTAAAGATTTTGTATGACATGTTTTGTCGTATAGTCGAGTTTCTCTTTCAAATAGCGAGTTTATTTAAGAACTTTAAAAAAAAATTAATTAAAAAATTTATGCTTATGTAAAAAAATATACCTTTCGTGGAAATCTTCAAACAAATTCTCATATGCCAATAGCTCATCTTCATCATGCCATAACCAGGTTTGTCGAGTGTTGTTTATTCGACGATGCTGCTTTTCGGATTCCCATTGAAAAATTTTATTCTTCAACTTCTTTAAACCGCCATTTGCCAATTCTCCATAGCTGATATAATCTAAAAATTCTTACTTATTTCTTATTTATTAAAATAAATTAGAAAGAAAAATTATTAATTAGAGAAGAGTGAATGAGGTACCGAAAAAAACTCTTAGCCTTTTTTTGAAATTTTTTTTACTCTATTATAACCTTATAAAAGATTAACTACTTTAGTATATTTTATAGATTAAAAAGTAACTTACTGACATTAAAATTTGACGTGCGCCACATGTGACAGCCACATTCAATTTATGGGGTGACGTAGATGTGAACCGTGTATTGTTATGGTGTTTATAATACTTACACAGTATAAGTATTATACCCACATGTGAGTCTAATGTGGTATAAATAAAATAACCGCACTAGACCTCACTTAAGCCATCCCATAAATTGAGTGTGGCTATCATTTAATGCCACATGTGGCCTACATCAAATTTTTGTTGGGTTTTTATTAAATTTTTTTGTGTGTAAAAATTGCGACTTTTTTTATTAATTAGAATGTAAGTCATCGTTTCCAATTTAAAATACTGTAACAAAGAAAACTTTGAAATATTGAACTTTAGATAATTAAGATGTTTTTTGAATATAAAAATGAAAAACTTACAAAACTCTGATAAGCATATTGATAAAAGAGAGAAAAAGTTAAAAAAAATCTTTTTACAGAAACATTTTAGTACATTATTTTAGCTTAATATCGGTTTTAGGAGCTTGTAATACACTACACCTTCCTTATCCCACTATATGCAAAACAAAAATTTATGATCATGAATATTCAGCTTTGATATCAATGTGGAAGGCTCTCCAGGACTATGACTTCTGTGTTTGAGATTGTTGTAGTAGATCCACTCCAGGAATAACCCATGATTTCTTGTGTTTGAGATTGTTGTAGATCCAATTTTATAAACCATCGTAATTTGCATTGATACTTCATATTTTTACCAAATGATGTCATTGATCAAAATTAATGCAAGCACCAAATAGGTAAAAATATTTAATTAAATGTATAGTCATATATAAACAAAAAGGTTCAAGCTCGAATTTCAAGCCTGAGGTGTAAAGATAAAAAACACCTCATTGTTTGATAACGTAATACTATACCCACCCCATTGTCTGATAACATGTTACTAACCATTGTCTGATAACTTGTTATAACCCATTATCTGATAGCTTGTTTCTATAGCCACCTCATTGTCTAAAAGCTTTTTACTAAAGCCATCCCATTGTCTGATAACTTGTTACTACAGCCATCATATTGTCTGATAGCTTGCTACTATACCTATCTCGTTGTTTTCTTGTTACTAAAGTTACTCCATTGCCTGACAGATGTTACAAGAGTTAAATACTGTATCGGACAAAACAAGTGCAACCAAATAATGCTAATTTAGTTTCTTTATATCAATTTTTTTTTATGCTGCATTTTTTCAATTTAGAGAAATAACTATGTAACTGTTTAGAGACAACATTCTTCAAGTTTTATTCATCACAAAGTTCATTATTTGTACACGAAAATTAATAAATTAATCAAAAGTATTAAAAAAAGTTGATTTCCTTCTGGACAAAACAAGTGCAACTCCAAAAAATGTTGACCAAGCTGTATTTCGCTATCAATATTTCCTGGCGAATCCTTTGTTGTCGATCACAGCCTTGCATGTTCGAGGCATAGATTCAATCAGGTGATCAATGAAACTTTGCGGAATCGCTGCCCAGGCCTTTTGGATTTGTTCAAACAGTTGATCTTTATTTTATAATTCTGTGGTTGACAATCTCCCACAGGTTCTCAATAGGGTTGAGAACCGGAGAATAAAGCGGCCAATCCTTCACTGATAGGTGGTTGTCTTAAAACAAATGTTTGACTACTTTTGCAGTGTGTTTTGGATCGTTGTCTTGCTGAAAAACCCATTTTATTGGCATATTCCGTTCAACATGAGGTAACATAACATCTTTTAGGATATTTTTATACAAGAAACAGTCTATTATTAAATTGATTCGATGTATTGGACCTAGACTGTTAGCAGAAAAACACCCCCAGACCATTACATTGCCTCCACCATGCTTCACGGTCTTATGGCAGTAACATAAATTGAGGCGTTTTCCGGCTGCTTGACGTACACGGCAAACACCATTGCTCCCAATGATGTTGAACTTCGATTCATCACTGAACAGGACAGTTCGCCATTTCTGCACATTCCAGTCAATATGAGATGTAGCAAACAGGAGTCTTTTCTTCTGGTTCTTTCGTGAAATCAGCGGTTTCTTTCCAGGGTGTCGAGATAGCGATCCGGCTGCCAACTTCCCCATAGAACGATATTTGGAACATAGTCTTGATACGGTCCATTTTTCCACGCGATATTTATCTAAAATATTTTTTGCGACATTCCACTTATGTAATCGCCAATAATTTTCTTTCTTAGTTCCAATCCAAGACTGTCGGGAGCAATTTTTGCACTTGAAGTCATAAAAATAATAAAAATAAATAATCACGCTTCTCAAAGTTTACCCTGTTACATTTACCTTGTGATGATACAATAATGCTCTGTGGAACACAATGTCTTGGTTGGATGTGGACTGTATTAATGTAATGAAACACTTGTTGTATTTCACTTCTTGTATTGTTGTTCTTCGATAAAACACTTTGATAAAACTCACTTTGATAAACTGTCTTGATAATACTGACTGATTGACTTCCATATACTGACTGAATTACATGTCGGTTTACATGTCTCTTATATATAAAATGAACCTGTGTAAACCTGTTCTGGAAGATTCTAGATGCTTCTTTTCGATACTTCTGGAAGTTTCTGGATGTGTCTGGATGCTGCTGAATGTTTCTGGATACTTCTGAATGCTTCCAGATGCTTCTTCTGGAAACTTCTGGAAGCTTCTGCATGCTTCTGGAAACTTCTGGATACTTCCTTTAATTATTAAAAAACTTCCGTGATGTTGACATGAACCAGACTTAAGAAAATGAAACAAACCAAAAAAGTTGCACTTGTTTTGTCTGCTGCAAAATGGCACTTGTCAATGAAATTCTGCCTGTGTGCTGTCATCTGTCAGCTGATTGCTCATGTCATGGCATGCTATGACTCTAGAGTCCTGAACTGTTTGCTGTGGTAGTATAGTTTGTTTCGCTTTTAAGACATGTAAAATTAGGAACACTTTTTAGCATTGTTCGATGTTGGTTGCAAATTTTTTGTCCAATACTGTATATTTTGGTGACAAATTTTCCCCGCTGTTACTTTTTCAAAGTGTAGAAAAAATATAATTATAACTATTGTTTTATTGTTTATGAAAAAAACAAGTCTTTTGGGTTTTGCCCAAAAGACTTGTTTTTTGGGCAAAACCCAAAAATTCTATAAAAGTTTTATAGAATTTCCTATGAACTTTTAAAACATATGACCTATAGAAACTCTATAGAATTTCTATAGAATGCCTAATAATTTCTATAAAAATTGCTATAAAACTTTTTTCTATAGAAAAAGTAGAAAAAAAAAATTTCTATAGAAATTTTTATAAAAGTTAATAGAAATTCTATAGAAATTCAATAGAATTCTATAAAATTTCGAAAGGCCATATGTTTCAAAAGTTTATAGAAAATTCTATAGAGCTTTTTTTCCTTAGACATGTCAACTCCAAACACAAAAATGCTACACGTAAACAATCGTATCCTTTGGGCTTCTGGTACACTTGCATAATGATTTGTTTAGATTTTATTACAAATTTGCACATAAAAAGTGTAATATTTTGTATTTTTTTGCATTTATTATTTTGACCTATGATTATTAGATAGTACTTTAAGGTCTAAATTATTGTTCAATTGTATCAATAAAATTAAATTATCGAATTTTTGTACCAATAAGATTAAATTATCGTGTAATTGTACCAACGAAATCAAATTAACATTTTCTTTTTTCATGTGGTTTTTTCTTATAAAAAAATTTGGTTTTATAAAATAAATATCTTATTGAAAATTCAAAATTTATTACCTTTTAATCAAAAATAAAATCTATAAAACTAAATGTACTTTCTTAAATATTGTTTTAGGGACATGCTTAGTAGAGCAATTTTTTGTAATTTTTTTCATTTCACTACTTTTTCATTTTAAAATGTTTCTATCAATAAACTTATGATAATTTTCAATAATCTTTTGGTGTCTAGAAATTGTAAAATCCATGTAAAGTTTACAAACTCATGAAGAGGAAATATAAATTTATTAAATTGTCAAAAAGAAATTAACTCATGCTTTCACAATTTTAGATTTAATTTTATTTTACTATCTTTTCCCAGGTAAAATTATTTTATAAAAGTAATTTACAATCTTTTTTCCAGGTTTCAAACACAATTTTTAAAAATAATTTTGATTTATTATGAAAATATGCAAGTTCTATGCCCTAGCTCTTGGAATCAAATTTTTTTTTTTAGTTAGCATTGTATGTTAGCACAAAACCGCACAAAGTTTTCACAATAACAGCCACAACTAGAACTAAGGTCAGCATACTTTTACGTCCACAGTTAGATCAGTTTTGCCGGAAGCTGACCCTAATTCAGAGGGATTATCTGACTACTTTTAAACTACAAATATAAACATATTACCATCTTTATCTTTATCCAATCCAGAATCTTTTATGCTAAAAAAAATTATATAAAAACTTAGATTAGTAAAAATTACCATTAAAATGTAGAGTGAAAGTAAAACCTATTGCAAGCCTCTAAATTATGCTACATAAAAGTAAATCAATTTCATTCAGATAATAAAGCCAGAAATGAGGTGCCCAAAGGCGAAAACTAAACAAGAGAGTAATGGCTTTCTTTATGTTACTACTAGTGCAAAAAAAACTATAGTAAAAATAAGAAAAAATAACAATTAAAAATGCTCTTAGTTTGCTTAGTATGACCCTGAAATCAGCGTTATTGCTACATAAAATCTTAAATCTGTGCGTTTAGGTAAGAAATTAAATTAAGTAAAGGTTTTTTTACAAAGTGTATGCTTTCCTCATAAACTTTCGACCTTAAGGTCTATATGTAGCGAATGTATAGTACATTTTTATATTTAGTGGATGTAAAACTGCTAAGCACTGACTAAAAGTCACTAAATTTACCGCATAATTGTGTCGTGGTAATCCACGACACAATTATGCGGTAAATTTAGTGACTTTTAGATAAAGAATCGAGGGTGGTTCCATATCTAAAAGTCACTAATTTCGATTAAGCGTGTACGCAAAATAAGTGTGAAAGTAGAAAAACAAAAATAAGGTACTCATTGACTTTTATTGGGAATAATATATTAAATCAGCATCCTATATTTCTGAAATATAGGATGCTGATTTTTTGTCTTTTTAGCAAACTAATCATTTTTTGTGTATTAAAATTTCTGCTTTTCCTCTATATTTGGAATTATAATAGACAACACTAAGAATTTGCTGATGATCATACTTCATATAAGTTTCATCACCTTCAATAAATTCAGAAATTTCTAGAAATATAGTTATCATAAAACTATCATCAGTAGGTTCTTGCTTTTTTTTTTAATTTCGGAACAGTCATGCACTTTTTGTGATTTGAAAGCTTGAAAAACATGTTTATATCAAACTTTTACAACAAAAGAATGAGAAAACTCATATTTTTGTGCCATTCCTTAGTGAGAGGCTTGATTTATTCATGAAACTGTGAACCAGTTTTCTAACTAGTTTTATATCTTGAAAAACCTCTTTTCCTACATTTATACCAGATTTGCATTTGATTGATTTTGTTAAGGAAAAACGTTAAACAACATGACTAACAATGTAGAAATGTATTCACAACTTTTTTGCGAATTGTATTTGCAACTTTTTTGCTACCGAATTTGCTAAATTCAGATTTTCCATAAAATTTGTTCAAAATATTTTTTAATGTCTTCTTTTGTCATTTTTAAAACTTATTTTAAGTTAAATGGGAAAATTAAAATCTTTTTTTTCAAATCATTACATGTTGCCAACAAAATACAAGCCCAATGAAAAATATATTAATACAACCACTGAAAAAAAAATTATGTATTTACTTATTTACATTTATTTCGTGAACACACTTTAGCCTGCCAACGTTTTGTTGAGAACATATTGTTTTTAGCTTTTTACTGCATAATTGGAAAGAAACCGCTTTTGCTGGCCATTAATGCATTAACTTCGATTTAGAAACTGAGGTACATTTTTTAGTACAAGTTTAGATTGTTACCATCTTAAGAAATCATATATATTCAGTTTCATTAGAAACTAACTGTCAGTCAACCACCTAGAATAACTTTAGTCAGGTACCATTATTAAAATAATTGGAACAATTTTACTTCAATTGATTTCTTTATTACTTTTAGTCAATTTATTAAAAATTTTCGCATCTAAAAAACATAGGTTGATACCCAGTATTTTTGTATATGAAAACTTCTCATACTCTTTTGTATGTTCTAAGAAATTCAAAACTCATATAAAATGGAGAAACTTAATTCTAAACTTTTAAGAAAAGAAGATGCTCAGTTAAAAGCTCCTGAGAAAAGGAAAATTGTAATCAGAAAGAAAAAAATAAATCACGGTACTTCATGATACTGCATGGTAGTTAACGTAAAACATAAACATATTGAATTACCATAAATTTTTTTTTCTAACAATATTTTTATATAACTATATAAACAGTTGATGTTTTTTATTTTAATCTACTAAGCTAGAAAGGATTTTATATTTTTATAACCATACATTTAATTATAATCAAAATATCCTACCATTCAATGATATCTTCATATGATAAGTAAAGTGAATTCAATTCTGGAATAGAGTATACCTGAAATACAAAATATAATACAACATATTTAAGTATTATAAGAACATTTACTTTTTATTTGTTAATGTAATAATGTATTTTCAACTGAATAATTAATATAAAGTTTAATGAATATGTGTAAATATTTTTTTGTTTGAGTATAAATATTTTAAATCTATTTGCTGTTCAAAATTTTGGGAAGTAGTTAAATAACTCAACACATTACGTCATTATAACATTACTATAGTGACAGGTTGTTAGCTAAACAGTTCTGGCCAATAACAATAAAATATAGATTCTGTCCTGTAGGTGATTTTTTACTAATTGAGCATTACGAGACCTTACATAAAGTACGTATGCAGATATTAGAGAAGGGGATTACCCAAAATTTACGGATGTGTCCAAAGGAAGGAGGGGTTAAAAACAGCGAATGCGTTTGACTCTTTCTCTTAATCTAGAGAGGAAATCTTGTAATAAATAATGTGAAAGTACGCAGAGGTTTTACTGCGCATGTACTTTATGAATGCCCCCTACCATGTCATTAATGACTTACCAGATCTAGCTGTAATTCTGCATTGATTTGTAAAAAATAAAATAAAAATTATATAGACATTTCAAAATGTAAATTAGGGTTTAACTTAAAATATTATTTAGGTTCTGTGTCCACTGGTTAAATATTCAATCGCAATTAGAGGACTAAAAGTATGAAATAAAAGAGAATCTTGACAGTTAGAAGACGCCGTTATCAAAATTTTTTTTGCGACGCGCTGCCTTTCTTGAAAAAATATTTGTGAATGCCTCAAATGCCACAAACTTTGCAAAAGAAGATAGGTTTTCTTAACCTGTATAGGTTTGGCACCATTGCAGCACACAAAATAAATATTTCCCCTTCACTTATTTTTGTTTTGAATTCATCAAATTGTTTTGAATTCATCCATCAAAAATGGCAAAAAATTAGGATTTTGGATACAATCACAGCCAACGGTTGTGCTGGTTTACACAAAGTCAAAGTAGAAAATTATTTGGAACTTTTAAAAAATAATAATTTCAATTGCTATCAAACTAAAAACTACGATAGTTTCATGCATGATGCAATAGTTTGATTACATGATAATGGAGCTTGCTATCTGTAAAAAGTTTCAAACATCTCAAATGTTCTCAAAATGTTTTAAACTTTAGATGGTTATAATTTTTGAACATTAAAATTTAATAAAATTTTAAATCTATCCGTAAATATAAATTTAGTTTAAAATAGTTATAATATAAAATTCAGTAAGTAATCGTCCTCAAACATGAGGTAGGAGGCACAAGTTTCAGAGTTTTTGTTGTTCCAATTCTCTAATCACAGCAATTTTTCAAAACATTTGCACTTCATACAAGCATCAAAAAATGCAAGTTTGAAGTTTGCTTCATGTCTGAAAGTTATCTTTCTCAATAAACAAAAAAAGCTGTTGCAATCCCTGATGATGTTTTTTAAATTAAAATGTTTTTAATCATAAATTTGTAGAATAAGAAGATTTAATAGACTGTGAATTAAAACTCTTTCGCGTACACTAAATGATAGGATTGATCCGATCTTTTTGCCAAGTAATTTATTTCTGTTTAATAAAGAAAGGTTTGTTGCATTTGCTTGTTGTTTAATAATATTTATGTTTTTTGCTTGAATTTTGCTTTTAAATATAAATTTATGATTTTTCAACAATATATGAAAATTGTCTCAGTGTTTATTTTGTTTTGCAAAAATACGTCAACAGCGCTTATTTGCTTTTTAATAGTATATTTTGTTTTGCGATTGTGATCCCGAAATCTCGGCCTTTTTCATAATCCCAAAATCCCGGGATCCCTATAATATTGAACAAAACAAAGCGTAATCAAAATATATATAAAAATATACAGCAATTTATGCATCTCAATAAAATAATTTAAAAATAGTATAAAATTGCAGAAAATAATTGTATTTTCAGTTGTGCAATAAAAAAGTTATTTAAAAAATTTGATTTAGCAAGAAAACGGAATTCGGGGTAGGAGAGAGAGATTTTCTTTATCTTTTGACAAATGGAAGTCACTTTGAAATCGTCGGTTTATGAATATTAACGTTCAAGGTTAAAATACTTACTTCTGGGGTTTAGGTTTATTGCAATTAAAACAGGTTCCATGCCAGTAGAAAAGTGCATTGAACTATTAGAAAAAAAAACTTAAAGTCTTGTCTTGATCTACGCAGTGACACTATAGCTATAATGACCAACGGAGCTAGTATTATGAAAAAAGTAGGAAGGTTGCTGGCTGCAAATCAACAATTTTATTTTGCCTACAGAATACAACTTGCTATAAATAATGTTCTTAATAAAAAAGGAACTTGAAAATGAAATTTTCTTAATAAAAGAAATATTCATTTCCACATGAAAATGAATTTTCTGACAGTGATTTATCCGAGAACAAGGAAATTGAAGATTTACTGGGCTACAATCATAAAAATAGGAGACCTAAAATCGAGCTAAATGAATTTTATTAAAAGCCAGTTATAAAACAAATACGCAAATTGATACTAATGTTTAGACAATAGTCTTAAGTTTCCATTAAAGAAGTTTAAACGTCAAAAACTTTTGGTAGAATTTCTGGAAAGATTAAACATACATATGAACGTAAAAAAAGTAGGCCGAAATTTTTAAAATTTTAATTATACACACTCGTAAGTTGTTAAAAACAAAGATAAACATCATAGGATATTTGTCGCTGGGGCTTTGCCCCACCCTGGAAAATTCACCAAGATTTTTTTGTATTTCAGAAATTCCACGCTACTGATAAGTAGCGTGAAATTTCTGAAATACGAAAAAATCTTGGTGTATCAAGGGATATCAAGGGAGTTTGAGATCGGTAAAAACGTAACAAAAAGCAAATTAACAGCATAAATTAAAAAGTTGTGTGAGTTTAGTATTTAATTTTTTTAAATACTAAACTCACACAACTTAAATTAAACGTTCATTTAATTTTTACTTTCTTTAATAACTTTGGCAGTATTATTTCTATTAATTATTTATACGTTTTGAATTGAAAATCATTTGAATTAAAAAAACGTAAGTTTTTGAAGAATTTTTTAAATTGTTCAACAGTACATTAACTTTTAAGTTGTATGAAGTTGTACAATAAGAAGATTAGAGAATACTTTTCAAAAAAAAAAATCAAATTGAAACAGTTGCATTATTTTCTGAATCTGAAAATGCTAATAACTTAATAAAAGATAATACTCATGAAAGTTTATCATTTGTTAACTCAGATGATGCAACTGATTCAACCGCTGTTGTTGAGTCGCCGTCTTTTACAGAGGAGCCTGGACCTTGTTGTTCAAGACATTTTTTCCATTAAAAAGAAAAAAAAAATTTAAACAAAGCTGGAATGAAAAATGTAAATAGGTTTTACATGACTGCGAGAAAGAAAAGGTTTTTTGCTCTACTTGCATCAAAGCTAACCAAATGAAAATGCCTTTACCTCGTAGTTCAAAAGAAAAAGATTCGTACGAAGCTTTTATTTTAAACAGATTTTCTAATTAGAAGCAACACTAGAATCGACTGTCATCCGACAGCTTAATTATCGCCCAAAAAAAAAAAAAAATGATGGATAATCGTACAACTTTATCAAAAATATTTACAACACTATATTTGGTAATTCCTCAATTTTGTTTAAGAAAAATTTAGGTCAACTATCAATCGTTAAATTTATTTACTGGTTTCTTCTTCATGTATTAGGGAACGCAAGGCCTCGCCATTTGTGAAAAGATTGAAAATAATTCAAACTTTTGCATGCTACTCAAACTACGAGCAGACGATTCTCTGGAACTGAAGAAATTGTTGAAAAGTAAAAGTGGCTCTCGCCTGAAAACAAAGTCCTACAAGACTTTGCTCTTGCAACGCTTTGTAAGCTATGCAAAAGTATAAGGGAATTACAATTCTATAAATTGATGGTCAATCAAACAACGGATATGTCCGCAAAAGAACAAGTTTCGATCTGGATTCGGCATGTTAATAGAAAATTTAAAATTGAGGTGCTTTTTATGGGATTTTACCAAACAGAGAACATCAAGAGCGCAACTTTGTTAAACTGTTTGATGAACATTTTGTGTCGATTTAGTCTGTTGATTCAAAATTGTCGTGGCCAATGTTTTGACGGATCTTCTAACATGTCTGGAAGTATCTATGGATTGCAGTCTTTAAAGAGGGGGAAAGAAGAGCGGGCAGTTTACATGCACTGCCGCGCTCATAATCTCAACATGGTTGCACAAGATTCTATTGAAAATCAAACAGAGATCAGGAGTATTATGAAATTAGTGCAATCATTTATCGCATTTGCCCATGGATCTCCAAAACAACTGGCATGTTTCAATAAGTTTCGAAATGTAGAGGATGTAGCAGCGGAACATCATTGCAGCCATTTTACCCCACTTGATGGATCCTTAGAAAACCGTCCTTTATATCTATTATGAGTAACTAGTCCGCCATTATCTACTGGTTAGAGGATTTTGAAAATTATTCTGATAATTCAGCCAAATATAATTCAGAAGCAGCGAGTTATCTGGAATCTTTTTGTAAGTTTGACACATTTTTCGAATTGGAAATTTTGCGCATGATCTTCACGACAACCGAGGATGCTAAAACAGCACTCCAACGCAAGTATTTTTTTATTTCATAGTGTTTTTTTTTTAATATTATTTTAGGCAAACTATAATGTTAAACGTTTATTGAAAATCATTTTAGGCATGCAGCTTAATTTTTGCAAAGCAAGAAATACCATCAACATGCTTAAGAAGATGTTAAAAGAAGCCCCGGGTGATACTCGCTTCAAAGTCTTATGGGATGTAACCATTGTAGCAGCAGAATGTAGTTTACTTGACAACCAGAGATGCCACGGAAACGTAAAATTACATCAAAATTTACTGGAAGTGGAGTTCCATATTTTGCACCGACTCCAGAGGACCACTACCATTAGCTTTTCTATCCATCTCTGGATTGTGTTATAACGGGATTTGCGATCCGTTTTAAACCGACTGAGACCGCTGAGCGTTTGGCTAATGTAGAAAAATTTATCATTGGCAAGTGCCTCGAAGTTGGATTTGTTAAGGCTTTTTACAAAGATAACTTTGAAGATTATAGATGTCCCCATTATTTTGACCAACTATACACTGTTGTTAATAAATTTTTTGTTTGATTTCTTTAACAAGTCCTGACCCTAGGACTTGACAGCATTAACGTCATAGTTTTGCACATGATTTTTTCGAGTTTTTGATTTTTTTCATTCTACCAATAAAAATTTGGAAAATTCATCTAAATATTGTCTAATTTATTTTTGTACAACTATTGCTATAAATTGACTTTAAACTTTTCATTCATAAAACTTAGGTATTTTAAATTATCAATAAGGTTTTCTTTAAAATAAAAACTTTTAAAATTAATAAATAATCCTAAAATCCCCTAATTACAAAAATTTGAATCTTACCTCTTCCAATGATAAATGTCCATTAAAATCACTATCCCATCTATCAAAGATAGATTGAGTTATTTTGTCTGGTAAATTAACAAATGCTGGACGAGGATCTTGTGTTTTAAGTCCCTTTTCTACAGCAAGATCGATAATAAGTTCTGTTTCATTTTTTTCAAGAAAATTCGAAACCTCTAAAATAATTTTAATATTATATCATTGGATACTACAAGTTAATACACAAAAACTTATTTAAAATTTTGAAAGAACTTACGTCATTAGAAAATCAAAAGCGTTTTATTTCTGTTGTAATTTTTTTATTTTATTTTTCGGTTTTTAGTTATATAGTTACACACTATGTCATCAAAAAATTTTAGTGTAAAAAAGTAGAAATATTTTCAACTTGCTCAGTTTTTGCGCAGTAATCAGTTACAGGTTATAGTCAAAAGTTATAAGTAGCTTCCTTCAAACGTTTTTGAACCAATAACAAATTAATGCTGCATTGATGACCAGGTTATCAACATGACTTTAGCTTGTCTTAATACAGTAAAGGATGTATTGATTAGACAATGTAAAAGGTACTTCTCCCTTTCCATTACAGTGATACTCAAGCAAGAAACAGCTAGTGCAAGGTTTCACAATATAGATAGTGAAGAGTTAATTGGTATGTTAAGTGAATCTAAAGGAAGATCCCCAAATGCAACAATTTTATATAATTTTTGCAAAATATGATGAAAAAAGAATAGGACTATTTATTATCTTGATAGCTTAGATTACTAACTAAGTAGAGAAAATGTAATTAATGGTCCATTTTCACAGCACATAAAGAAAGAAAGAGAAATCGCCTACAACATGCTCAAATTGGATCTGTATTATATGAGACAGACATGCAAGCGTCAAATGTTGAATGAACAAGAAAAAAGGAAGTTATAACAAAAACTTAACTTAATGACTTTCAGCCAGATTAAGAATTTGTATAAACAATTGTCTACAAAGCAACTGGATAATTTAGATGATGTTATGTCTGACAGAATTGTTAGTAGAAAGCTATGTCATGAATGGTATGATTTTAAACAATCTAAGTATACGATGATAGAGTAGAAAAAGTAAAAAAAAGATTGCATGACAGAATTTACACTATCTCTTACTGGAAAAAAGATGAATCGGATTCTGAAGCTGGTGATTATTGCATAAAAAAATTCCAGCTGGCCCCAGATGTTGTATCAGGAGAATTTATTTATCCTTAATGTTAATGTGTGTTATTTATTTTTAATAATAATATGTATTGTTTTCATAATTGTAAGGTTTATTAAGTCCAAAATAGATACTGGAAATGTTAGAACTTGAAAAGTCTTAACATTTGAAAAGTATCGCAAGTGTTGTGACTTGCAGATAGGTAACCAGCAAGTGTTGTGACTTGTACAAATTATTGAAAGGCAGGCTTACCTTCTCGTGATATCTATCGTTAAAAATGATTAATATTTTGTTTCATTAGTGGAATTTCAAATTGTTTACTAAAAGCCAAGATAATTACAAGGGTATTTTGTTTACACTAAATTACATAATTTTAACTATTGTATTTTTAAAACATTTTACATTTTAGATGTTAAAGAATCAAACAGCCTTTTGCCTAAGAATTTAAACACTTTTACACACCTTAATCAAAAATTAAAGAGTTAAAATTTTTGTTTATTCTCATTTCTTTTAATTAATAAAGTACTAAAATTTAAAATTTATTTTTTGTTCTAGATTACTTATTTAATTTGAGATAAAAATAATTTTTTTAAAAAAGGAATTATTTTTGTTAATAGTATGTGTTAAACAAGCACCGCTACATCCACCCCTAACTCAAAGGTACACATCTCATATATGGTGGTGATCTGCGAGCAAAATATTGGAACTTCTGTTAGATAAAAAAGACAATTTTCAGTATTAAAATACTTTTTTATGATAGAATATTAAATTTATTGGTGGTAAAAGTCGTAGTTCGGGACCCCCTTTAGCGGCCCACTAACGCCCTATGGCTAGATGCTACTATGAAATTGTAGCCCATTCTTATTCTCTTTTTTATGTTGGTGAATTGTGCATGTTGAAAATCACGCAGATATGTGTTGAAAGTCACACGTTATTTCAATTGTAATTAAAAGTATTCTCATGGGACTTTTTGTTATTTTATATATAGAGAGACAATTTTTGTATAGAATTAGTGAGGTTAAAAGAAAGCTATAAAATAATACGTTTTGTTTATTCAATTCATGGACGCGACGAACCAACAATTCTTACATATATATCTTTTGATACCAAAATTATAGAAATTTCGAAAAAATTTGCATAGTTATAACAACTTTCGATACAAAAAAATTATTTTGACCACAGTTTCTTTAACAGTTTCATATATTCAAAAATTGTCACTAAAAACCTCATAATTTTTTTTTGAATTGTTTCATTTTGATAATTTTTTCACCGTTGAAATACTGTATTAATGCTCTTTTCAACAATATATAACAATATAATATTTTGTAAATTTAAAAATTTCATGTCACATACCTATATATATATTTATATATATGTATATATATATATATATATATATATATATATATATATATATATATATATATATATATATATATATATATATATATATATATATATATATATATATATATATATATATATATATATATATATATACATATATATTAACACACCGCATTGCCCTCAACAAATTAAAGACATGTGTGCATTTGAAAACGATTTATTTGAAATAATTAAAAATATACAGTTTAGGAAGATCCAATGTAACTTTCAAAATAAATTAAAAAATTATGTTTCCTCTATTCAAAATTCGAAATTTATCTATGAATACGCAGATAAGACGTCAAACTTATACAAGCTGCCTAAAGATGAATACAATAAATTGATGACAAACGCTGTCACAACTAAGTATAAAAAAACCAATCCAATAATAAAAGACCAGATTAATAAAGAAGGAAAAATTATTTTAAAAAACCACGATGTTTTCAACAAAATTCATATTAATGGATCTTCAAACTGTTTCATCACATTGAAAGATCATAAACCTAATTTTTTAAATGATCCTTCGGTTCGTCTCATAAACCCAGCAAAGAACGAAGTAGGAAGAATAAGTAAACATATTTTATCCGAAATAAACAACCAGCTAAGAAATATTTTATGTATTAACCAGTGGAGTAACACACAGGAGGTAACTAAATGGTTCAAGAACATCAATGACAAACATTTTTATAAATTCCTCATTTTTGATATTGTTGACTTTTATCCTTCTATTACCGAGAAACTTCTTATCGACTCTATTTGCTTTGCTGAACAGTATGTTACCATTGCAAACGAGCACAAATCTTTGATTCAGCACGCACGGAAATCCTTGTTATTTAACAATAACGAAGTTAGGATAAAAAAATCAGGTGATTTATTTGACGTCGCCATGGGAGCGTTTGACGGTGCCGAGGTATGTGAGTTGGTTGGAATTTTCCTTCTTTTCCAAATTTCTCAATTTTATAACAAGTTTGACTTTGGGCTGTATAGAGATGATGGGTTGGCCGTAATTAAAAACGCCAGCGGTCCACAAATGGAAAAAGTTAAAAAACATCCAACTCAGATATTTAAAAGTAACAGCCTTAATATTTCTATTCAATGCAACATAAAAATTGTGAATTATCTTGATATTACATTAAATCTTAATGACTGCAGCTTCAAACCGTACCATAAACCTGAAAGTTTTTTAAACTATATCCATGCCAGCTCTAACCACCCACCAAGTATTTTAAAACAGCTGCCGACCTCTATTGAGCAAAGATTATCATCAAACTCCTCCAGCAAAATAATTTTCGAAAACTCTACTTCTATTTACAAAGAAGCCCTTATAAAGTCTGGACATAGCAGCAATACCCAATATCGTCCTAATTTAAATTTACAAAAAACTAATCATCATACTAATAAACGCAAACGAAGCATCGTATGGTTTAATCCCCCTTTTAGTAAGAATGTTGTCACCAAATTAGGAAACCTTTTCTTGAACTTAATCGACTTACATTTCCCAGCACACCACAGGCTACACAAAATTTTTAACAGAAACACCGTCAAAATAAGCTACAGCTGCATGCCAAATATTAGTACTATTATTAAGTCTCACAACCAACACATTTTGCGTAACCAAAATACCGAAAACATTAGAAAATGCAACTGTATAGACAGAGCTGCGTGTCCTTTAGAAAATCAATGTCTAACTAAAAATATTGTTTACAAAGCTACCGTAACACCAGCGAACGTCAACCACGCTAAGAAATCTTATATTGGTATTAGCGAAAACTCCTTCAAGATCAGGTTTGCAAACCACATAAAATCATTCAACTTGGTCAGGTATAAAAATGACACTGAACTTTCTAAAGAGATCTGAAAACTTAAGGAAGCAGGCGTTAAACCAATAATCAAGTGGAGTATTGTTAAAAAATGTCAACCCTATAACCCATCCTCAAAAAGATGTAATCTTTGCATAAATGAGAAATATTTTATTTCAACATACAATAAAGAACCTTTGTTAAATAAAAAAAGTGAATTGGTTTCAGCATGTAGGCACAGAAAAAAGTTTTTGCTATCGAATTTCGACACCGGTTAAATAAATTCCCGTTTGGCGTGAAAACTGACGTTTGATCTCGTTGCAACGCAATTTTGTATTTTTATAACGGTTTTTATTTTAATGATTTTTAAATATATGGCTGAATGATTGCCGAATGCATGAAACTTGAAGTCCCATAAAAAAGTCGTATTTTTTTCATTTAAATATTTAATATATTTTGATCTATTTTATATCGATCACTCTTAAACCGACAAAGAGCTGTATTAAATCCAACAGAATACAACACAACTCAATAATAATAATAATATATATATATATATATATATATATATATATATATATATATATATATATATATATATATATATATATATATATATATATATATATATATATATATATATATATATATATATATATATAATTTATCCATATTTCTTTAGAAAGTTCTGTATCGTTTTCGTATCTAGTAGCATTAAATGATTTTAAATGGTTTGCAAACCTAAGCTTGAATGAGCCTTCGCTGATACCAATATATGATTTTTCGGAATTACTAGGGTTAGCTAAAGATGTGGTAGTTTTATACACGACATTTTTAGACAAGCATTGATTATTTGAAGGGCATGAAGGTTTATTAATACAGTTGCAGTTGGTGACACAAGCAGTGGATTTGTTGCGTAATATTTTTTGGTAGTGTGAGTTAATTATTGATCTAACACTCGGCATGCAGCTGTAACTAATTTTGATTGTATTTCTGTTAAATATCTTGTGGAACTTATGATGGTGGGGAAAATGCAAGTTGATTAACTTAAGAAAAAGGTGTCTTTTTTTGGTGACAACGTTTTCGCTGAACAGAGGATTAAACCAATTGATGTTTTACTTTCGCTTATTAGTATTATTTGGGCCTACATATGGATGGTATTGTATGTTGTTTCTAAATCCAGACTTTTCTTGTGCATCTTTATAAATAGGGGCAGTGTTATTAAAAATTGCTTCGCTGGAAGAATTGGTTGATAACCTACGCTCAATTGAAGTTGGTAACTGTTTTAAAATACTAGGTGGTTGGTTGGAACTAGCGTGGATGTAATTTAACGTACTATCAGGTTTGCGGTATGGTTGAAAACTACTGTTGTTAAGGTTCAATGTTACATCTAGGTAATTAACAATTTTCATATTAGATTGGATAAAAATACTAAGGCTGTTTTGCTTAAATATTTGCGTGAAATGCTTCTTAATTTTCTCCATTTTAGGACCGCTTGCATTTTTAAACACAGCTAAACCATCATCTCTATACAACCCCAAATCATGCTTGCTATAAAATTCGGAGATTCGGAAAAGAAGGAAAATTCCAACTAGTTCACAAACCTCCGCACCATCAAATGGTTACATCCATGGTTACATCAAACAAACCATCAAACAAGATTTCTTTATCCAAACTTGGTCGTTGGTAAATAATAATGATTTTCGCGCGTGAAGAATTAAAGATTTATGGTCAGTAGCGATGGTAACAAATTGCTTTGCAAAGTGAATGGAGTCGATAAGAAGTTTTTCGTTAATTGAAGGATAAAAGTCAACAATGTCAAAAATTAGGAATTTATAAATGTGTTTATCTTTAATATTTTTGAACCAATTAATTACGTCTTGTGTGTTATTCCACAGATTTAGTTGCAAAATATTTCTTAGGTTGGTATTAATATCAAATAAAATATGCTTACTAACTCTTCCGATTTTGTTCTTAGCGGGATTTATAAGGCGAACCGTAGGGTTATTTAAAAAGTTTGATTTATGGTCTTTCAATGTAATAAAGCAATCGCTTTCAAACCCAGTCATATCTTTAATTTGTCGTGGACAATGTGGAGTGGTAACACCGTAAAATTTAAAATTTTTGTTAATATTGTTATTAGTATGATTCATACCGTTAGATTGTTTATTCATGTAGAAAAAGGCTTTCCACCTATATAATATGGCTGAATGATTGCCGAATGGCATGAAACTAATAGTTCCATAAAAAGTTGTATTTTTTCATTTAAATTATATAAATATAATTCGATCTATTTTACAAAGAAATATTGATCACTCTTAAGCAGACAAGAGCTGTATTTTTAACAAAATACTTTACCTATCTGCAATTAAATATATATATATATATATATATATATATATATATATATATATATATATATATATATATATATATATATATATATATATATATATATATATATATATATATATATATATATATATATATATATATATATATATATATATATATATATATATATATATAACGTTGTGCCAACGTATAAAATAAATCGTTGAATCAACGTAGAAAATATAACCATTTTCCGACTTAAAATAAACTTTTTATCAACATTGGTTTTTAGTTGTTGGCGACGTCGCATTTGTAACCATAATGATATAAAAACAACGTTGGCAGCCAATGTTGGGCCAAGGAAACGCGCGACATTGTTCTAATGTTTTAACAACGTATGTGTGCTAGCTGGGATACTTTATGTAATTTTATTTCCGAGCTTTGTTCGCTGTAATGTGCCTGAAAGTGTTATATCTGAATCGTTAAAAAAAGTTGCTGATGTCCCTGAATTTAACTCAGCCATCATAAAGATGGCTGTTTTCTTAGAATAGAAAACAGAACCAAATGTTTTGAATAAGTGAAAGTTTAAATAACTCAATCTGCGACTAACTTTTTTGTTTGACTGAGAGTTCTGCTATTTGGTTTAAAAACCTTTATTTTTAATTTGATTTCTGTAATTACGATGATAGTTAAAAATTTTTAAGAGGGTTTGTTAAAGCAAGGTTAGAATTAAGATGTTGAAATATATTTGACTTTTTTGAAGTGTTTATTAGGCCTGTAAATTGAACCGAACGAGCCAAGCTTGCCAGGGCTCGGCTCGTTTACATATTAAGAGTGTTCAGGCTCGGCTCGAGCTCGTTTCGAACATGAGATTCTTTGTTCAAGTACAGCTCGTTAAGGATTAGTATTGTTTGAGCTCGGCTCGTTTTACATGTTGCTCGAGCTCGACTGGTTTAAAACTTGAAATAATTATTATAACCTGTTAGTTTAAAGCTCGTTTAGTAAAAAAAAACTGTTCGTTAAAGGCTCGTCTGTAAATAATGCAAGTCCAAATCAACAAACAACATAGACAATCCTACAGTCTATTAAACATGCAAATAAACAACATAATGAAATAAGATCCCACAAATCTAATAGTTCAAAATAAAAGTTAAATCTAATAGTTCAATGTTCAAACTTAATGTTCAAAGTTCAAACATAATGTAATCTCTCACAAACATAATAATTCCTATTAAACACTGCACTCTAATAGTTCAAATTACATTTTTACAAATATAAGTCTTGCTCTCATTGCATTGGATGAAACAAGATAAAAAGCCTTCCTCTAATTCTCTTGAAGTTGAACCTCAAAAGTGAGCTGAAAATCTGAAATTTTACAACAAACTTGTATGAGAATGAATAATGACAAATGACAATAGTCAATAGCAGCCTCACGTAATTAAATTGTTTATATTAATCAATTATTTAGTGTAATAAAAGTTATATGGGTCATATCTCATATGGTTACACTAACACTATATTTTTATTATATAATAATATATATAATATCACAATTTTATTTATTACATATATATTATTATAATATAAATAAATATATATATATATATATATATATATATATATATATATATATATATATATATATATATATATATATATATATATATATATTTAGTGGCGTCGCTGAGGTTGGTGTCGCCCGGAGCGGTAAACTTTTGTTGTCACCCCTCTAGACTAAAAAACTAAATATATATATATATATATATATATATATATATATATATATATATATATATACATATACATATATATATATATATATATATATATATATATATATATATATATATATATATATATATATATATATATATATATATATATATATATATATTTAGTGGCGTCGCTGAGGTTGGTGTCGCCCGGAGCGGTAAACTTTTGTTGTCACCCCTCTAGACTAAAAAACTAAAAAAAGTCTTCTACATCTAGAAATTTCTAAAAAAGAAAGAAAAAAAAAGTCTTTTAGAAAAAGAATTCGGGCAAATTTGCTTTTTTTTCATTTTAGTGTCACCCCTCTGATGGTGTCACCCGGTGCAAACTGCACCTCGCCACTGCACACATACACACACACACACACACTCTCTCTCACACACACACACAAACACACATGAATATATATGTACCAAAGTTAGCAAAAAAGGTTTACCAAAAAGAAACGGTTTTAAACTTAAAATTTTCATTGTCATCTTCTTGCCATTAAAGTTTATTTCTTCTGAATAACCAACCTAACAATAAAAATTAGATGTAGTAAACAAAGTAAAATTTATTAGATATTTATATTATTTATATTTGATATCTTAGTTTTATAAAAGTAACAAGGAGGTAGTAGACGAAAAAGAATACAGTGATAAAAACCTCTTTTAGTTCTCTCCTGGCTAATGCCAGATGCACTTTTTGAAACCTTGGTCCAAAAACTTTGTTTTTTTTTTCTTTACTGCTTAAATTAATAAGTTCTTCTTTCTTACATGCTTCAATATCTCCTTTAATTTTGCATTGATACTTGTTTGATTGAGCAAATAAACCGCTTAGTGGAAGATAATCGGAAATCTGTGAATTCACATTGATATTCGTTTTATCGATTGTCAGAATCTTGCAATTATTAAAGCCAGCCCAAAGAATAAAGGCGGCCGCATAAAAGTAAAAGTGACACATTAAAATAAACTCTTTATTCTATTTCTGTTTAAAAAATATATAAATCCTGCTCCCAAAAATTTTTCGTTATTTCATTTTAAATAACATTTTAAATTTAACACTTATTTACAAATTTTTATATACAACAAACTTTTATTGTTTTTGTATTTTGCTGCAATTTTTATGTTGTATCCACTTATACTCAATCTTTTCCAAGCATAATAAATATGCAGCCCTATAGTTTAAGAAAAAACAACTGGGAACGAGTTCAAATTTATACAGAAAAAAGTAACAATGCTGAAGAATCAGTTTCTGCTAATCATGATATCATTGTTTCATGATATAATTGAAAGTGAAATGAAACGGTTGAATATTGATGTTATAAATTTAATAATAGTTACTGCTTTTTTAGCCTTAACCCTTAAAATAGTTATTTGGGTAAAGATTTTACTGATACTAAAACCATCTTTAAGAGAACAAAAAAAAGTGATGAATAGTTAGTATTATTAAGACTTTATAAAGACCACTCAAGAATTTAAAATATTCATAATTTATTATATTAGAGAAACAAAATTGAAAATTAAAATATATTTAAAATAAGAGCGCATATTATGTTTCACCCATGTTTTACAACTGATTGTAGTTCTGTCTGCTTTTTGAATCGAGGGTCTGTTCTTAATGAGAATCAAAGTTGGAAATTAAATTCAGTTTCAATAAAAATTTTAATCAAGTTAAAACAAAATATTTGACAAATAACAAAAATATTTTTTTGAAAATTGAAAAAATTTGATTTCAAAAAAAAAAAAAGATCAAAAAACTGAATATGTTTTATAATGTTTAATATAAGTTTTTATAAAAAAACTAGTTTTAAAATCAAATCATCCAGAATATTTTGCATACTCAAAGAGATTCTTTATAAACAAGATTTGCTTGCGGCTTTTACCGTTATTCTTCAACGCATATTTGCAGTAAAAAAATGAAATCATTTATATATATATTAATTTTTGCATTTTATGAAATATATTGTAAAGATAAACTAAGCTTAAATCATAAGCGACAACTTATGGAAACATTTTTGTCTGAAAAAAATAATGTTTCAACGAAGAGAAACTCAAATAACCCAAATACTAAAAAGGCATACGAAGAAGATAAATCAAATGAAGACAATAAAACTGAAGACGAATATTTAATACATACAAATAAAACTCTAAATTTCAAAAGAATCAAATTACCTGATGTAAAAGTTATGAAAATTGGATTAGAAAAGAGAGTAGAATTGCCGGGGAATGTAGAAGTTACTATGAGAGTAATAAGCATAAACCCTTTCATTTTTGGTATGTTTAAAAATGTGATTTTATCAACTTATAATTCACTTTTCAGCAATCTTTTTTATAATTTTGCTTTATAAATTATAAATTATATATATATATATATATATATATATATATATATATATATATATATATATATATATATATATATATATATATATATATATATATATATATATATATATATATAAGTCATAAAAGTAATATATGAAAAGCCTTTAAATTACCTTTAATAAAAGTAATGCTGCAGTTAAGCAACCTTAAAGATTTTTTTTAGAGAGTATAGAAAGCAATATAAAAGAAATAAACAATAATAACAAATTATTAATAATTTATATATTTATTAATTTAGAGATAGATTACAAAAATAAATAATTTTTATAATAATAATCATGATTATAATATTTTTTGTCGTTTTAAAGTCTCCACGAACGAGAGGCTTCAATATTTATATATTCAGATAAGCGATTTTAAGCCGCTTAACTGCAGATTTAAATATTGTTAAATAGGAGGACTATTAAAAACAACTTAATCGAAAATATCAGAATTTTTTAAAACATCTTCCAGTTTTATAGCTTATATAATATTATTATCTTTTTTATTGCTTTCATTTTTATTTCATTTTTATTTATTTCACTTTCTCTCAACAAAATACAACATTCACAAAAAATTTAAAAATAAAACAAAACAGAAAATTTAGTCTTGCGTGAGTGTTCCCCAAAACTTTTTTTAATGCTATTTAAAATTTTAAACAGTGCTTTATTGAGACCTTTTTTTTCAGTTAGCTAGAAATGACATTTGTTGTTTGTATTTTTACAAAAAACATTATATCTTTCTGCACACCATAGCGGAAATAATTTATTTAAAAAAAATTGTCCACCAGAAACGGTTGACGTTTTCGAAACCGCAGAACTTTTTGCAGTTAACTAAGTTTTGGAAAAAAAATAAGTTTTAAAAATATTCTGTCGACGCCTTTTTTAAAAACGGGTTAAACGGGCTGGTCATGGATTTTTGGTGTTCAAGATAGGTAACTTCCAGAGATGGTGCAAACTTTAAATTTTGTAGTATTGGTACTGGTGTCAAATAAGAATGTTTTACAAAAAATTACAGTAATCAGATCCTGGAAACAATATACTCCTGAAAAATCGGGACCGACTGTCCCAAATGTAGAATAAAGAAAAAAAACAATTTTTTTTTTTTTTTTATATCTTAAAATAGATCGAAATTTAGCGACCAAAGACAGTTTGTAACCCGCTCTGTTTGAGTGAGTTATCAACATTATGAGGTTATAACTTTTGAACGTTAAAATATATATTTTTAATAAATGAGAATTACAGATGAGAATTACAGATGAAATTTAGTCGCGTTCATAATGGTAGAATTTTTTTTATGCTTTTTTTTTTGGTATATACTCAACTGTTTTTTAATTAAAGAGTTTCAGTTAATGGTTGATTTATATTAAGGTAACAAACTAAAACCAAGACGTGCAACTTTAACATATTTTAGTGCAATTTAAAACCAAGACATGCAACTTTAACAATTTAACAGTGGAACGTTCTCCACTGTTAAATTGACCACCATGAAGCTTAGGCCTTTAAAAACCTAAAATTTGGTCCCACTGGTTTGCAAATAAAGTGGCCTCCAGTTTCCTGTGGACAATTTTTTTAAAATAAATTATTTCCGCTACGATGTGTCTGCCACATCTAACTGTCATACAATAATTCTTTTTAATAATAATTTTAAGAAGTATTGAGTTAATAAATTTCTCCTCCTGATTGTAAACCTTTTTATAACCAATATAATTTTTGATCCATTAAGCGTAAACAAATTAATTAAAAGAGAGAACGGAGGAGGGCTATGTAGCGAAAACTGCATTTATGCTTTATTTGATATTTGGTTAAAAAGTCGAAAAAAAGCAACACATCAAAAAAAAGAAATATATATGGTATTGTTGGAAATATTTTTTAATGCACTTTTTGATGCATTTTAAAAATATATTTTATAAGCAACCTCCAAGACAGAGTAGGGGTATTTAATTTAAATAAATTTTGATGATAAATATAAGAGCTCAAAGTAATCAAAGCTTCAACCTTTAATTTATTTTAAATAAAATTTAAAAGTCTTCATAATATCATAAGAAGAAACCAGAATATTGGTTTACATGTTTAATATATAAATTCAATTTAGAAGTATTCATAATATTAATAAAAGGGCAAGGATAGTTATTATCATTGTTTTTCTTTTTCTTTTAATTTATCTAGTTTTTGTTGGCTTTTTTTTTCTTTTTTTATTCTCCTCGTTTATATTTCATTTGCTTTTCTTCCTTTTTTGTTGTTGAGAACTTTATGTTTTTTATGTGTCACTCCATTGACTATTTTGTATCTATATAAGTGACACCTAACCCATTTCTGTAAATTTACGATGAAAATTTGTAAATTTTTATTAATATGGTTAAATAAAATTTAAAAAAATTAAACATACACACAATTTAAAATAGTAGAAACGTATCTTTAATCTTCTTTAAAGAGAGATTATTAAGGTTTATCGGTCAAATGTTGAAACCAAATTCTGTTCTATTTGCGGTAATCCCACACAATAATTAATATGAATTTATTACATAATACAAATTAAGGTTTTAAAAACTTTTAATTTGTTTTAAATTATAAGGTTTTTATTCTGCATAGAAATGCTGCTTCAGTTCATCTAAAGTCACACTTGGAAGCTTTCAAAGTGTATGAGGACCTTCCCTAATTTTATTATTTTTTTCAAAATATTTTTACTTATTTATTATTATCCCCTCCATAACAAGACACTTGGGAGTAAATAATACTAAGTATATGGTGTAGACTCCAACTTTAACTCTGTAGTCCTAAATTTATAACTTTATTAGACACTGGCAATTAGCTTATTTTTACAACTTGTCCCACAGTAACTTTAATTACTTTTTAATAATTTTTTGCCGAAGCCAAAGATTCGGCAAAAAATTGACCTGGCTTCGGCCGAGCCGAAATTGCCGAAGCTTCGGCACGCCGAAGGCGAAGCCGAAGCTTCGGTACATCCCTATTTTTGAAATCTTTCCCGCAACTTTTGAACGTTTTCAAAAAAAATAAAAAATTTCAAAACAAAATTTTTTTTACAAAAATGTTCACCATTATTTTTGAAATCTACTATTTTTTGAAATCTTTTTTTTTTCTTATGTACGATTATTAATATGTATGTTATTAGATTTATAATATTACATATAATCTTAAATATAATTTTACATATAATAACATATAATAATATGTATTATGTTACACTTATATACTTTTATATAAGTCTTTGTTAAATACATATAGACAAATTTATTTTTTAAGTTTGATTCTTTTGTATATGCTGTTAGTTTTCAATTGAAAAATATTCAAAAGTTACATGTTAAGTTACAAGTCAAAACATATAAGAGTATATATAAATAGTTTATTCTTTTAAACTTGTGGTTTTGTCTAACAACAATAATGTCTATTATTGATCCAACAACATGTAGATTTGCCAAAGTGGTTGCATACGCAACCGCAACTTCCCTTAAATCAAAACTAAAATTCAATCTATAGCAAAATCAAACAAAATAAACGTGCATACAATATTAAATTCGTTTTCAAGCAGAAGCTGATGTAAACTAGAAGAAGCAGAAAAATCCCAGCATTCATTTTCAAATTGTAAGGATTGTATCAGAAATAAAATATATAAACACCTATTAGCATTATTCACAGTAAAATGCTTATTTAGGAAAAGCAAAATTAGCATTTTATCAGTCGCGTAAAGAAAAATCAAAAATGATAATGTCAAAATTCTTATTATATATAATTTTTGAACTTATTGGAATTAATGAATGCTCAAACAGTAAAGAAATAACAACAGAGTTATTGTTACAGAAATCGAAAATTTTCAATTGTAAACGCCACCTTCAATTATACTATGATGGGTCTGCAATTCATGACCGTTATAATAATTTATATTTATATAGTTAATTTATATAGTTCATATGATACAACAATATATTTAAAAGATAATGAGTATTTTAAGCAATATAAAGAACAAGTTAATGTCCAATTAATAGTTAAAAAAACCTGAATTTTAAATGTTGGCACATTGCCAATCTTCTGATGCCCAAATTGTTTACAAAAAAATTAGAAATGAGGACAATTGATTATTAAAATAGCCTATCAGTATTAAAGGCATTTTATTATTTAATAAAATGTAATTTTTATGGCAGTTTCCTTCATAATCAGAGTTTTCTTCACTTGATATATTTAAAAGACCTAGTAAAAGATAAACCAAGATCAATTATGATGCGAGTTTTGTATGCAAAATATTTACACGCTTTATCTGTTCATGATCCACAAGTCCACAAATGCTGACCTAACTGGCGACTTGAAAGTGTTTGAGGTTGGTAAAAAGTCACCGATTTCATTTCTATATTTTATGGTCAAACCTTTGTTTTACATTTTTTCTGTCGACCTCACTAATCTGATGCTGACTTCACATTTATGTATATATATATATATATATATATATATATATATATATATATTTATATATATATATGTATATACAGTGCTTGAAGTGAGGCAGGATGCGGTCACCTTTTTATAAAGTATAAATCATCCCGCCACCTTTTTATAAATCTCTATATAAGATTGATTAGGCAGGCAGGATGGTATTTTAATTTTCGGAATAACGTCCTGGTACTTTTTTTTCTCCACTTTGAATACTATATATACATATATATATATATATATATATATATATATATATATATATATATATATATATATATATATATATATATATATATATATATATATCTATGTGTGTGCGCGTGTGTGTGTGCGTGTATGTGTGTGTGTGTGTGTGTGTGTGTGTGTGTGTGTGTGTGTGTGTGTGTGTGTGTGTGCATTTATGCACTATATGATACATATGGTTTGACAAAAAAATTTATACATTTAGTATATTAATTAAACAAAATTTATTTACAAAGAATTAGTAAGTTTCATTCTATTTGGGAGTTCTTTATAAAAACATTACACTGATAACACACTTAATTATCAGTTATATATATAATTGTTTAATAAAACAATATTATTTCAAGTGAAATAAATATGCCTAAAGAATTAAAATAATGCTTTTTTTAAAAGATAGTTTATACAAGTTTAATGTTTACAGTTGTAAAAATAAGTAAAAAAATATTTAGTTTGTAACTTTATAACTTTTTTATAATATCATAATTTACTGTACCTTTATTAGTAAATGTACAATATTCTTTCACCAAAGGTTTTTTGTACTGAAGCATACAGTTATATGCATAAGTTAAAAATGAAACAACCAATCAAATTTAACTAAATAAGTATTGGGTTTTTTTTTTAGAAAAAAACTGACTTGTCAACTTAGTACACTTGAGTAGCAAGATAACATGTTTTTAGGATTGGTGTATTTGAGGATTTTCGAAGCAGTATTGCTAAGATTACAAATCTTTTCTATTTAAACAAAATTTAAAGAATGTAAATAATGGTAAATGAAGTTATGTTTTGAAAAACAAGTTTTATAAAGTATGAGTTCTTTGAAATTTTTGAAGCCTAAAAAATATCATAAAAAGTTAAATTTATGGGGTTGTCCATTATTTATGTCAACAAAATAGGGGAAGGGAAGGAGTCTGACAATTGTTGACAAGGAGGATAAGGAGATCAAGTTGTTGAAATATAGTTGGCGTCAACAGTTTTATTTTTTTTAAAATAAATTCAATTACCTAAAAAACGGCAAAAAAAAGGATTTTTTTCCATTTTAATTTTAATGAAAGGGGAGGGATAATCAAATTTTGGCTTAGGGGGTTTTCTGGAAGTTTGATAAAGGGGGACATAAAAGTCTCTTAAAAATTTAAAATTAATGGACAGCCTTGCATTACCTAAAGAAACAAGGTTAGTTGTAACGAGTTCAATTCAATGTCATGATTTCTATACAAAAGTTATCTTATTTATTGAAACAGAAGCGTTGAATCAGAGTGTTTACCATTATTTGTAACATTTAAATTATTATTATTTGTTTAGTTGCGATATCTTTTTTTTGAGATTACTTTTATAATATTTTCAATTTTTTTTTAATAATATATTTAATTTAGGGGTCCATCAAAAAAAAAATGGGCCGGGGTGACGTTATATTCTCATAATCCCCCACTTTTTATTAGTGACTGTAATAAATGTTTCCTAATTTTTAAGGCCGATTTTTACTTTTTTTTTTTTTTAGATAGCAAGTAAAAATTAATACGGGAGGGGGGGAGGGGTCTAAATAAGGTTGGGGTGGGTGTGAAAATTTTCCAACAATTAATAAATGCCCCCCCCCTGTATTAAGGACTAAAGAGTATGACCTTAATTAGTCCGTAAATATGTATGAACTTAATTAGTCTGTACATATGTATGAACTTAATTAGTCAGTACATATGTTTTAACTTAATTAGTCTGTACATATGTATGAATTAAATTAGTCCGTACATATGTATGAATTTAATTATTCATTTGATGAATATATTCACTTAAGGCAACTTTTTAAAGTTTTCAAAGTTTGACTTTATAAACTGTAAGTTAACTTTAAAGTTTATAAACTGTTCGATCTTGTATTAGGTTTTCGATCTTCTTCTTCTACAGCCATGTTAGCATAGCTATGTGTATTAAAAGTTAAATAGTATTAATATGTGTATCAAAATTTAAAGTTTTATTACAAACTTTTTTATATTTTAGAAATTGAAAACTTTATTGATGAAGAGGAATGTGAATTGCTTATAGATTTGGCAAAAGTAAAATCTCTAAAAGAAGTAAATCAAAAATTCAATAATATTGAGTTTAAAAATGCAAATGAAGTATTTAGGGAGTGGGATTATAATCAGGATGGCTTTATTGAACCTGATGAGGTGATTAAAATAGTTTACATGAAATACATTTTCACATATTTTCTGAAAAAATTCAATTTTTTATTTATATTTAGGTTACTTTACTTCCGTGTTTTGCAGATATAACATTTACCTCTCAAGATGCAGATGATATGTTCTTTGTATTAAAAATGGATCCAAATGGAGACGGTATATACAAAATAAATTCTATAATACAATATATGCTTTAAAACATATTAAAAATTGATCCTAATAAAATTCTGACTTATTTAAACATTAAGTATTTCCCTAGTTAATAAGAATTGCTTAGTAAATAAAGAGCACTTATTAGCTTATGCAAAGACCATGTATTATACGTAACTTTTACTATTCCTACATGGTTTGTTGTAAACAAGTCAAGACTGATGATGCAACATGTGCTACCCATATCTGTTAAGAAGCATAGTTTGACTTTATAACTTCGTGGATTCAGGCTGGCATGGAATTTTTTATTCCCTCTCAATAATTCCAGGTCAAGCCCCACTCTCCTCCATAGTTTTCCTCACATTGTGCTGCTGCAATTTCCAATCTTAACCATTACATCCATATCTATCAGCAAAACTATTCTCCAGGAAACAGACGTCTGTTTACTATTTCTAGGAACCATTGTAAAACGGTTTTGTCTAATGCCAAGTTTTGCTTGACGAGAGCCTAATTTTTGTCATGAAATCTTGTATTTCATCACAAAAATTAGGCTCTCGTGACTTCTGAAGAATCTTTAACAGTATCAATAACAAAGAGAAATCTGTTATTCCACCTTCCTTGTATGGTTCAGACGTTGTCACCTCACCTAAAGACAAAGCTGAATTGTTTGCTAAGACCTTTTCATCAATATCAACTCTTGATTTTACTAGTTGCATTCTACTTGATATAGCCATCAAACAGGTTAATCCATTGCTTGACATTCGTATCACTCTAGCCTCTGTATCAAAAGTAATTTCCTGTTTTGACTCTTCTACGCCTTGTGGTCCAGACGTACCTGTCGTAGTCTTGCATAAGTGTCCTCTGAAGCTGTTATCCATACTATCATCAAAAATCATCCATACTATCATCAAAACTATTTAACAAGTGCTTATCAGAATCTTGTTTTCCGGCATGCTAGAAAACGGCATCTGTTGTCCCTATTTTCAATAATTCTGGAGAGCCATCTAAGTCATCTAACTACGTTCTATTAGTCTTCTTCCTATCATAAGCAAGGTTTTTGAATCTTTAATTAACAGACACTTAATCTCTCATTTTGAATCTAATAACTTACTTTCTGATCATCAATAAGGATTTTGATCTTCTTGTTCTACAGCCAATTTACTAACAGTAATAACTGATAGGTTTTATTGTACATTAGATAGAGGTGGAGAGGTGAAGGCTATTGCTCTAAAGCTTTCGATAAAGTTTAGCATGCTGGTCTTCTCCATAAGCTTTCTTCTTATGGTGTATCTTTAAGATTATTGAGTCCTTCCTTTCCAATTATTGTATAAAAGTTGTCCTCGACGGACAACACTCTTCTTCATATCCTGTCACTTCAGGGGTTCAATCCTTGGCCCTATACTTTTTAATTTATCTTAATGATCTTCCAGATATTCTTACATCTAAAGTAGCATTATTCGCTGATGATACTACCATTTATTCTTGTCATGATAAGAAGCCGACGCTCTCTGATTGCTTGGAGGGGGCATTTGAGCTTGAAAAGAATCTCACTTCAGCTACAGCATTGTCTCACAATGGCTAGTGAACTTTAATTCAGATAAAACCCAACTTTTTTTAGCCAATCGTTATCACAATAATTTAGATCTTCCTATATTTATGAACGGTAATGTACTTGATAAGTCATCTACCCTTTATCTTCTAGGATTAACTCTTACTTCTGATCTTTCTTGAAAACCGTATGTCAAATCCATTGCAAAATTAGCATCTGCTGAGGTTGCATCTCTTTATTGTGCTCGACACGTTCTTACTCCGGATTCTATTCTTCATCTCTATAAAATATCAAATCTGTCTTTGTATGGAATACTGTTGCCATATCTGTGGCAGATTTTCCAATGATACCCTTTGTCTTTTAGATGGTGCAAAAATCCATTGTAAACATAGTTGGACCTGCTCTTGCAGCCAACCTCCAACCATTATTACATCATCGTAATGTTGTTTCTCTTCCTCTTTGATACAAATATTATAATAAGGTGCTGCTCTAAAGAGCTAGCGTCTTTTGTGCCATCTACTAAATTATTTTTTTAAGTCTCATCCTTTTACTGTGACTGTTCCTAAGTGCTCCAAAAAATCTTATTCGTCTAGTTTTTTTCCTTGAACATCTTTTCCTTTTTACCTTGAACATCATCTTGAACAAATTCTTGGGAATTAGCTTCCTTCAGCTTGCTTTCCTGATTCATATAATTTGCAATCTTTTAAGTCATCTGTCAATTGTTATCTTGCTTATGGAGAAGACCAGATGCCAAACTTTATCAAAGACTTTATAAATATTAAGAGCTAGATACCTTTAACATCTCCACATCTATCATTAACAAATCAGAAGAACGAGAAGATCGAAATATTATAAGATCGAAGATCATATTGATGATCAGAAAGTAAGTTATAAGATTCAAGATGAGAGTGCTTGTTCATGAAAAACTCTAAATCTCTGCTTATGATAGGAAGAAGACTAATGGGATGGTAGTTAGACAAGTCAGATCGCTCTCTAGAATTTTGGAAAATAGGGATAACAGATATTAGAGTCATTATCAGAGGCTTGTTTTCCAGCAGGCTAGAAATAAAAACTCTGATAAGCACTTGTTAAATAGTTTTGAAAGTATTGATAACAACTCTGGACTTCTGGAAGACTATAACAGGTATGTTGTCCGGCCACAAGCTGTACAAGAGTCTAAGTAGGAAATTACTTATGAAGTGAAGTGATACTAATATCAAGCAATTGGTCAACCTGTTTGTTCGCTATATCAAGTAAGATGTGATTAGTGGAATCAAGAGATGATATTGATGAAAAGTTCTAAACAAACAATTCAGGTTTTTCTTTAGGTGAGGTAACAAAATCTTAACCATGCAAGAGATGACAAATAACAGATTTGCCCATATTATAGACACTGTTAATATTTTAGAAATCTCTGAAACCTAATTTTTGAGATAAAATAAGAGATTTCCTGACCTGAGAATAGCGTTCTTTGGCGTTGGACAAAACCTTTTTACAATGGTTTCTAACAATAGTAAACAGTTGTCTGTTTTCTGGAGAATTGTTTTGGTGATAGAAATGGAAGTAATGGTTACAAATGGAAATTGCACCAGTCCAAGCATGTGAATATTGGAGTCTTTACAAATTAAAGGAAGATAACCATCGACACTAACATAACAAGATGAGATAACTGAACTCAAATTAGTTTTTGATAATTTTAGTTTTTGATACTTTGGTCATTTTTAGATTGGTTAAAGAACTTGACTCAAACCATTACCTATTAGTCCAAGCAATTGCTTTATTTCTATTAATAAACCCTAAGCCATAACAAATGTCTTCAAATGTGCAATTGACAATGTACATCAAATGTACAAACAGGACCACCATCCACTCACAATATTGTACTGTTAGTATTCTAATATTTTACAGCTTTTAAAAATTTTGGAAGAAGATCTTGGTTTTACTTAAAGGTGTTATTCCATGTCAAGAGTAGTGAGGCTTAACTTTATGTACAGTGATGACAAAGTACCTTCTGAGGTTCTATTAACAGCTTTCACTTCACAGGGTTCTTGCCCACAGACATTTTGGTTCATTGTGGCCATGCTTTTCTCTAATATTTGACCTTACTGTCACGGTAAGGTAAAGTTTCAAGGAAACAATAAAACTTTGTAAACTGCCTTGTATGCCGATGAGTTAAACCAACCTGAAACATAGCATATATAACTAATTTTAAAACTTTGAAGACAGGAAGTTTCATGCATCATCATGTAGGCGGTAACATTAACATATAATATATTTGGCAGAACACTGGTATATAAAAACTTTGTCTATTGCAATTTCCTAAAATGAAATACATTTATCTAAATCATTGAAGTTCTACAAAATAAAGCACATCTAAATAAAAAGCAATTATTAAACTTATCTTTAAGAGTATTTTTGCAATATTTACAACTTACTTCTATGTAATACTTTTTTGACCTCATCTTTATAAATTGTCCACACACAAAAGCAATGTAAATAATTTCACAATGTAAATAATGTTGGTGCTATTCAAATTAAATTAATGCTCTTTAAATATGATTTATTTATTTACCAATAAAATGAACTGAATGTTTGAGTCACTTGTGCTTTTAACTTTTGACTGCATTTTGGCAGTTCAAGAACATTTTAAATAGATCTTGAAGTCTTTTGAATATTTTAAAGGTTTCTTTATAAGTTCTAGAGTATTCTGGAAAATTTGCAGACCTCGAATAGTCTAGTTATTCATGAAAATTAAAGAAAAAATTTCAAATTGAAAAAGAAACTTTTAACCTAGTAACAAAGCAAAAAGTAAATTGGTTGCAAAGCGTTATTTTTCAGTGGTGAAAACTGTGATTTTAATTCATTATGATTAAAAACATTTGAATAAAACATTTGAATTTTTATATTGTGCAATAAATTTAACCAAAAAGTTATTCAAAAATTTTAAAATTATTTCTATTTAAAATTAGTACTTGACTAATCTAACTTTTTGCAATATTGGTGAAAATGTTACTGATACGCATATCAATATTTTACATTGTTTATGCAAGGTAAATAAATCCTTTTAGGTACTTAATCAAAGATTTGTTAAGCTTACTTGCATCTTTCTTTGCATAGCTATTATCATCATTTTGATTACACATGATTAATAGTGAATCTTTCTTTTGAGTGTGGATAAATAAGAGAATTTATATGATAGTTTTCAGTCATTTGTGTCTTCAAGTGGTGAGTAGTTTTGCCAATATATTAGAATTTATACCTGCTTAAAAAAATTTTTAGACAATGAATGATATAAAATTTTTGTAAGTAATACCAATATTGAGGCAAATTACAAGTCAGATGTATATTTAATACAATACTGAAACACAATAAAATAATTTAGTGCTTACTTGTTTGACAACTTTTTGCTTTATTAAGAACAAATAATGAACAAGTATTTCATTGTTTGATTTTTAGACCAAATTTTTTTCAAAAAAATTCCTATTCATTATTATCTTTGTCATCATCATCATCATCATCATCATCATCATCATCATCATCATCATCATCATCATCATCATCATCATCATCATCATCATCATCATCATCATCATTATCATCGTCATCATCATTATCATGACCATTATCATCATCTATTTGATTGCCATCTCTCTTCTTTCAAGATGCTAGCAATATTAAAAATAGCTTGTTATGTGCCTTTTGAACCCATTGCTTACAAACTGTTCAAACAATAGAGTTTTTCCTAACTCTTTTCTCTTTTATAGACATTCCACATTTACACTTTCTAGTATTTTTTATTTGCTCATGCTTGATTTAACAATACATACAAAAATATATTTGTTTTATTTATCTTTATCATAAGCCTTTTTGCTTCCATTCCATTTTTATAAACTTTATACATTTTTTTTTTATTTTATTTTAATTTTCTTTGTACCATATTTGATTATAATGTGTTCTTTTTCCAACTTATAACGATATGGTATGCTGGAATTTATTATTTTTTGAAAGTTAAATTTTATAATGAAAATATAGAAAATATCAGTGTAGTCCTGAAATATTAAAAATTACAACTTCAACTGCTTAACAACTGATTACCGACTGTTTGATAACAATTTGGTAAACTTTTTTAATGCAACAATTTCAAAAAAAATTTAGTTTTTAAAATTTAATTTTTATAATTAAAATTATATTTTATTTGGAATACAAATATATTTGTTACAACTGATCATGTAACATATTTTAAAATATATTTAAAAATAAGTTACCAAATTTTGTGAATACTAAATGAACGTTAATTGTAAATTAAATATAGTTGTGTATGACCACCATTTTATTTGTCTGCTAAAACCCTCAAAATATTTTATACTTTGCTAACACCCTTTATATTTTTTAAAGTTACAAACATCCTTAAAATCTTTTAATCTTTACAAACACCCTTAAAATCTTTTAATAGATTAAATAACTCAAAATAAAAGTTTTTCATCATTATATTGCACAAAAAACTTTCAAATTATGTATACAGATGCTTTTAACAAAATAAATAATCATTTTTAAAATTTGTATGTATTTTTCTAATTATTTTTTTTACACGCAAGATTTTTTTTAGAATACAACTAGGGACCTATTAATAGGTTAAAATTGTTAAAAAATAGATGTTATTACTTGATTGAATTGAATTTTTAATTTGTCTATGAAAAGGAAAGGTAGATCTTAGTGAAATGAAAAAGACTGATTTTGCACAAGCCAAATATTACTTGGACAACATAAAAAAAGAAAAATTTAGACAGCGTAATGTAACAACTAGTACTTCATGGATTTGGCATGATCAAGACGAACTTTTGAAACATACAAAAGAAGGATATTTCGAAAAGTATCATGAAAGGTATTTTTAATCATTTTTTTGTTTGTTTGTTTACAATATTATTACTTAATTAATATTAGCAATACTATAAACAACAGTGTAAAAATTTTGGATAAAATTATGTTATGTTATTATAAATTTTGCTTTATATTTTATAAAAAAACATTGAGAATAAAATATCTTTTTATTTAAATACAAAAAGGTAGTTAAAAACCACAGTAAGGTAGTTATTTACCACAGTAAAGTAGTTTACAGGTACAGTAAGGCAGATTATGTTAAAAATAGCAAAAACTATAAAACTACTAGATAAAATGTGGGGTTGAAATATTATATATACATCAAAATAGTTTTTTTTTTGGAGGAATGCTTCCCAAAAAACCCTATTTTGATATATATATATATTTATTTGTATATATATATATATGTATATATATATATATATATATATATATATATATATATATATATATATATATATATATATATATATATATGTATATATATATATATATATCAGTGGCGGACTCGGACTAAAAATCAGCCCGGGCATTTCATATTGGACCGGCCCACATTAGAGGAAAATTAATTAACTTTTTTTTTTATAATTTAACTATGAAATTTTTAAACAATTTTTAAGAACAAATATGTTTATTTTAAATATTCAACTAATTAAGAATTTTCAAACATTTAAAAGATTTTTAAACAGATCACTTGTTTCAGCTAGCTCATCAATTATTGTTTTGGGATCAAGATTGCTTAGAATTTCCTTTTCAGTATTCATGAGCATGAATGATTGTAAATTTTCTTGAGCCATACTACTACGCAAACGATTTTTGATAAACTTTAAAATTGAAAAACTTCTTTAACATGCAACTTTTTTTTTTTTTTTTTTTTTTTTTTTTTTTTTTTTAACATCTTCACTTCCAACAAGGCTGCAAGCAACCACTATAAGAGTTGGAAGTTACTGGAAGAGAAAAGACTAAATCTGTAGAGCAAGATAACGATTGACTGATGACTTAAAAGATTGCAAGTTATATGAATCAGGAAAGCAAGATGAAGGAAGCGAATTCCATTTGCGTAAATGAAAGTGACAAGCGAATTGCGTAAATGAAAGTGACAAAGTATATTTATAAGCTAACCCAATTTTTGCGTATGCTTCACTTATTAAATTATATTGAATCAAAACAAGGTAGCTACAAACTGTGCAGTTTTTACAGGCAGTACATGACTTTCGACAATTATATTCAAGTTCCTCAACACTTTTTTTGTTTATATCCATTATGTCATATGTACTCAAAAGTGACTCTTTGATATTATTCCAATTTGAAGCAAAACTAGTAAGCTCAGTACGTAAATTTTCTGCTGTAGCTTCTTCATCAAACGGCAATAGATGTTCACTCAATTTATTTAAAGCAGATGTTGGTACACTATGAGCTTTCAACTGTTCAAAATTTGAAGGGCTTAGAATAGCAAAATCAGCATAAAGTTCTCGACTTTTTTTAAAATGTTTGCTCATGCTTTCTATCATGCTTTTAAATATTACATCATGAACTTTAACTTTATAAGAGTTAAGTACATCAGAATGAATTTGAAATTCACTTGGACGAGTTTCGCCTGATAATACTTTTTTCTTTCAAATTCTTTTTTCTGGTAGAGTATTCTCTGCTTCTAACTCATGTTGTTCAAGTTTTTCATTAACTTTACAGATAAAATTATTAGTAGCTTCCAATACTATATCAAATTCCTCTAAATACTTTTTCAATGTGTCTATCATTTGCATAACCATGTTGTATGCAACCAAAATGTCCATATTTACTGTTTTTTTTAAATTGTGTCATACTTAAGAAGTCCTTCTTTGAAGCCTTTTGCTTTTACTCGAACTTCAGATTTGAAACTTAGATTGTCTTCAATATGAGACAATGCAACTACAAGTTCAACGTAGAAACTAGAATGCGGATTGGCAAAGGTACCAAATATTTTTGTTAACGCTGCATCCTTTGACCACCAACGTGTTTCACCAATAGTTGAAATTCTGCGGTTGTGTATATCATTCTGATTTTCTGTTTCAAAAATATTCATTCTTGTATATGATCCACGAGTAAACACTGCTACGTCAACAAATTAAACAAGGAAATACTTGATAAAATGACACTACAAGTATCTGAAATAACCAAATTTAAAACATGAGTATAACACCATACATGTATTTGGTTTATATTTTTTTTGAACACCCATGCTGCGAAACCGTTATACTCACCATTCATATTTGCAGCTCCATCTGTTGAATTACCAACACCCTTTAAAATATCAATATTCAATGCCTTTAAAGTTTCAGATACTAAACTCGACAGATACTTGCCAGTTGATGAGTTGCACGCAATCATAGTTAATAATCTTTCGTGAATCTGATCAGTTACATACCTCACAACTATTGAGCATTGATTTTTAGTTGTTATATCTTCTGTTGTATAAATTTGAACTGAAAACATACCAGCTGAGTTAATTTCTTTTGCAATGATTTTCTGTATGGAACGACTCGTAATTTGAATGAGTTTTGTTATTGTGGTTTTTGAAAGAAAAGTAACCATGGAATCTCTTCCAGTACTTCCTGTGTTCTTCCCTTTTTCACTCTGTTCAATGCAACTATTTAAATGTTTCTTTTAAACAAGTATCATATTTACTGACAAGTAACACCATTTCTAAGAAATTTCCATGATCAATTGAATTATCTGACAATGTATAAGCAGCTTCAAACTCATGTCCCTTGTAACTAAGACCACGTTTTCCAATTACTTTAATAATTTCTATTACTCGCAGGAGCACAAGACATCGCTTTTGAACTTGCTCTTGACGTACAGAAATTTGAGTAGAAAACAGTAAATTTGAGACGTTGGATCTAGATACATGTTGGAAATAGTTTTCTGTGCATTCGTTATGCGATGCTGATTTTTCATGTTCATCAACTCTTTGATGAATATGTCTTCTATCTGTCATTCCACTAACAAAAGAACTCATTACAACAGTTGGTAAAAATGCTAAACATATTGAACAATATAATGCATCGTTGCCTTCAGAGTAAGATAACCATTTACGATTCGTTCCATTTTTCCGTACAAAAGATTTCACAATAATAGGATCTCTGGTAGTTTGAATTGGATGGATTTCAAAAAATTTATTGAGAAGTGTTGATGGTGGACGAGAAAACCAGTCAATATTTTGTTCTACAATAATTACACCTTGATCAACAACCATATCATATTGATTGGTTAGCATAATTCGAAATTGGTATCTATGACAGCGTTTGGGTTTATTGAAGACTATAGTGATTTGTTAATTTTTTTTTTTGGATTAGATTTCGTGTTTTCCTATTGCCAATGGTCTTTGAATTTGATTAGTATTTTTATTTGCATTTTCATTTTTTTTGGTTTTTGCATTTTTGTACCATATGTATGCATGTATATATGTTATATATCTATGTATGTATGCATGTATGTATTATGTATTACACTTAATGAAGGATTAAAAAATACGTACGTCACTAATTTTACAAATAATTCTTTGTAAAGAACATGCATTAAGTTCAAATATGTATTATATTAGTTTCATTTGAATTTTTTGATTAATCATCCTAATTTTTTTACCAGCCTCGGCCCACTTTTGTACCGGCCCACCGGGCATTGTCCCGGTATGCCCATATGGCCAGTCCGCCTCTGATATATATATACATATATATATATATATATATATATATATATATATATATATATATATATATATATATATATATATATATATATATATATATATATATATATATATATATATATATATATACATATAATAATCTTTCTAAATTTTTTTCAAAATAAATTCTTGATATTTTAGAATCCAATCTAATAAAAAGAGAATGCATCTAATCTCATAGAATTTTATCTGTTTATTTAAGTTTATTTGATCAGTTTATTTAAGTTTTCTTTTGGAATTATTTATTAACAATAGTTTTAGCAATATTAGTACAGTTAACAAATAGTTTTGATTTTACTTTGCAGTTAAATAGATCTGCAAAAGTGGCAGTCATTTTGAAATAGCAAAAGTTCAGCTTTAAGTTACAGACTTTAGGAGGTACATGTGACTGGTAAAAATTTAGTGAAACGATTACCACTTTTTTCTAGTGAGCAAATCACTGGAAAAATATGGCGGTTCAATCAAGGTTTCATGTTTTTTGTAAAACCAAATCCCAATTTATTTAAAACATAAAGGCATTGAAATTTTAGCATTATAAATTATAGCGTGGTTTTTTTTTGGAGAGTAATTCAAATTGGGAAAGGTGTTGTTTAGACATTACTCGAAAAAACTCTATTACTTTTAAAATAAATAATAGTTTATAAAAGAGATATATGCTATAAATATGTTATTACACTTTATAAATACGCTTCAAAAATATATAAAAATCATCCATGACGAACCAGCAAGGTTCTTTTAACAAACTTTTCTAACCATCTAGAGCAGATTATTGTTGGGTTCCAATTACCAACATAATTTGCATCATTAATGCACCTTTAACAACTAGACATGTATACATTGACCACTGATGCATCTAAGCAAATCTTAACACAATCTTGACACTATATTTTTGTATTTATTGTAAATAATTGAATAAAATGGAACCAGTACCGAACCAAATAATTTTTGAAAACAATATTTTCAAAATTATCTTTACTTTATTGAAAATGCAAATAAACAAACAAAAAAAATTTTTGAGAAAATAAGTGGGGCATGGCCCCTTTTCCCCGGGCCATTGGCCATCTGGTTTTCTGCCCTAGAAACAATTTTAACAGGTCTGTTATCCATATATGGAAATCCATAAATTAAAATCGTTATAGTTTTTGAAAGACCAATAAATATAGAATGATGTGTAATATATATTCTTTTTGATACCATCAAGGCCACATGGGTTTCTTGAGGATTAAAAACAGGTATATAACAAAATTTCCTAAATTTATTTAAATTGATAATTACAGGTACTTAGTTAATTTTTTACACTTCTGATTATTTCATTGGATTCATCACCCCCAAAAATAGCCAGTTACAAATTTTTAAGTAAAAAAATCAAATATTTTTAAAGTTATGTGACTTGAAACTTCAGAATCAATGTTATTATCTGCTAAAAGTAAAACAATCATATTTCAGGATCTTCTTGGAGCCAGAGGTTAAAATTTTTAAAGAATTCTTTATTTACTAAACACCCTCAACTGTATAAAAAGCAACAAAATCTGAGATGTATGGTGACCTTGGTCATTTGACATGGAATTACCCAATAAAGCAAATGAAAAAATATATATAGATAGAATACATAGAATAAACAAAATAATTGATATAAAGATATTAAACAAAATATTGATATAAAAATAAATATACATAGAATAAACAAAATAATTGATATAAAGTTCTTCAAGAAGTTAAAGTTATCTAATAATAAGCCAGCAGTAATTTATGTATCAAAAACTATTTACTACTAACATAGTTCAAAAACTACATTACAATATACTGAACATCAAACAAGTAACATAATAAATATTATAAATCAATCTGTAATATAATCAAAGTTAAGTAATTCAAATGCATCTATGGTTAAAGTTAAGTAATGCAAATAACTATAGTTAGTTCATCAAAAAATTAATTCATAACATATTTTTTAACAGCAATATATCATTTTGTTAAAACATAAAATGTAAATAAATTTCTCACCATTCAATCATCACCATTGAAGGTTATTAAACTTGCCAAGCATACCCTATAAACTTTTTCATTTAAACAGTATCTTTTTTTCAAAAATGAAGACTGGAATTTTCAAATTTACTTATTAAAGATATAAAAATCATCATGCAGAATAATTTTTAGATTATTGTTATGTATTAAATTACAATAACACACAAAATATAGAACTTTCTTCAGAAAATCCTTTACACATGAATCAAGAAGATAGAAGCCACAGAATACTAATTATGTAAAAGTGTTTTAAATTCATCTAACAAAAATAACCAAAAAACAAAATAAGAAAAAAGTAGTTAAAAGTTAAATATATATTCATTTTACTAGGGATAGTCATAGATTATCCCTTGTAAAATGAGTTCTACAAGATTTTAAATTAAAAAAAAAATGACAAAAAGTTAATTTCTAAAAATACTTTTGAACTTTTTTTTTCAATTTAATGAGTATCAAATCAAGCATTATTTTTTATTCCAAACATTTTCTTATTATTTGCGATATTATTTAGCACATGTTTATGGTATATGGTTATGAATGGTTTAGCATAATTATGTTCACAAGCTATTAAAGTTTTATGCAGGAAACTTTCTACACACAGGAAAATAAAATGTTTACACAGAAACCCTTTTATTTTCCACACATTGTATGTACATTTAGTGAAGTTTATTTTCCACACATTGTATGTACATTTAGTAATGTTTATTTTCCACACATTTAGTTACATTTAGTACATTTAGTTGTTTTCAGTTATTAAAATAAACTCTCCAAAGTCCAATTGAATGAAACTATTCAATTCCATATGCATTGCTAAACTTAAATTTTCTTGCATATATTTATATATATTATTATCTTTTATATTTAGTAAAAATGTTAAAATTTAACTTTTTCATAAAATAATCACCTTTCAAATGTTTCTTTCTTTACAACCTATTTATCTTTAGTATACTATGTTATTTATTATTGCAACTTGATTCCTTATGTAATAATTTGCTTAATAGACATGATATTATGTTATCTTATATTCATATTATGTATACAAGGTATTATTGTTATATTTTAGATACATAATAATAACCTTCCTGTTATATACAATTATCAAAAATTATCAAAACACAATTATCAAAAATTAAATTTGTCTTACAGATAGTTCACCAGCAAAAATCATTGGTCAATCTGATGGCACCTTAATAATAGGAAGCTACTCTATTTAACTAAATTCTTTGTGATAAGATATCTAGTTTCATTTCTTATAATTGGTATAAATGCTCAGCTCTTACATTTTATTTTGGAGGAAAACAAATTCAATTTCACTTTACCCTATCTTCTATTAAATGTAAACTTCTTAAACTTATTTCTGGGATTGACTCATCTCAACTCACTCTTATTACAACACCTTTAAGATCAATCCAAATGACTTTAGATAACACAATCCAAATGACTTTATTGTGAATTACTTGCCTCCTAAATGATGGTATTATTTGAATTTTTTCAAAGTCCTTTGAAGCCCTAATGCTTTGTTATAAATCTATCAAAAAAAAACTTGTTTAGTAATTGATTTCTCTAACACTAAACACATACATACTCCTCTGCAGTCTTATTGTCCTAAAATATATTTTTGGACAATAAGAATGCAGAGCATTATTAGGTTAAGATTTAAAAAAAGCAGATAAATTTCCAAAAAAGTATGTAAATATTTGATTGAGTATTTTTAACAGATGTAAATTTTCTTATAAGAAAAATATATATATTTTTTTTATAAAAGAAAATAGAGAGGCAGATATGTATTTAACAAAACTATTTATGGTTCAATTATTAAGTTCTTATTAAGAGACAAAAAGTTGCAGCAAAATGAGGTAACTTAAATATAAATCAGTAGTTCTTTTAAACCAAAATTAAGCTTAAAACAATGATTTTTAATTGGCTCGTACCCAAGTTTATAATTGTGCATTAAAAATCTGATTTTTATATCAGTAAAAAAAATTTTATATCATAAAAAAGTAAATTGTTTTTAAAACAAAGATTAAAAGAACATATACAATTTTATTTACTATGGCCTAGTTTAACATAACCATTACTAGAGGTTTGAAAGTGAATGCAAAATAAGATTAAATGAATGGTAAAGATATCTTACATTATTTTAATTAAAAATATATTATGTGTAAGGTGGGGTGTGTAATTTTATTTGAAAATGTTTTACTAGCTTTCTAGTATTTGTTTTCTGTAGCTGTTTTTTATTTTTAGCTATCCTTACTAAAGTAATAAGTATTTTATGAGTTGTAATTGTAAATTTCCATATAGAATTTCAATGATTACTGGGCTTCCATCACTTATAATTGAAGAAAGTGAACCAATTCAAGTAAGACTTTTTGGTGAAGGTCAATTTTACACTTTACGTCATGATAGTGAACCAGTTTCAAAAGATATACCTTGTTGTTTGTATGGAGATAATAAGCTTTGTCGATTATGCAGGTATTTTAATAGTTTTTCTACTTTAATAATTTCTTTTAATATTTTCTCTGGGTTACTTTATAAAAAAAAAATTTTTAACTGTGCAAACAACATTAAAATTTCTTAATAAGTAATTTAATAGCTCAAAATAAATATAAGTTATTTTTTGTCATTTTTAATTCAAATAGATTTAGATGCAAAATAATTATATATTATAACAATAATGCTTTCCTCAAAAATCCTCAGTAATGTGTAGAGTTTGATTTATTTGGTTTATTTATTAAACATTTTGTGTAGTTTTAATTGCCAAGAACTAGAATCAAATATACTGATTTTTTAATAACTACTTATGGCATAATATTTTTTTGTAAACACAAGGTACTAAAAATATTTTTTTTTAATTCTTACTCTATATATTTCAGTCAGGTGAATAAATATGAACAAGGTCAATCTTATAGTGAAAGTACATTTTTTACATTAAAAATTTTTTTTTTTAATATTTTTACAAAAATGATCATGTATTAGCAATAAAATTTTATTCTTTTTATCATTAGTGGAATTATTGATTTGTGAAGAGTTTAGATATGCATCTAACCTCTTCACAAATCAATCAAACATCAAAGGAAAAATATATTAGTCAGCTAGACATACGTAAAAGAAGTATAAATAGCTTTAAATGGATTGTATTTAATATATGACTACTAGAAAGATCTATGACAATATTCTAAGGTTAGTGATCACTTACTATTATTGACTTTAATTGAGCTTAAAGTTCATCATCAAAAAAATGTCAATAAAGGAACAAAGGGTTTTAGTTTTTTGGAATATGTATATGAATATATGTACACATGTCTGAAATCATCTTGACTTTATAAACTTATATAATGGTTATTTAAATACCAGTTTCACTAATCTTAACTTTATTGGTAATTTCGAAAATTAACCTGTGCCTAATCTAAATTCCTATGAAGTAAAGTTTTATTTTTAAATACTACTAATTTTCTTGAATGAACTACTGCAAAGTCACTAAACTAGCCAAAACCAATCACTTTACCATCAATACATAAAAATTGAAAAAATGAAAAGCTTTTTATAAAAAAAGGACTCAATTTTAAAATATTTTACAATAAACAATAAAAAAGAATCAAAACAGATTTTGATACTATTTTAGAAAAACAATTAAACAAGATTAACTCATAACAAATTGTTAGGCTTGTAAAAATCCTGATAAGACAATGGTAACTGATAATGAATATAAACAGCTTTTTCATAACTAAAAACAAAGAAACACAAGAATCATTTCAATATTGAAATAAAACATTAAACAACAACAGAACATGCAGTGTTACACACTAACGCAATCGTTATTTTACTTATCAAACACAGATGAGAGTTTGACCTTAAATTTCTTTTAATTAAACTAATTAAATACTACTGCAGCAACAGTTTTTATTAATGTTGGGGAAATGCTAAACAAGTTTTAGGCTGCAACTGTTTGACTTTGGGACATTCTTTTTATACTAAAAACTTTGTTTTTGTCTATAATAGAAAATTAACATGAGATTACCATATTTCCGAACAGATGTGCAAACTCTAATTCAAACTGAAATATAGTTTTCACAAGTTTTGTTGTCCAATGATATAAATCATTGCCTGTTCTGAAATAATCTGAATGATCATGATCTCCATGAAAATAAAAAGATACCAATAAAAATATATGATAAACATGGAAAAAATGTGGTTAAGTCATTTTTTAATGTTTTGAAAAATAAAAAAACTATATTTATTCTCTATTTAAAGTTCAAGAAATATCAATTTATATGCAAAGAAAAAAAAAATTTGTCTATCTGCTTTTTAATCAATAAAACAACTCACAATCATCAATTTCCAGCTTAATTATGTGCAGTTTCTTTTTTTACTTATTCTTTATTTCTATTTTTTATTATTTTTATTTTTTTTATTTGTATTTTTCCCTTATTTTTAACATATTTAAAGTGGGCGATTTATAAAGTAATTAATAAATAAAAATAGTTGTTTTATTATGTAAGATAAAAAAAATTAACTAAAGTATGATGTAAATTATTGTAGATACCTAATAAAATATAAAATCTGTTTAGTTATAAAATAATTGTTTTTCTAGATAGTTATATAAATTTATAAAATTAAGTATTAAATAATTTTTTGAACGTGTTATAACATATATACATGAAATAATAAACAAATGACAAAGTTTCACAGCTTTTTTTTTATGAGCAAATATCTTTTTTTTTTTTTTTTTTTTTTTTTGGCAATTCTTATATTTTTATCAATCTTCTTATCTGTAACACAAAAGTTGGTATGTAAACTTCTGCAGCATCATCAATGTTTTGTCAAAAAAATTTTGTAATGACACAAACTTTTGATAATATAAGAATGCAGATTTCTTTTTATTTGAAAATATTTTTAAGCAATATTTCTTGTTTATATATTTACATTATTAATGTTTATAAAAATATAAATATAGTAAGCTATCACTTAAACTTTGAGTAACTTAATTACAATTAAAATTTAGTTAAAAAGTAAAAAATAATAAGTAATAATAAAAAACAACATCAAAATACTCTAATTTAACCTAATTACGCACTTTTTTACTTATTACACCTTGAATAACTGTAATTAAAATAAATTCAAATAACTGTAATAATAATTGATGATGCCATGTTGGTGCTTATATGAAGTCTGTTCACATTAGCACCACACACTATATTAGTATACATTATTTCTTACTTTAATGTAAAAACAGAGTTGTCACTGGAAACTCTTTTATTCAAACTTTTATTCAAACTTATTCAATCAATAAAGTTTCTTTATGTGAATTGTTAAATGTTAAAAGGACGGAAGTCCAAAAATGTAAACTTTTGGAAAACTAAAAAAAAACTGCAATTCAACACTTGCAATCAATTAGTTGCAAACGCACTTGCAATCAATTAGTTGCTAACACATTTGCAATCAATTAATTGTAAACACACTTGCAATCAGTTAGTTGGAAATGCACTTGCAATCGAAGCTGAGGCTGAGAAGGATTTCATTTTCATTTTTATAAAGAGTTTTTTTATAAAATAAAATTTAAAAGATTAAAAAAAGAATTCAAATATTGTCTTCTTTTTTACTGCATTTGAACTACTTTTTGTTGTTATTATTGTTGTTGTTGTTGTTGTTGTTGTTGTTGTTGTTGTTGTTGTTTTTGTTGTTGTTGTTATGCAGATGTTAACTGTATCCAGCTACTATCTCATAAAAGGCCTCCGAGGCAAAGATTTTAGGGGTAAGCAATAATTCTGTTGATCAGCCTCAAACCACTTCTTTATCTATTAAGCTGGCATAGATGTACCCCTGTGTTTCCAGCCTAGGATCATGAATGCTGGATCTTCTTGACTCTACTCATAGGCTTTTGCTTGTGCCTTTTTGATAGTGGCTATGCATTTTTTCCTGTTATCTCCTAATGAGGGTACCACTCTAAAACTCAGTTTAATGGTTCTGAGGCCAGCTGGTAGTAAGGTTTCACTAACTAGGTAGCTCTCAGAGAGGCTGATTCCATCAACAGCTGTAAAATATCAGAGTATTAACAATATCATGTTGCGCATGGATATGTCCCTGTTAATACTTTTGGTGTACATTTTCAAGGCCACATTAAGAGTCCTACATTACAACTTAGAAGTAATTAACAGGAATGAGATAACTGCATAGTTCATTGATTGGGATGTTGTGTTTTATCTATGAATGAGTCAAGTTCTCTTTAAACTTAAATCATGCCCATAGTAACCCAAAATATTAAATATAAAAAACCATCCCACCACCTAACTGTATCAATATATTTTTCACAAATATTCATGGTTTTTAAAGTAACCTTTCATCAGTTGAATCTTACCTTTTGCAAAATTTAACAGATCTATTTGCTCTTTGTGAGACTAATTTAAATTTAGCTATTTCTTTTTCAGATCTCTGTATTGACAGGTACTATCGTCAAGATAGTACCTGTCAATACAGAGTCATATGACTATTGGAGTCTTCGCTAAGACTCCAATAGTCACATGCTTGGCTTTAGGAGGTTTACTTACGCATCAATTCACCTATTTGTTGAGAAATCAGGTTTAAATCTTTTGACAATTCTTTTATGTACTTTTGCTTAGCACCTCTTCCCTCATCTTTCTCTTTATTTATTTTTGTTCTTTATTGTTCTCCTTCTTCTCAAGATCTTTTAGGTAATTTCTGATCAAATTGACCAAGGCTTTTATATTGCTTTTTACCCCTATGCCAATATTGTTGTTATTGGTGACTTTAATGCTCATCATACCGAATAGCTTGGTTTTAAAACCACTGACTCTGCTGGCAATAAAGCCCATAACTTTTGCATTACTCAATCTCTTACTCAGATAGTTAACTTTGTGACTCGTTTTCAAGACAACCCTAATCATTTACTTTCACTCCTTTATCTATGTCTTGTCTCTGACCCTAGTTTCTGATTCTAGCTTGTGTTCAGTTTCTCCTTTTTCTTTCTTAGGTGTTTTCGACATGCAGTGATCTCTGTAAATCTTTCATCTTGTACTTCTTCTTCAGACTCACCCTATCATTATTATTACTACTATGTTAAAGCTGACTGAAGTTCTTTTCATGATTTTCATTGTGACAGTACTTGGGCTGATATCTTTTCTCTCTCCTCTGATAAATGTGTCTCCTATGTAACTTCCTGGTAGGAAGTTACATAGGAGACACATCTAGGTAAGAATGAAAGCTTTTATTCCGTCTTGTTGGTTCCGTGAAAACCATGGAGTAGAATGAGACAAGTCTCATTCTACTCCATGGTTTTCACTTTTATATGCAGCTGCTATATCTAATTGTAATCTTTTTTTTTTCTTTTTTTTCAAAAGAACTACTCTCTTAAGAAAAAACCCCTATTTATTATTGCAAGAAATCAATGTAAAAAGGTGCTGATGCTAAGCTTTATTTTTCCCAGTTTGCTAAATCTTGTATCTTATTTTAGAAGTTAAGCTCTAAAGGTTTTTGGAAAATCTTCAACATTAAAAAAAGTCTAACATGCCATCTCTAATTCATGGTAATGACCTTGTTACCTCTCCCAAGAAGAAGGTTGAATTATTTGCAAAGAGCTTTTCTTCTTATTCAACTTTTGAATCATATGGCCATACCCTTCCTGCTATTCTAGTTAAACAAGTTAATCCATTGTTAGACATTTAAATCACTCCAGCTTCCTTTGCTAAAGTCATATCTCAATTAAACTCTTCTATGGTTTGTAATCCAGATAACATTCCTGTCATAGGAACAATTCTCACTAAACTATTTGAAAAGTGCTTGACTGAGTCTTGTTTTCCTGTCTGTTAGAAAATGGCATCTGTTGTTCCGATTGGAGAATTCTAACTCCTCTAATTATCATCTAAGCAAGGTCTTTGAGTCTTTGATTAACAAATTTCTTATATCATCTTGAGTCTGATAACTTACTCTCTGACAATATGGTATATGACAATATGACAAAAATCCATCCTCTCACTCTACGGCTGATTTGCTAACTGCTGTGACTGAAAGATTTTATTGGTCACTAGATGGAGGCAGTGAGGCTTGTGCTATTGCTCTTGATATATTTAAAGCTTTCAACAAAGATTGGCATGCTGGTCATCTCTATAAGCTTGCATTTTTAAGGCGTATCAGGGAAAGTCTCTGAGATGATCAAATCATTTCTTTCTAACTGCTTTATAAAAGTCATCCTCAAAGGCCAACACTTTTCTTCATTTCCAGTAACTTCTGGGGTACCTCAAAGTTCTATCATAGGTTCCGTTTTGTTTCTTATCTACATTAATGATCTTCCTGACAGTTTTACATCTAAGTTGGCTCTATTTACTGATGACTCAACTTTATACTCCTGCCTTGAGAAAAAATCTTCTCCTTTCGATTGCTTAGAACAGGCACCGATCTTGAATCTGACCTCACTTTTTTTGATCTTCACAATTTTGAATCTTCCACACTTCTTCCTTGCTCTTTAACTCTATTATTTTTTACTGGTAATTCCCTACATAATATTAGTTGCTTGCAGCCTTGTTGGGAGTGAATTAGAATTAAAAAATAATAATAGTTTAGTTAAATAAATTATAATAATAAATATAATCAGTAAATTAATTTTTTTTCACTATAAAATGTCAAAATTATGTTGTTTTTTTTAAAAAAAAAAAAAAGTTAATATGTCAAATATATAGGTACCACTTAAATTTATTATATTTCAGGCTTCTGTGTGTAGCATAATCTTATAAGTTGAAGTTTTTTTTTATAAGTTTTTAAATGGTGAGAAAAAATTCTAAATAAGAAATTAAAAAAAAAAATTAAAACCAAAATTTTCATCTACACATTGTTATACTTGTTTTTTTTTAATTGAAACTGAAAACTCGGATTATAGAATCAATACATTTATCTATATGTAATAACTTTTTAGGTACATTTCATTTACTGTCTTTTTAAATGATGTTGAAAAGGGAGGAGAACTAGTCTTTCCATTGGCCAATCATAAATATCAGGTAATATTATGATGCTCTACTTGTTTTTATTAAAAATTGTTAAGTTTGAAATATATATGGTTATATATATATATATATATATATATATATATATATATATATATATATATATATATATATATATATATATATATATATATATATATATATATATATATATATATATATATATATATATATATATATATATATATATATATATGTATGTATATATATATATATATATGTGTATATATATATATATATATATATATATGTATGTATGTATGTATATATATATGTATGTATGTATATATATATATATATATATATATATATATATATATATATATATATATATATTTTATATATATATTTTATATATTAATGTATTTATGTTCTACATATAAATATCTAGAATATTACACATAATTCTGGAGAATGGCGTGGTTATTACCAATACGCAAAAACAACTGGAAATCGATTCTTTTTTAGTGTTGATATCAAATTTATGAAAGATGGTGCAAATTGGATCTTTCAAGGAAATGGTAAAGATGAAAGTGGAGGATTTACTTTTAACAACTCCATTATTTTAGGTATAACTTTATTACATTTTTATATTTTTATATTTTTGCAGTTCTGTGTGACATTTTTATATTGTTACAAAGCTTATGTTAAACACAGTTTATTTAACCTAATGAATAAATTAAAACTTTTTGAGTTTTTTTCAAAATATACAAAAACAAAATTAAGAGGGAGATTATGTTTTTCACTGGTTATTTTATACTGCTTTTGTATCGATGTTTTTTATTGAGATTTAATAAGTAAATTGCACTTTTTTTAATTATTGGCAGAATAACTTTTTGAAAAAGAATATTTATATCATTAGCCCTCGGAATTAGAGTTGGCATTCGGCAATGCCGACCTAAAAGTGTTTAAAATTGACAACCTCATTTCTATGTTTTCTATGTCTGATGCTGACCTCTATAGAATTGAGTTCGGCAAATTATTGCCTAACTCATTTTTTACTAATTCTGAGAGTTCCATCATAAAGGGAATGATGGTGCTATCCAATTTTAGTAGCAAGTTTGGTCAGTAAAAATTAAAATATAAGTTGGGTAAATAAAATATCTCAAAAACTTTCAAGTCGAAATCTAAAAAGAAAAACACACCATTAGAAATGTTTATTTTTTTTAAAACCAAAAATCTATTATTAAGATCCAAATAAATTTAATTTTTAAAAAAGATTCAATATTTTTTACTTTTCATTAAAATGTTAAACAAATCAAAGTTTTGTTGCTGTGTGTCGCTTGTTGTTACTCAAGAAAGAAAGGTTCAACTAGAATAATTATCAATCTGTTACAAAATATTTGATTGTTTCAAACTTTTAGGAGAGACTATTAAGTTTGAAAAATCTTATAATGATGGAAGTAACTCTATTATCAAGTATCATGGAAAAGTTATAGAAGCAACAAAGATATCAGGAAATTGGTGGGTACCTGGAGAGAAGAGACTGCACGGAATATTTTTCATGTGGAATAAAGAATACGAGGTTTTTTTAATTTATTGTTTTTGAATTTTTTAAAATAATAACAAGTAGTAATGCTTTTAGACACCAGTACACCGTATCCAGTTGTCATAAAAATTATGCTGTGCTTTATTAAAATTGACACTGTATCCAGTTGTCATTAAAATTATGCAGTTGTCATAAAAATTATCCAGTTGTCATAAAAATTATACAGTTGTCATAAAAATTATGCAGTTGTCATAAAAATTCTAAGGGATGATTAGTATTCTTTTTGTTTAAAATTTTCACTTATATATTATGCAAATGTTATATAAAATTTAACAAAACACAATTTTTATCAAATTTTGTTTAAATTTTTTTGACTAAATACTTAAAAAATATTTTAAAAATACTTAAAAAAAATTTTTACCCAGATATTTTCTGCTCGTGCAATAGATGAAGCAAATAAAAAAGAAGGTTGTCCTAATTCATCAGTTGTTATACAGCCTAAAAAAGGAAAAGCTGTTTTCTGGTACAATCATCATGTAAATAAAAAAAATGGTATGGTAGGAGATATAAATCAAGAATCAATGTCAGCTCATTGTGAGGTGCTTAAAGGTATAATTAGAACTCGTTATACATGCATGCATACGTACATTTATACATAAATATACACATTAATACATACATACACAAATACACACAATAATACATACATACATACATACATACATACATACATACATACATACATACATACATACATACTTACATAAATACGTACGTACGTATTATAAAGTAATATTTTTATTATTTTTGAAAATTATTTAAATACTATTAAGAATATGTTAGTTAGGTTTTTTAGGTTTTACTCCTAAACCCCATTCGTTAAGGTTAACCTCGAAAAAAAACTGCATTAATATTAATGTATATTTGGGACTAATTTGGTTTATTTTTGGTTCATCCAGTTTTATAATAAAAATAATTTTTAATAGGAGAAAAATGGACAGCTTCATCTTGGATTAATGTTATTGGAGATGGAGATCTATTCCAGCGTGCATGGCGGCGTGGAAATAATATGTTGTTGGATAAGAAGCAGAGATCAATACTATTATCCACCATGGGTACTCAAGAAGATAAGTTAAATCATGAACCATACGAAAACGAGTTTCATCATGATATGGTTGAAAGTGGAAATAAAACTGCTTCCGCTGATTATAATGCTGGATATAAATTTTATGAGCATAAACCTGCTTCTAATTCTTTGCAAGCATTACAGCTATTATTTAACGATATGGACTCTAATCAGCTAGCATTAATTGCTAAAACTGTTCATACAAAGTTAGGTCTCACTTGTGTTAATATTGATTCTAAGTTTTCCTTATGAAATGTTAAGTTGCTTTGAAACTTGCTTATGATTGCTATTAGGTGTGCGATTATAAAACAGTGAATTTTTTTATGTAAATAATTTTTTTATAATTAAAAATTTAATACAGACCAGTTAATAATTTTTGTAAAGTAGTTGTTAAAAGAAGTGATTTTTATATCACGGCGCTACTATGGTTCTCTACAAAATGAATCCCCACATTTTTCACATAATGTTTGTATTTAAAAAATTTTCATTTTGCTATACATTTTTTTTCAAATCTTTTGAATAAACGCATGTTTTAAACTCACCTATTATCGAATTTAGTTTAAACCGTATCGTTTTTCCTCAAGTTATCGAGCCAATAATGCTGGCTGTAATAAAAAAAATTTAATTACCTATATTCTTTTAATTTTATGAGCCAGTCTTTTTGTTAAGAGCGGTAATATTAAACAAATTTTTGGACAGATTGTTCAGTTCTTGATCAATGCATCTAAAATAATATACTTTCATTATTCGTTATATAAACACTTCACTAGACTAATCTGATAAATGCTTAAAATTTTATTAAGCACTTCAATGAACGAACTATATTGTAAATATCTGTATTTTGAAATCTATTTCATTATTATTTAATTGTAAATGAAATTTAAAAAATAATATTGTTTATCCAGAACAAAATTAGATATTTTTCTATTTGTTTTTATAATCTTACTTTCTAAGATTGCTTTTTGCGATAATTAAGAAAATTTCTGAAATAAAAATGAAAATAAAGTATACAAGGTTCATATTATTACATCTACCAAAACAATTTTTTTAGTGTGTTGCTAGCATGCATACTTTGCATTTATAAGTAATTATATATAATAGAGGAGAAAGGAGCTTCACAAATTCATTTTTTCAAAGCTGCCCAGCTTTGAAAAAATGAGTTTGTGAAGCGTTTATGAATTTAAACTTGGTATAATTAAATATTTTGTGAAAAAAATATCTACGCTCATAACTGTCACTTGTCTTTCCTTAAATTTGACGATCTATATGATGGGACGATCTATATGATGGGTTTATTTTTAAGAACAAATTGTAAACATTTTGGAATAAATTTGTAAGATTTTCGTTACCATGTTTTTTGCAATTAACAAATTTTATGCGATTTATATGATAGAATAAGTCATAACCTTTACAACTTCGCAAAAAAATATCAACAATTGAGCTTGTCTTGATTGGAAAAATCATCGTTTATTAATGATGCTGTTGGAGCAGTGTTGAACATTATGAATGGGGCACTTTTGATTTGTTTTTTAGATTTCCCGCACTAATAAAATTTCATTGTTACAGCTTATATTCTGATTTAAAGTTAAAAATGGTTCGAATCTATAAGAAAAAGAAACAGAAATTAAAGAAGAAGATTTTAACTTTGTTGTAAATGGGTTTATGAAGGAGAACCAAGCTGCTAATACTTATAATGTAAAATATAATACTTAAATCACCGAATGAATAAATATAAACAAGGTTTATTATCCAAGATCAAGCTAGGGTTCACTTCTAAGTATACTGTTTCGCAAGTATTTAATAAAGATGAGGAGAAGATGCTGAAAGACTACCTTATAAAAAGCTCTAAAATAAATTATGGTTCGACATACAAACAAGCAAGGGAATTAGCATTTCAATATGCTATGAAACTTAGCAAATGTCCGGTTAAATAGAGAAAAAATTGTAGATCTAAAGTAACTATGGTAACTATTTATTAGTTTTTATTTTGACAAACTTCTCTCACAGTTAGTCACACTCATTGAATTATAGTTATAATAAAAACTGAGTGTTCAAGACTAATTTAAAATGAACTACAAAAGTTCAAGTTCAGGTCTTTGTTTTATCTTTATTTTTGTTTTATCATTTTGTTTTTTCAAAAGATTCGATGAAGTAAAAATAGCATATTTTTAGCAAAAACCTAAAGCTTTTCAAATTTTATAATGACTTCTAGGATTCGTTGAGGCAAGGAAAAAAAACATTTCCCTTTTTAGCTTACATTCATACGACAACACAGCATCATATGATCTTTTTTTTTTACATCGATGATCCATGATTACGCCTAAGTCCCATAATTATATTATTACAAAGTCCTTAAACGACTGCTTAATTAACTGATTCTTATTCTTTGTTAAAAATAATTTTGAAGCTTTTAGTTTGATATCACATAGTTGTATGTTCAATTCTTTTGTTTGGAGGTAAATCTGATTACAATTTATTTCCTGAAGGATAGACTCCCACACTCCGAGAAAGCATAAAAACAAAAATGATTGGAATATACACGACAGCACCCCAGCATTTGATCTAGTACATCTGTTTTCTTATTACAAGTTAATTTCTTTATTAAATCATTTAAATGTTTGAGTAATTTTTTAAAATTAAAACAACACTAACTGTCGTGTTTCTATCATGCAATGAGTTGAGGAAGAATAAACATGCGAAGAAAAAACGTGACAGAATTAAACAGCAGCTGATACTGGATGTACAGTTGCTAAATTTAGTTAATGATTTGTATATAAAATAAAATTTGCTTTTCCATTGATTTCTGAATGTGCATCTAAACACCAATAATGTGCCTAGACATCACAGCAACTGTAATAACAAATGGTAGGTGACAATTAAAGCTTTTTGTTAAAGCTAATTATAGACATGATGCCATGGAAACATGGTTTTTATTCTCTAGATTCATGAAAAAATATTTTTAAGTTTCATACTGAATCCGTTCTCAAAATCTAAGTTTTTTTTTAGACTTTTTTCAGCAAAGAGTTTGCAACAAAATAGTAAACAGTTTTCTTTGAGGGAGTGTGCATAATCTATGACCTCAACATATTTTTGTTATTTGGTAGAGTTTAATAAAATTATTCACATGTAAGTTTTTTGTTTTTTCCTTAAGTTAATTCAGCTTCACAAGGCACTCCATCAAAATAAGAATCAAGATTTTGAATTAGAGATGTTCCCTGACGTATAAGTATGAATAGCATACTTATACGTCAGGGTACATACATATCATCACTGATCATACTAGGCCCAAGACCTAGAGCACCTAAGCCAATAGCAGGATACGAAACATTTTTTTCATCAAGCTCCTTATAACTAGATGAGCCTGAAGAAGACCTTGATATTGATTACAGATTCGGTTCTAAAATGCTTCAGCCTCAAAAATAACACTTGCAATTTTGGGTTTAGTATTTTAAAAGTAGTACATCTTCGTTCTTTTTTAACTATTCTTCTGCTTTCTGTGCCACTTACTTTTCGACGCTTCATTTTTATGAGTAAAATATTTTAAAGAAATGAAAACAAAGTACAAGTAAAACTTAAGAAATATTTCAAAACTTTAAATTTTCAGTGTTTACTATGAAAAACATCTGAGAAATTTTTTTTTATCTTTAATTATGTCGCGCAAAACTTTGGGTTAATTTAGACTTTAGGATTATTTAATAAGTTAAAAATAAGTTTATAAAAATCAAAAAAATGTATATATTACTCAAGAACTCAGCAACATTAAACAATAAATATTATTTAAAAATAAATACTGCATGAAAATTTTTTTTGCAGCATTGATTTACGTCTTAATGTTTAGTTGAAATTTATATTATAACTCACATACCTATAATTTATATAGAGTTTTTTAAACAAATTTTTACGCCCAGTTCCCAGCCTCCTATTAGCTACGCTACTGTTTAAATGCGCAAAATAAATGAGCTTACTATACATAAAGAGATTAAAAAAAAAATTATACAAACACTTTTATTTACAATATTAAAATCTATATTATACGCTTCATATATTTATTAAACAGCAGTGAACAACAACATATACAAAAAAGTAACAACAACAAAGATAACGACAAAAATTAGCAAACAAAAAGACAAACTCCATGGTCGACAACAACGGGAAGGAGGGGGCCCGGGGAACACGTCCCACTCCCATGCATTTTTAAATTTTTTTTTCTATTTTGGAACATTATTTTCTTTTAACTTGTATTTGTTTTCATTAGTCTAATTTTTTTTTTCTTTTTTTTTCAATTTTGTTTATTTATACTCTTAAACTTTGTTTTTACTTCTTTTCTTTTTTTGTAATCTATTATCATTAAAATAATTTCTTTTCTTCCATTATTTATTTATATTTTGATTTTCGTCATTAAACAAACATCTCCTTTATTTACAATGTCATTGGAAAAAGATTGTTTTTATTTTATTAGGAAATATATTAAATTAAACAATTTTTATTAAACAATTTATTTAGCTATCGACCTTTTGATTTTTTAAGTTTCATTTATTTATATATATATATGTTCATGCAATGTTAGAAAACTTAATTTGATTTAAATTTAAAATAGAATTCATTTGCATTTTTTATTTACTTATTTATATTTTTCAATATCTCTAATTAAATTTAACATTGTGAAAAACATTCTGAAAAAGTAAGTTCAAGCAATCTGTGTGTGTAATACACACACTGTATGTATATACAGTGGCGTAAGAAAGTCAAGAAAGTTGGGAGAAGGTGCGGAAACGGAAATTATGGGAAGCTGAGACAGCAAGAATCAGAATTTAAATAGAAAAAACAAAAAATTTTTAAAAGTTAGGAGTTGTCTTCCACAATGTTGCCCCCCTGCTGCTACGCCAGTGTGTGTAAGGGGTGTTAAAAATATATATTTTTAAAACGCGAATACACATGAAGCCAAATTTAGAGCAAATATAAAAAAAATACAATTACAAAAAAAAAATTACAAAAATAATCGTGCTCAAGCAGCAAAATACCCTAAAAAATACCCCAAATTGTTCCTAAATAATTTGGTTTTGAGTGCAAGGTAAATCTCAATATATTGATGAATTTTTAATAAATTTGTTTTTTCTATTGTGATCATAATGGTCTGAAGTTTTTTTTAGATTGTTGTGTATCCTAGTTTTTTCATAATTGTTGTTTAAATTAAAAAGATTTCGCAAAAAAATATTTTTGCACCAAAGCGAAAAAAAAATTTTTTTCACAAAAACGCAAAAAAATGTTGTTGTTTTTTTTGCATATTTTACGCGAAATCTTTTTTTAAATTTAAACGACAATTATGTAAAAACCAGGATACACAACAATCTAAAAAAAAAAACTTTGACCATTTTTTTTTTACAAAATATTGAGGTTTACCTGCGCTCAAAGCTAAATAATTTAGCAACAATTTGGGGTATTTTTCGCCGCTTGGCGAAAGTGCTTTCGAGCACAAGGTAAATATCAATGTTTTTGGAATTTTTTTTGGGAGTCGTATTTTTTTAATATTTGCTCCAAATTTGACTTCTTGTGTATTCACATTTTGAAAATTTTATTTCTTGAACACCTCTATTGTACATTTGCTTCCTTAATTATTGTACATTTTCCCGCGCGTCTCCAAATAGCGCGTAACCTAAAGCAAAAGTCTAGGTTGTCTAAATGGTCCTTAAAAACGCTGTTTTAAAATTTTAAAGCTAAAATATTTTATTAAAATTAAGAAACTACTTTCTGTTAAACAAAATATTTTATTTATATTAGAAAACTATTAACTTACCAAGTTAGGAAACACTCAAAAGAAACATTTTTTTTTCCGCACTTACTTGTTGGACCTGTGCGTAACTATATTCTAATATTTCACACGAGTCGCTGTTAGTCGCTTTATTCAAAATATTTTAAGTAATTATAAGTCATCTAAGATTCATACATATTCATAAAGAAAATAAAATTGTTAAAATTCATTCATGCAATTTAAAGAAATCGGCATTTTAACCGTTCTAAAATACCTTTTATAAATTTAGAGTTTTGAAATATCATTTTAAAGTTTTTTTTAATAAGAATCTTTTTAAAAATAAAGTGTGCTTGTTTTAATCTCAAAACAAAACAGGTTAAAGGCTGCTAAAGATAAATTTATTTAATATTAATTGTTTTATTCTGTTTTTACAAGTTGTTATTTTTTTAGGTGAGTAAGTTGAAATATGTAAGCCTTTATATATGTATGACTCAAAAAAAAAAAAAATATATATATATATATATAATATATATATATATATATATATATATATATATATATATATATATATATATATATATATATATATACTCAATATATATATATATATATATATATATATATATATATATATATATATATATAAATATAACAATATATATTATGTATATATTATATATATATTGTATATATATATATATATATATATATATATATATATATATATATATATATATATATATATATATATATATATATATATATATGTATATATATATATATATATATATGCATATATATATAATATATATTTATATATATTATATATATATATATATATATATATATATAATATATTTAATTTATATATATATAATATATATATATATATATATATATATATATATATATATATATATATATATATATATATATATTATATATATATATATATATATGCATATATATATATATATATATATATATATATATATATATATATATATATAACTCAAAATATATATATATATATATAAATATAACAATATATATTATGCATATATTATATATATATTGTATATATATATATATATATATATATATATATATATATATATATATATATATATATATATATATATGCATATATATATATATATATATATATGCATATATATATAATATATATTTATATATATATTATATATATAAATTAAATATATTATATATATATATATATATATATATATATATATATATATATATATATATAATGTAAAATATATAGTATAAGATACATTTTATTATTATTCTTATTATTCTTATTATTATTATTATTAGTAGTAGTAGTAGTTGTTGTAGTAGTAGTAGTAGTAGTAGTAGTAGTAGTAGTAGTAGTAGTAGTAGTTGTACTAGTAGTAGTAGTAGTAGTAGTAGTAGTAGTAGTAGTAGTAGTAGTAGTAGTAGTAGTAGTAGTAGTAGTAGTAGTAGTAGTAGTAGTAGTAGTAGTTTTCTTTCTTTAAACTGTTATTTTGTTGCTAGTTTTTTGTTGTTTTATGTCTTTTTCTTATTTTTTTTCTGCCAGTAGTAGTCTTAGAATTAAAATATGTTTTTTTTTTGTTTTCAAAGTTAATTTCTTTCCAAAAAGACTATAAGCAACCATTATTGAGGTTGGTAGCATTAAAGTGGTTGACAGGTGACTTAATATAAATTTAAATTGCATAACTCAAAAATATGACGATAGCTGGCTTGAACAACAATTGATGTTCTATCATCCTAAGGCTGCATATCTTTGATGTAATGATAGCTGGCTTGAACATGATGATGTTCTATCATCCTAAGGCTGCATCTCTTCTTCTTTTTCTTCTTCTTTTTTTTTTCACAACTAATACCATAGTAATATTTGAAAAAAAAAGAGAGAGATGCATCCTTAGGATGATAGAACATCATCATAAGGTTGTATTTATTCACACATTTTACTTACATCTTAAATGACTTTGGTATAGTTAAAAAATGTATTTATAATATAAAATTAATCAGTTTTAACAAATATTTAAAAATTACCTTATTAGAAAGTTTAAATAATAAATTTTAAATAATATTAAAATATTTACATATGGTATTACAATGTTAATATTAGAGTATTTTACATGTGATAAAAAAACTCTTTAAATGTATATATATATAATCTACTGTCAAATAAAAAAACAAAAACATTTTCAGGCTAAAATGTCTACAATTATACATTTAACTATCATTTATAAACATTTTAAGTAAGTTGTGACACTGGATTTTTGAAATTAATTTTTTAAAGGTATGCCTATTTTTTTATCATTTTATTTAAACTTAATATCCTGTTTATAGAGATTGTTGTTGGTCAATAAAAATTTATGGTTTTAAAGATTTTTTGTTGGCGAGGTTTTTAAGTTTATGATGGAGATTTAGTCATTTTCAATGGTTTCAATGAATCAAGATAAATATAAGGTAATAAATAATAAGGTATTTTTTTCTACTTCAATGAATTTTTTACTTAATAATTTGTTAATGAAAATTAAAAGTTTAAGGAATATTTTTTTGAATTTTTCATTTACATATCACATTAACATAATACGAAGTTAAAAAGCATTAAATGCAAAGGATACAACAGTTGAAATGAGTATTTAATTTGCATGCACAATTGAATGAAATTGATGAGACTTTTTCTAAAGAGAGCCAAGTCTATTTTTTCTATTTTGAAAAAGATAGAAATCTAACTATCTTATTCTAAATAAAAAAAAAGTCATTATTTTTATTTACAATTATAAATTTATTGAAATTTGAAAAATACTGATAAATAATTTTTTTATTTTTCTCAAAACATGTAAAATGTGACCTTTAAGAAAAACATTTTTTAATTCTATTCAATTGTAAATAAAATGCATATAAATATATTGTAAAAATACATTTAAACTTTTTAAGTTGCAATATTTTTCAGTCATTTATAAAAAAGAATTTTTAACAATTGTATGGTTAAGTGGAGGATTAGTGGCAGAGTTTTTTTTTTTTTTCAATTATCTTCGCTTCCAACAAGGCTGTAAGCAACCACTAATTAGTGTTGGAAATTACTGGAAGAGAAAAGATGAAGATTGTAGAGCAAGATGATGATTGACAGATGACTTAAAAGATTGCAAATTATATGAATCAGGAAAGCAAGATGAAGGAAGCGAAATCCAAAGCACTGATGTTCAAGGAAAAAAACTAGATGAATAAGAGTTTTTGGAGCACTTAGGAACAGTAACAGAAAAAGGATGAGACTTAATTGAATGACGAATAACACGAGAATGAATTTTAGTAGATGGCACAAGAGACGCTAGCTCTTTAGAGCAGTGCCCATTATAGTATTTGTAGAAAAGAGAAAGAGAAGCAACATTGAAGGTTGGCTGCAAGAGCAGGTCCAACTATGTTTACAATGCGTTTTTGCACCTTGTCTAAAAGAGAAAGGGCATCATTAGAAGATCCGCCCCAGATATGGCAACAGTATTCCATACAAGGCCAGATTTGAGATTTATAGAGATAAATTTATAGAGTTGTTAGTCCTTGGCCTTGACCTGGCCATAAGGCCAAAAATTAAGGCCTTGGCCTTGACTTTGAAACTTTTGGTCTTAGACTTTTTAGCCTTAAAATTAACTTAACTTTTGGTCTTAGACTTTTTTAGCCTTAAAATTTTTGGCCTTGACTTTGATTGTTTTGGCCTTGGTGTTTATAATAAAATACATAAAATTAAAGAATTCAAAGTTTTTATTCTTTATTTTATATAATTAATTACATAGTTAATCATTCTTTATTTTATGTAATTACTTTATTAACGTGAGGTAAAAATTTAAGTCTTTGGCCTTGAAAATGTTTGCGTAGGCATTGGCCTTGAAACTCTTATTCTTGGCCTTGGCCTTGTAACAAGTGGCCTTGGCCTTGCTACTTTTGGAGTTGTTAACAATTCTGATTAGTGGATATTTTAACAGCGATACATTCATAAAATTATGTGGTACAACACAAAATTAGAAGAGTATCATATTCTGTTTAAGTATAAATCTAAGGATTATATCATTTTGAATGATATTGATGGAATTCAATTAATTTTAGTTAATTAACTATAAAACATTTTGTCTTACTATAAACATGTTTTCAAATTTTAGTTTATTTATTTTTTCTCTCTTTCGATAATCTGAAACTTAAAAAAACTCTTTAAAAACTTTAAGTACTACATTTAACAAGTACTACATTGGCAAAAACTACATTGGCAATAAAAAACTTTCTAGGACTAGCCCATTTAGTTGGTTTCTTATTTAAAAAAAAAGAAGTGTAATAAAAAGTTTTTTATTCAGTTTTCATTCAAAGTTGAATAAATATTTTTATTTTATTTATCTCTGAAGATCAAAATAATATAATTGTATAATAATATTTATAATTATATATCAGTCTTTAAGATAACAGTGCACATTAGGATGCATTAAAAAACAACAATTTTTAAAAATTGCCTTTTCTGAGTTCTAAATGTATTCTTTACAATAAAAAAACACTAGATTTAAATTTTTTTGAATAAAAAATATTTTTAGAGGCTCCCAGACCCTTGAACATTTAAAGGGATCCTAATATATAAGTCAAAAAAGTTCTTCAAAAGTAGGTCAACTGGTACTCAAAAGCAAAATTAACTAAAAGTTTTAAAATCACATTTGTTTTATAAAAACATATTAAAAAAAAAATGCCTTCAAAAACTTGTAAAAATGCACTTTATTTAATTTTAAGATTAAAATTGAAAGTTTTTATGAAAAAAATTTAAAATAAAAGTTTTTACATGAAACAATTATTGTTTTTAAAATTTTTACATAATTTTGCTTTTTTCGAGTACCAGGTTAAACTACTTTTTAAGAACTTTTATACAGTGCACATTACCAACCTTTTTACTTTAAACTTAATTAAGGGATCTAGATTTGATCATATTCTAAGAGTGTTACTCATGACTTATCTAGGCACCACCACAGGTAACTGCTGTTTTTTTAATAATTAAAAAAAAATTTATTTAAAGAACATATAAAAAAATTTTGCATATCAATTTAAAGATCATTTAAAGTTTGTTTGCTGCAGGTTTGGTTTTAGAGCCAAGGTTTTTGGTCCGGCTCCATTAAAATTTTTGGCTCCAGAGCGACTCCAGGCAAATTAATTACAAAAATTTTTTTTTTTTGATTATTATATTGCAGTTACTTAAGTACTATTAACATTTTATAATTCAAAAACTTGATTTATACTTAAAAATAGAATATTAACTAAAATAATATTAACTTAAGTGCTGAAAATACACTTGTTTGTGAGACAGACATATAAGTGACTATTCTGGACTCCTCTTGTATCCTTTATGGATAATCTTCATTTTCCTTTAAAGCTGATTTCACTTTTAAACATCCCATTTCTTTCATTACTTTACAGTTGTCAATAAAATTTCTATTAAAAGTATTTTTATTTGTAAAATTAATTTTGGTCATGTTTCTCCTTTTTTCTTTTTTATTAGGCCCCTTTTTAAACTTGCCCTCTTTTCCATCAGAATTAGATTAAAACTGAAAGAAGTGCTGTATATGATACAGCTTAAGGCTTTAATTTTGAGTAATAACATTTTTTTAATTTTGGATAATAACATTTTTAATATCTTTACATTTGTAAAGATATTAAAAATGTTATTACTCAAAATTTGAGTACTAATTACTTCCTTTTCCCTTTTATAATGAATTTCTATAAAATTAGGAAGATATCTTATAGAGGGCAATTAAATCACCAATATTTTGCAGTTTTGGTGTGTGTCTAAGATAGATAAAATATTATTATTGAATTTGATTTATAAATAGATTTGATTTACTTTTATGTTGTAGCTTACAGCATATAAAGCTTGAACAAACAGACCAAATCAATATAAAATAACCACGGACAAGTTACAAGTACTTGTATGTGCAAAAAAAGTAATTAGTTACGCATAAAAGTTAATAGTTAGTAAGTAAAGTAATTAGTTATGTTAAGGAAGTAGTTTGTATGTAAAAAGTGAAATAAGTGAAAACCAAGTAAGTGAAGTTTAAAATTTATGTTTAGTAATTACAGCTAATTTTAAATAATTTAAGTAAATCTACTATCAGCACACTATTTCAGGATTTAATTGTAGGTAATATAGTTTTATATTTATATTTTAATCAATTTAATTAATAGGATAATGAATATAGCACTCAAACCCCTTTTTTTTGTATTTGTTTGAACTTACATGATCCCTCCCTAACTAGTTTGATAAATTTTTGCTTGTTACCTAATCCTGGGATTTCCCGGGATCCCGGGAAATTAATCATCTTTGTCCTGGAATCCCAGGAATTGGATTTTTATGGGAAATGAGAAGCCCTAATACAGCTGTATTACTTATTCTTGATATTCTACTGCATATTTGATATATCTTTTATAATTTTTTTCTGTTACTACTTTTAAGCCTTGTTTTGCTCATATTTTTTTTATCTTTATTAGTTTTCTATATTTAGCATCAACATAAACTGCAGATAGAAAAGTTTTTCCTCTTGTTTCTGCATTGATTTTCTGATATCTACTGCAATTAGTCTTTGATTCTTCTCAAGGTCTGTTTTCAATTTCAACCATTCTGTTAAAAACTCTTTTTGAGTAATGCCAATTCCTTGAAATTTAACTGTCACATATGGCTTTTATATATATATCACAAAAATGACTTAATTCATTCCATATTTCATGGCATAGAAAAAATATCCTATCAACTGCAGGAAATTGCTTACACAGTGGATTCAAAAGTAATAATCCTCAGTCATCTGAAATATAAAACTCCAATGTGTCTTATTATTCAAAATAGGAACAAGCTTATATTGCTTTTTTGCTAAACATGTTATATGTGATTTTCTTAGTTTGTTCACCATATACCATACTTTTGCCAAAAGTTGGCCAATGTATGTTTTTTTAAAGCATCAGGAATAGCTAACTGCAAAGTGTGAATAATACTGTGTTCTTGATCAGTAGACAATTGTTGACACCATTCTGAGATGACAAAGTTTAGATTTTCGTCCCAAGTTGCATCACTTTCTTGTTTGTATCCTGTTGCAGATACTCCTCTTGTTTTTCATACTGTAGCTTTATCTAGAAAATTTTCGTCACCTGAATATTTGTTTAAAAGTGTGATTGTCCAAAACATATTGGCCACATTGTCTACACTTGCCCATACTATTTGATCTTTACTGATAACAAATCTGTATAGAGTATTATCCTCTATTTTTTTGACAGCTGCAAGTTGTTTTGTTCTTCTGTATCTATTAGTGCCAAAGTTTTTTCAGCATAGTATTTATATTTTTTCAGCATAATAATTAGTGCCAAAGTTTTAAATTTTTTCAGCATAATATTTAATACTTATTCCTAAATAGTTCTTATGGTGTTGAGTTGCTGTTGGTAGCTCTGGCTCCAGCTTTTGAGCAGCTCCAAAGCCTTAGTTGCAGGTAACAACTAAAAAGTAAAAACATCAGACATTCGTTCCAAAAATATTAGTTTAACAAAATTTTATATTTTTTAAGACATAAAAAAAAACTTTTAGTTTATAATTTTTATTATCTAGTAACCATTTTAACTAAGAATTAAATATATTGTTAGTTTTATTGTATATCAGTTGTATTTAAACAGTTATGTTAAACCTTTTAAACAATGTTTTGTTACACAAAGTTACACGTAAATTTTTAGAACTGTGTGTGTGTATATATATATAAATATAATATTCTAAATATAATTTTTACGCTTTTATTGAATAACATGACACAGATTTCGATTGTATAACTGAGTTATGCAATCGAAATCTGCGTTATGTTAATCTGTTTATTTAATGTTAGTATAGTAAAGTTTCTTTCCTTATTATTTAGAATGTTTCACCGCAGATTTTTTTTTTTAATAAAAAAGTTTTAATTTCGTATTGTATATTTTAATGTTTTTTTTTTTAATTTGACAATGGTTGTTTGGATGTTTTAATAATTTAAATGCAATTAAAACAAAACGTTAATTTACGAATCACTTTTAATTTTTGTTTTTTTTTAAAGTTTTTATTTTACGCAAAGGCTTTAAGTAAAACCATAAATTATAATGATTGTATAAAACAAATGCAATATGTGTAAATTAAATGTTATATTTAAATTTTAGTAGGTGTGTGTTTTTTATAATAATTTTAAACGCTTGAAACTATTATTCCAGATCTTTCTAAAAATGAAAGATTATTTCTTTAAGTAACTTTAAATAATGAGTAAGTTAAATTAAATCTTCCATGATTTAATTGTTTTTTTGTTTTTTCTATTTTTACAAAGAATTATTTATAAGTTTTTTTTTTAATGACTTATCACTCAAAGCATGAAATGAATAAAAAATTACTATTTTATAAAGACTATTTTATTTTTTTCAACAATTTTTTGTGTGCAACTTTTTGAAAAAAGTGTATGCAACTTAAAAATATTACATTTTTTTTTTTCAATGATTTAATTTCACTTTTCAAAAATTTAGATAAAATTTGTTCATTTATTAAAAAATCAGTGTAAGTAATTTGTAAAAACGTTTTGTGTAATTAATAAAACGTTTCAAAAGATGTTTTATAGTAAAGATTTTTTATAGGAATTGTTTAGTTAATTCTTTAGTTATTTCAATAATCTGACAATCTGAAGTTTTAGCCTGACAATGTCCGATGTTTAACTGTTAAGGTGAGCGTTGTATATATATTTATATATATATATATATATATATATATATATATATATATATATATATATATATATATATATATATATATATATATATATATATAATATGGCAGGGCTTGCGATGACGCAGGTGGGATCGCATCGCACTTGTGAAATGCGCCTGAAAAGCATTTTTTTCAAACCTTCTAGGCAGGATTAACAATGATCTTTTTTTATACTCTTATAACAAAGAGTATAAAACTCGTCCAATAATTTTTGAATATATATATCAAAAGTAACGAAAGCAAAAAATTCAATTGTTTTTTAATACTTAATCAATAAGAACTTGTTTTTGCGTTTTTGTTTGGTCTTGTTTTTTTTTTACCATATATAGTTATAAAAAATCGCAAACAATATACAAGAAGTATAAAAATCTACTTTGTTTAAGTAGTTTCATGAGTACATTGTTGTAGATATTACTTCAAGCATTTGTTGTAGATACTACTTCAAATATTTGTTGACAAAAGAACGATGTATAACATATAAAAAGTTTTTTATGAGCAGGGTCTTCAGCAATTTTAAAATTTCACCATGGCTCTCGCTGACATTATCTCGAGTGCACATAATCACACTCGATGGCAACATATTATAATTTTACAAGCACAATATAATATGCTTGGTGATTTTTTTCATTACAAGCCTTGACATGGGCATACCTGATGGTTTTTGACAAATAAAATGTTGATTCTTATACATGAAATTTTTTGTAACTTATTTTAAATTTGAATTTTTGCTTACTTATTATTTTGCTCACTTATTCGACAGGTAAATGAATACAACAAGATCAATAAGTGCTTGTGTTACACAAGCTCTTAATTCAACTCTGATTACTACAAGTATTAGCAATTCATGTAAGTTGCCTACTTTATATTAGTTAAAGTGATATCCTATTTTGAAATAATTCTTTTTGATTAATACTTTTTGATTGATACTTAACAAATAAAATACCTATTTTATTTGTTAAGTATCAGGCAATTCTGATACTCCACTTTACTTTAGCATAATAATATAATATCATTATAAAGTAAATATTTAAGCATTATTCCAGAAATTTTTCCAAATGAAAATATACTATAACAAGTTTATTTAATTATTACCATATAAAACAGTAAATAGTATTAAAATCAATAATAATGCAAGTTTATTGTGTGATTTCTTTTTGTGTTAATGCACAATTCATAAAAAATACATATAAAATATACAATTCATATAAAAGTAAACTTTATATGGTAAAGTTAGTTTAGTAAAAAGTTAATTTAGTAAAAAGTAAAGTTTATTTTGAAATGTAAAATTAATCAGATTAATCTAATTAATTTTACATCTAACATCAAACAGTGTAATCTGTATTTATTAACTGGCAAACAATTTGTTTTTATTGAAATAAAATAATTGTAATTTTGAATTAAGTTTTAGTTTTTAAATTGAGCAAAATGTTTTTAAATTCTGAATGTTGTTATATTTTATGTTGTAATGTTTTTTAGTTACAAATTATGGAATTTGTTGTAGATTTTACATTTTAGTTTGCAACTGGACTCTTCTATTTTGGTTTGATAATTCCTAATGTTATAATCCTTGGTATGATTATACCATCTTTTAATGGTATCATCCTATTTAACTCAAGATGTTCTCCTGAAGTTTAAGATAATTCCACATTCAAATGTTTTTATATAATAATACTTTTTTCAATAGCTCACAAAGAGTATGTACTTCCAAGCCCTTAATAATTGTTATAATTATACCTCACAAAGATTGCATTTAAACGCTTATAAAATGCTTAAGATGTAGCCATATACTCGAAGGTACTAACAATATTTGGTGAGTACTAAGGCCAACAGTGGTACTTATTGCAAATTATTCTTGTAGAACTTTTTTTTTTATAGTCCTTTAATTATTGTTTAAAAAATAAACTGTTTCTGATGAAATATAATATTTTTTGATTATTCTTGTTCGGTTCTATGACTGTTTCATTCTACTTTATGACTTGATAAACATTGAATCCAATATATCATAAAAATGAACAGGTTGAATAGTTAGAAAGTTCTCCACTATGGCATCCAGTTCCTTAAATAAAATCTTTTGATTTTAAGACAATGTTGTCATTAGACTTGTAACATAAAACTAGTATCAGATTGTTACCTGTAATGATAATTATCATTACAGGCAACAATCTGATCATGCTGAGCAGCAGATTGACCAAACTAAAGAGAATCCAGCAAAACAAGCCCGGCTGGATAATTCTTTTACATTATCATCATTACAATGGCAATATATATAGATGAAGTTATTCAGTCTTCGTCCGCTTGTGGCACAGCACATAAACAACAATTACCAATAGGCATTGATACTTAGCTAAACCAATATCTGGAAGAATCAGAAATATATAGACATGCTGATTCACTACAGTGGTGGAGTGACAACATCCCGGAAAAAAAAGTTCTATAGAATTTCTGTAAATTTTTGAAACATGTGGCCTATAGAAACTCTAGAATTTATATAAAATGTCTATTAATTTCTATAGAAATTGCTATAAAACTTTTTAATTACAAGAACAGGATTTTGGCTCCTGTAGTTTTGCTTTGAAATCTGGCTCCGATTCCGACCAGATCTGTTAGTAGAAATCCGGCAAATCCGGCTCCGGTCGGATTTGGAAAAATTAAATCCGGTACAGCCCTAATTAAAACTGTTAATTTCATTCTCTAAAATATTTCTAAAAACTTGTTTGTGTTGTTATACGTGATTTTACTAGTGCTGTTGGAATTTGACATAAATTAATGTTATGAAATACTATTGAAAGTAGGCTTTGTTGTTTCTTACCATTTATCATCAAACTAGCTGACCAGAACCATAAAAATACAGGTCTTAGTAATTCTATTCCGCATCAACCTTTTTTTATACTTTTTCATATTATATATCCTAGCTTTCTGGACCCGTAAAACCCAGGTCGTAACCAAACCTAACATTTTTTTACTTATCTATTCCACACGGATCATCTCTATACCTATTCCTTGTTTACTTTCATATTTTAATAAGAGATTTATAATTGGGTTTGCTTTTCTCCTAAATGTATACAGTCGACTCTCGATATCTCGAACACTAAGGGGACGGGAAAAAAAGTTCGAGATATCAAGAAAAGGGTTAAAAATAAATAAAATTGACCGACTTTCATTAAAACAAGTTATTTTTCTGACAAAAATTATTAACAACAAAAGCTACAACTTTTGGAAAAAATTTGTTATCTAATATTGCTTTAAATTATCCATCTTTTCCATCTTCATTAAATCCTCAAGTTTTAGTGCTAGGGGTTGTATTTCATTTCCGTATTTTGAGCTGTATAGCAAAGCATTTTTAATTGTTTCAAAAGCAATTTCTAATTGAATATCAGATGGGCGTGGCAGGGCTTCGACATCAATAGCTTTGTCAACGCTATCTTCAACTTCATTATCGTTGTTTTCAAAATTAGGGTCTAAAATCTAAGCAATGATTTCAGCATCAGTAGCAAGTTAACCGGTGGTTACTACATCGTAATCTAAACCAATGTAAGATTCCGCCCAGAGATCTTCTTGGACGGCATGAGGATTTAACTCTCGCAAATGGTTAAGTTCTTCTGTCAAAAATTTAAAAGGATGATCATCATCAGCTTCTTCAATACTCTTGTTTGTTTTGCTGATACCAGCTTTTTTAAAGCAGTTGATGACAGTCTCTTTCGACATTTTTTTCCCCAAAACATTTTTCTTGTGATAAATCGTATGTTTTGTTTGGTAGGCACTGGTAAAATAGTCCAAACTCATCACCATTAAAAATGTTTTCAAGTTTGTAATTCAAAAGCGATGTTGGAAGTGTAGTTTCATTCCACGAAGCAGTCATATTATTCGTCACGGCGGCACTTTCGCCGGAGATTATTTTAAAGCTGATACCGTTCCTAATAATAGGAACAGAATAATTGAATTTTAATTACATGTTTAAAAAACTAAATAAATTAAATATAAACAAATACATGTTATTTGTTTATATTAAAATTGAACAAGATTTGACAAAATTTAACTGACCTTTCTTTCCAATTATGAAACCAACAATCAGATGCTTTAAAATCCAACTCTCCTAATGCTTCTGCGAATTTTAATGTCTTTTCTTTTAGTATGGTACCATCAATTGGTACTTGTTGACTTCTTTTTGCAACGAACCACGTGTATATGGCCTTGTCTACATTTTTGAAATTACCACTACAAAGTTTCTTCCGTTTAGATTTTGTGCTATTTTTTTCCAGTGAGGTTATTAACTTGGTTTTATTTTTAATCCAGGTTGATAATGTGTTCTTTGGGGCTCCATACTTTTTGGCAACCTCTTCGTTAGACATCCCTGTCTCTAGGTCTTTTAATGCCTTGCTTTTTTCTATTATAGATTTGTTTGTGAGTTTTCATTTAACGAGCAGCATGTTGTTGCCTTTGACAAAAAGAATAAATTAATATATTAAAGGAAAACTTTTCAGAAATTCGATTCTTACAAGAAATTAAATTTAAAAATCGAATTAAAATATTTTTTTTTTCAAAAATTGGAATTTAAAAAAAATTAAATTTTATTAAAACATTTTTGAAAAAAAAAATGTTGAAAAGTTCGAGATAACGAGAGAAAATTGCCCTGTGGACCGAAAATATTGTTTGAGATACCAAAAAGTTCGAGATATTAAGGTTCGAAATATCGAGAGGATTTTAGCTTAAACTAGTACGTTATGTCCATGGGACCGCTAAAAAAGTTTGAGATACTCAAAAGTTCGAGATATCAAGTATTCGAGATATCGAGAGTCGACTGTATTACAGTCTTTCTCAGGAAGACGTGTGATCATATGTCATTATATGACCAAGTAAATTTTGATTTGATGATTTTATATGACCAGGCACATTTTGGTTTGACGATTTGTCGTCAGCTATTTCAAAAAGCATTTTAAAAACACGCTGAATAAAAAATATTCTGAGTTATACCTTAAGTAAAATAATTTACATTGAAACTTCTCAAAAAACATTTTTATATTAGCAAAACGCTTTTAAATAAAGTAACAATTTACTAATAATAATTTTTTTTTTTCAAGTATAGTTGACAGTTGTATATAATTTTTTAAGTTTATATTATATAAATTGTTTAAGTATGCATTTTTTATAATAAATGTTATTTAAAAATAAGAAAATTGTTTTGTTTTTATAAGCGATGACATTCTACAACAACGAAAGTCTCTTTAACGAATTTTAATATAAGAATAATTGAAGTTAATCCATTTAAAAAGATAAACAAAATTTCTTAGAAAGCCGTTACAATTAAATAAGTTTGATCTTAAATGCTTTTATATTATCGAAATGCTTTTTAATTAAGTAACAAAACACTTCTAATTAATTATTGTAATAAGTATTAATAAACTGTTTTTTTTTTAATTATATAACTATGTATTTTTTTATGATAAATATTTATCTTTTAAAACATGTTTTTTTTAAAAAAAAAGTACCAATGTTAAAACAAATAATGAAATGGTTTTTAATATGTAAATTAAATAAACTAAGCATTTTAGTTTGATGATTATTGTTTTAGTTGGGTTATATATATATATATATATATATATATATATATATATATATATATATATATATATATATATATATATATATATATATATATATATATATATATATATATATATATATATATATATATATATATATATATATATATATATATATATATTGTGTTTTTGCTTTAGTTAAGTATTTTTTTTATTTACTTTTTCGTTAAGATTTTTTTTTCTTTTATAAAGTTTTTTTTAGATAAGTTTAGGTAAGTTTTTGTGGCGCATTTTGAAAAAAAAAAAAATAGAAAAAAAGATTTCTCATTGTTAAAAATTTTCATCAAAGTTTTCTCATTTTATACATTTATCATACATGATTGTTCCAAATAGTGTCTGCAAACTCAACATATTTTAAAGGCGTTTACACTTACAGACGCAACCCTTTGAATTAGGGTTGGCATTTGGCAATACCAACCTAACAGCTGACCTTAAAGTGTTTGAGGTCGGCAAATTATTGCCTAATTCCGAGGATTTAGATTTAAATAATTTTTCCTAATTCGGAGGATTGCAGGCGTTTGTATATAATGCTATACAAACGGCAGAACAAAGAAAATTTTAGACCAATAAAAACTATAAATGCGGCCTTAGCTATAATATGTTAATCTAAAAGTTGAGTCAAAAAAATTTTGTGCTGTGACATCAGTTTGTGGCAAAAAAAACTTTTATGTCAAGTTTGCTTTAAAATTTTTGTTTACATTTTTTGATTAATTTTAATTATGGTGCACACAGTTGCACAAAAAGTTGTAAAACTGGTACAGATATATTATTTCATAGAGAAGAATTTGTACAATAGTAATAAATAAATAGTTTTAAAGAAATAAAATAGTAATTACTAAATTTAAATGTTAAAGTTTTATAAGTGGGTTTTTTACATTTGTATTATTATTACTATGTACTATCAGTGCCGTTTTGACAGGGTTTAAATCTGGCCATATATATTTATAGCAAATAAATAAATATAGCTAAAAAGAGTTTCAATAGTTAAAATAAAATTTAAAGTTTTTTATAGTTACAGGCTTACCTGAGCACATTAATAAGATATGTATCTCAATCACAACACGTACGCAACATCTTTTTTCTTGGTGTTTTGATGTTTTTAGAATTTTAGTTTTTTTAAAAACCATTTTGTTTGTTATTGTGTATAATGTCTTTACCTATGTTATGTATATAATATCCATTAAACTTCAAAAGTGTTTTATTTTGTATTTAAAAAAAAATCAAAAAAGATTTAAAAAAAAAAGTTTGTAATGGTAGAATTTGAACCATGGCTTTTTCATTAAGAAGCTTTGCAACCTAACCACTCGGCCACGCTTGCATGTTGATTATTGAAAATTTTAAAACTATATAAAAGATTTGATAAAGCTAAAATAAATGCTATAAGATCAAAATTAAGGAAATAATGCTGAAATGTAATTTTCAAGTGAAAGTAAAACTGTAAAACTTATATGGTTTAGTATCTTTTAATATTACTTAGTTTAAAGTTTATGTATGTTAGATATTTGCATACAATTTTGTTCACATTTTCTGATAAAAAAGTGATGTGAGTCTTTCTCATCACTACCTTGGTTGCAATGGTTGCCAAGGGTTCCGTGTCAAACACACTCGAAGGGGCACTACTACTACTACTACTACTACTACTACTACTACTACTACTACTACTACTACTACTACTACTACTACTACTACTACTACTACTACTACTAAAGCTATTAAGTTCAGCAATAATATATAGAGGTTAACATTTTTAGGTCAGTGTTTAGAGCATACCACAGTGTGTTTTGAATCAGGAATATTATCTCTTAGAATAGTTGTTATCCATCATGAACATTCATCTTTGTTTTTTGGTAAACAATAAGAGGATATGTAGTTCTTATTATTTTTGTCATTGTTAGACTAGCAAGTGACAAAACACTTTAGAAGCGTTTAATAATTTAAATAAAAAAAATATCTTAAGCAATTTATTTTCAAATTTCTGTTAGGTTTGATTGCATGGCCTGTTGTAAAGATAGCCTTGACCATTGATCTTTTAATAAATAGTTGTACCAAATAGTTGTGTATACCAAATTTTGGAAATTGAGTTGGAAAAATCTTTGTTTTGAAGAATAAATTTTTCTTTCACTTTTTTTCTTTATTATGTTTTTGATATATTAGTTTAATAAGATTACAATCTAATTTAAGTAATGGTTGTTTTCTTGATTTAATGATTTTTTATTAAAAAAATTTTTTTTTGTGAATTTGTAATTCCAAATGATAAATAAGTTACAACATTTTATTAAAATTTATGTAATTAGGATTTATCCTTAACCATTTCTACAGTATATCTTTTTTTTAACAAAATGTTAACTTTATTGTTTAATTTAAAAAGTGATATATGTTAACTTTATTGTTTTTTATAAAAAGTTTTTGTCTTTAACAAAAACTTTTTATAAAAAATATTTTATATAAGATATTTATCACATATAAAAAATATTTTATGTAATGTGATTTTATACTCTTGGTATAAAATCACATTCATCTCAAGACTTTAAAAAGAAGAGAATGATAAGTTTTTGAAAGTTTGAAAGCATTGTTTTTTGGCATTTTTTAGTTTGTTTCACATGTGCAGAGCTATTGCTCCTGCATTATAATAAGCACTGTGTGTGTGTGTGTGCGTATATATATATATATATATATATATATATATATATATTATATATATATATATATATATATATATATATATATATATAGTATAATATTAAAACTAGTATATTACAAAAAACAAATAAAATTTAAGAGCTTACTAACGGAAAGAACAAGAGTTTTTAATAGAAGGTATACCTTAATTTAATTTTGAATTTTCTGCTTCCAAAAGTGTGCGCGATTTTAATTTCATTATATCCATTCATTTTAATTCTAAACGTGTGCGTGATTCAAACTCCATTTTTATTTTCTATTAATTTTAATTTCAAATATGTGAGTGATTGACGAAAGTTTTTTTAATGTCAATTTAATTAATAAAGTTATCAAAAAATAGAAGTATTATTAAATTACAAAATTTTCTTATCGTCTGTTTCATTAATGAAGTCTTGCATATATATATATATATTTTTAATTATTTTTATTTATATTGTTACCATTTTAAGGTATTGTTTTATAATTTAAAGTACTTAGGTTCATTAATTTTTAAAAGTCCTGATAAGATAACTTTTAATATAATAAAATTTTAACATAATAAAAAGATAGCTTTTAATATAATAAAATTGTTTAAAAGTTAAACATGTTTAAAAGTTAAACATGTTTTTAACTTAATTTTAGGTATTAAATATTTTAGCTATACTATTATTAAAATAATCATTTTTAAGTGTTTGATGAGTACTTAAAAAGTATTCAATTGTGTTTTTTCTATTAAATCCCGGGATTTCCAGGGGACAAATTTCTCAATCCTGAAATCCCAGGATTGAAAATTTCCGGGATTTTTGCCATCCCTATTCTCATAAATGTTATATAGATGTTATTTAAGTCAAGTGATTGGGATGGTCACTTTAAAACATTAACTTTATTCTTTTTGAAAAACTCTAAATTCATTTGGTTGTATGTTTAGGATTGTTATCCTGTTAGTATATCCATCCTCGAGGCATTTTATCCTTTGCATGAGGTAACTTAATAGTCTTACATATATCTTTGTACTTTTCTTGGATCATAGTCTCAGTAATTCTATGGAGCGAACCAACTCTATTCCTGCTAAAACATCCCCAAACATTACATTACCTCCTCCATGTTTTACGATTGCAGTTGGTATTTAGGATTGTATCTTGTACTGGATTTACGCTGTTTGGGTCAGATGGAATCAGATATCTCCTACTGGACGTATCTGATTCGATCTGATCGGAACAGCATAAATTTGCTTTTGTCACTAAAAAGAAATTTTGACCATTGTTGACTACTCCACTTTAGATGCTCTGATGCAAATTCCTTTCGGGCGTTACAGTTTTTCAAAGAACTAATGGCTTTTTAGCTGGATGTCTTCCAAATAAATTAGCGTGTTGTAAACAACGTTTTATAGTAGAACTACTACAATTCATTCCAAAGAAACCTCTCATTTGTATGTTTATATTGACAGCTGTTAAATAAGAATTTTTTTTTGTTTAGTATCACAAGCTTTTTATCCTGATAATGCGTTGTTTAGCGTGGTCTTCCTGATTGATGCTATATATTTTTGAATGCTACTGTGTGTGGTCGCGTGTGTGTGTATATATATATATATATATATATATATATATATATATATATATATATATATATATATATACACACACACACATATACACATATATAAATCAATTTTAGTTGTCATTTTCTTCAGTTAAATGTTAATTCTTGCAGTTGAACAAGACTTGTGTTCATAAGATCAAAAAAATAAATTAGCAAATTAAACTGTTGCAATTTTTCCAAATAAATTAGTTTAATTTTAAAAAAATCATTGTGGTTATGAAAAGGTTGTGGTAAAAGTATAGAAATATGAATCACCTATACATAAAGTGACTAGTGTCCCATTTTTAATGTCAGAGAGCACAGTGCCAGATCAATTTAAAAACTATTATCTTTATGGTACTCTCCAATCTAAAAAATGTGACTCTGGTAACCTTAACCAGCACTATGCTTCCAATAACTTTTTTCTGCCATACACCTCTCCCCTCCCCAGATTACAGAGCTAGGACTGATGTTGTTTAACATTTTGTTTAACTTAATGTTTTAAAAACATTTTTTAGCTTTAAGAGTTGTTCATTACGTTATCATTGGTTCTTCAAGTTTTGTAGCCTTATTGATAATAATGGTTGCTGTATTCTGTGTTCGAAAACAATTAGTGAAATCAAAATCAATTAAACAAAAAGGGTTAAAAAAACATTCATCTGTGTCATGCAGAGATTCCACTACTCCTCACTATGAGGATATTGGCCATGCTGTAGAAATTGATTATGAAAAACTTGTTAATGAAGATATACAATATGAGTCTATGATAGATCTTAGAGTATTTGAAGTACCTGATATTAAAGTTCTTAAAGATGAGCATCCACCTGTCTATACTATTAATAATCATAAAAAACCAGAAGGATTAAAAAATGTTTTATCCTGAATTTTAAAATGCAATAGTTTTTTTTAATAATAAAGTAATTTCTAATTAAATATATTTTTATTCAGTTTTGAGCTTGTCATAATTTATTTTTTTATTTGGGCTTAATTTTTATTTTAATGGTTTTTTGATTCTGTCTTTTTAAATATATTTTTTAAATTAATCATTTTTCTACCTCAAGTTTTTTTTTCTTTTCAAATTTTTTTTTTTTTAACATGCTATGTTTTAATTTTTCTTTTAATCTAAAGTTTTCAATTGTATGAACATTAACTTAAAAGTTATCAATTGTATGAACATTAACTTAAAAATTAATTATAGTATTTATAGAAATAACTATATATATATATATATCTTTATGAAATAAAAATTGTATTTATATTACTATATGTTGATATATTTTTATATGACTGTAACAAAGAAAATTAAGTAAAACATAAAAAAATTTGAAAGTTATATATGTATTATAAAATATTTGAAGAATTTTAATTATGAAATATTATTCGATATAAAACATAGAAATTTATTTATTGTAATAATTATGTTAAATATAAATAAGAATAAACTAAACTTGTTTTAGTTTGCGTTTAATTCATTACATAAAATATTTATAATCCACTAAGTTTAATAAAATAGGAAACTTAAAATATTTAAATTTTCACTGACTGACCTGTATGAATACGAAATGTTTCCAAGTAATTGGTCTATTTTTTTAATTTAAAAAAAGGTTCTTGGTTTTTTTTCACATTATTTTTTTCTAAGTTTAAAAATTCTTTAAAATAATTTATCAAGGCTATGCTTTTTTTCCTTAGAACAATTTTTAATTAATTTTTATATAAATTTTATTAACATGTGTCTTTTAGGGTGGTCCATAAAACAACTTTTTTGAGAAAAACCTGCTGACACCCCCTAAATGTGTTTTATCTAATGCAAAAACACTAGGTTTAAAATTTTTTTGAACAAAAATTATTTTTAGGGGTAGCTCAAGGCCCTCAAAAATTTGACGGGTCCCTAATATTTTGAAAAAAAAACTTTTTCTAAAGTATGTCAACCTGGTACTCAAAAGAAGCGATAATGTATAAAAACTTCAAAAATAATAATCATTTTACATAAAAAACATGCCTAAAAAAAATTATTCTCAAAAAACCTGAAAATATTGACTTTTTTTATTTTCAGCTTAAAAACAATAGTTTTTATGCATTTATACCTAAAAAAATTATTTTTATAAAAAATTATTATCATTTTTAAATTTTTTATATAATTTTGCTTATTTTGAGTACCAGGTTGACATACTTTAGAAAAAGTTTTTTTTTCAAAATATTAGGGACCCGTCAAATTTTTGAGGGCCTTGAGCTACCCCTAAAAATAATTTTTGTTCAAAAAAATTTTAAACCTAGTGTTTTTGCATTAGATAAAACACATTTAGGGGGTGTCAGCAGGTTTTTCTCAAAAAAGTTGTTTTATGGACCACCCTAGTGTCTTTAATATTTTTAATTTTGCCATTTTTTTGAGAAATAAAAGTTAAAATGTTGTAGTAAACCAATTGCATTTATCAAAAAAATCACTTTTATTAAAGTGTAAAGATAAATATAAATCATTTTAAAATAATAATATGTGCTGCAAAAAATAACTCCGAAAGTGTTATTTACAAATTATGAATTACAACCCAGGAAAAAAAGTTTCTTTTCTTTATACTTTTAAAACATAATATTCCTTAAACAGCAATTGCTTTAAAATTTATAGTTTATTTTAGGTTTTTTTTAATAGAAAAAGTTTTATTAATAAGTTAATGTCTTTTAGAAAAATATAAAACCAACATAGTATTGTTCATAACCATAGTATCTATAAAACCAACATAGTATTGTTCATAACCATAGTATCTATAAAACCAACATAGTATTGTTCATAATCATAGTATCTATAAAACCAACATAGTATTGTTCATAATCATAGTATCTATAAAACCAACATAGTATTGTTCATAACCATCTATAAAACCAACATAGTATTGTTCATAACCATCTATAAAACCAACATAGTATTGTTCATAACCATAGTATCTATAAAACCAACATAGTATTGTTCATAACCATCTATAAAACCAACATAGTATTGTTCAGAACCATAGTATCTTTAAAACCAACATAGTGTTGTTCATAACCATCTATAAAACCAACATAGTATTGTTCATAACCATAGTAACAACATAGTATTGTTAAAATGATTGATATAAAGTAAAAGTTTTCAATATTGAAAAGTTTTTATTTTGCAGTAAAAAAAAACAACAACAACCTTAAGTTAATATAATTTTGAAGATGGTCAAACTTACAGCTGATGTCATTGAGCAATCACCCCAGTATACAAATCCTTTACGAGATCGTGAGATTGATCTTCGTGGATGTAAAATATCTGTTATTGAAAATCTTGGAGCAACTTTGGTAAAGTATTTGTTTTATTTTATTTGCATTACTCATGCAATTATTTGCAGTTTAGCATGTGTGCATTACTTCTACATAACTTTTGTATAATTCTCAGCTTTGTTTTATCTTGATCAGGATCAATTTGATTGTATTGATATGTCTGATAATGATATAAAGAAAGTTGAAGGTTTCCCTTTACTTAAAAGATTGAGAATGCTGTTACTTAACAATAATAGAATCTGGTAAAACTTTTTTATTTATTTGATACTTTAAAAATTTATTATTTTATTGATAGTTACATTTTTTAGAAATGAAAATATTAAAATACCAACAATATGTAACTTAATTCAATTATAACTAACCTACCTAATTCTAGACCTTACAGGTAAAAAAAAATACAATCTATTAGATTAAATAATTCTATTAAAAGTTTATTGTAATATTGTAATACTGTAATATCTCTATATAAGATGATTTATTGGTCAATTTGTTGTTATTTTAAAAATAAGTTGTAGCAGAACACAGATCTATGAGTGAAGATCTAAAGTTTAAAAACAAATGAATAAATATAATTTAAAAATGCATCATCTGAGAGTAATTTTAATTATTTATTACTTATATATTTTTTGGTATTTATAATTTATTATGATTATTGAAAAATAAATGGATCCCAAAGTGCCAAGACAAGTTTTGTTCATATTTGAGAGAATGTTCAAAAAAATGTTTGGTCTGAATTATTTTATGTAAAACAAAATAATAAACGTATACCAACAAAAGCTGACATTGTAGTTTTAATCAAAACTTGCCGTCTCCATTTTAGTGTGGTTTTTAAGTCTTTAAAATATACGCACTTATTTTAATGCAATCTACATACTTATAATTTATTCAAGCGCATTTAATTTGTAAGAGTGTCAGTATAAAAGATGACGTTGTCGTAGGATTTTTTTTTAGAAACATAAAAATATTTTCTTTCCACATACTATCAGGAAATCACTTTAGTTTGAATTATTTTTCTCTAAATCTCAAAATATATTCATTTATAAATTTTAAATAATTTAGTATCTTTGCTCTTTAAAATTTTATTAAAGAAACTAATTTAATAAATATTGTCAGGATAGTTGTATATATCTTTGATACAACTTTAAGTTTATATATATAATAAATCTTATGAATTATGCAAAGCATTAGCATAGTGCTGTGGATGTGTATTAGCGTAGGGCTGTGGATGCGTATCAGCATAGTGCTATGGGTGTTATATTGCTAAGATTCAGACACAACTGAAAAGATTCAATTGCGTTCTTTTTTTAAATTTTAATGTTTTATTTGAAAGTAGTTTTATGTTTTTTAACTGTTATTATTGTTTATAATTGTTTTTAATATTAATTTTTATTTTTCAAAGAATGCGCATCAATGCATATGTAAATATAGCCATAGATATAGTGTAGTGGCAATAGAGTGTACTTAGATCGATTGATTTAAATAGGGATAGGCTCAGTGTACATGCATAAACATGAAATGAGGTTTTCAAATATAGACAAAGTGTTTCAATATTTATTTAAATAAGGTTGGTAAAATAATTTATATGAAAAAATTATTAAATAAAATTACACTAGATTTTTAGGTGAAATAATCAAATTAAAAATGACTTACAGCTGTGGCCATAAGTTTAATAAAATAAAAAAACTTGAAAAAATTTGTCTATTTTAAAGACTTCCGAAAGGTTTGTATCTCTTTAAAATGGCATAAAACTTTTATTGAAAACACATTTATTTCACTCTAAAATCAAACTTTGTTGTATATTTTCAAAACGGTGGAAGTGGATTTAAAGTTATTGCCATGACTGCATATTTAAATACGCACGTACATAAATTTCATTAAATATATACTCCCATGACAAAATAAGAATTTTGAAAATAAGTCTGATGAAATGTTTATAAAATAGATGCTGTTAATTATACTTTTAAACAGTTAAAACAATTCAAAACAATTTTTGTAAATAGAATCTTGATAAAGATAATAATCATTTAATAACATTAAATAACATTAATAACATTTTAATAACATTAAATAACATTAATAACATTTTAATAACATTAAATAACATTAATAACATTTTAATAACATTAAATAACATTAATAACATTTTAATAACATTAAATATAACACAAAACCAATTTATACTAATAAACAAGTTGAAAATATCAGAAAGAGATTTTATTCATATTTTTTAATTCAAATTTTGTGAAAATTAGAAAATAAAAAAACTTAACAAGTTGTTAGTAGTTTATGAAGGAAAGAATAATTTCTAGATTTTTTTTCAAAATTTTATCAAAAAGAATTTCTAGATTTTTTATCAAAATTTTACAATGACATCATATACTAAAACTCTTTGAAGTTAATTGCACTTGAATAAATTAAGTCTGTAGATTTTGTCAAAAAAAGCGCATATATTTAAAAACTTTAAAATCACACTAAAATGGAGACAGCAAGTTTTGACTAAAACTATAAAGTTAGCTTTTCTTGGTATACCTTTATTATTTTATTTTTATCAAAAAAAATTTATCCCATGCATTTTTTTTAAATCATTCCTTTTAATATGAACACAACTTGTTTTGGCACTTTGGGATCCTTTTAAAAATATCAACAAATTGTTGCTGCAAAACAAAAATTAATTCTTGGACTAATGTCCATTTTTGAAAAATTAGAAAATCCATTTTCGGAAAAAATGACTTTTTTGGTTAAAAGTCCTCCTTTGGTGCATAATAAAGATGTCACTATGTGCGGGGCCAAAATGAATAAATTTAGGCCACTATGAGCAAAATTCAAATATCTCAAGTCCAAAAAAAATTTAGAAACATGCAAAACTATCTTAAGTCCATCTAGACTCAAGCAAGACTATCTTATTAGTATTTAAGTTTTTAAAATAATATCCTTAATTTTTTTTAAGGGTATACTATCTTTTAAGTGTTTTATTGTTTTAAAAAAAAAAGTTATTATGATGGTGTTACTAAATAATATTTAGTAAGGTTTTACTAGAGTTCTAGAAGAGTTTAATAAGTTTCTAACTAGAGTTTCAGAATTAACACATTGTGGTAAAATGATTATTACTTGTGGCAAGTTTTAGCATTTTGAATAATATTCAGAGTGTCATTTAAACTGTTTAATGACTTATTAAACTATCTGTTTAATAAGTTATTAAATTGCATGTAAGTGCTATTAAAAATTATTTTGAATTTTTTTAGAAAGTGATTTGATAGATGATACCTAAAGATTTTGGAAGATTTTTTTATAACAAAAGTAATGAAAAACTTTAATAAAAAACCATAATTTGATGTTGTTAAAAATAGTATTGGTACTGCAATACTTTGGAACCTCGGTGATTGTAAAAAATCTTAACACACTGACACTGAAGAACTTATTCCAACTCTGTGATACAATCTCAAAAAAGAAAAAGGACCCATGATTTTCATAATGGATTAGAAACGCTAGAAAATTAAAGGTAAACACAGGTCAGATATTTCCTCATGTACAAAAGAGTGGTCTAAATAAAGGAAAGGTAGTAGTAGTTGAGAATAAGAAAATGCGAAAAGGATGTGGCAAGAAGTTTAGGTTTCAGTTAGGTTTAATCAAAAAATTTATCAATGTGTTTGATAACTGTGTGATCAAACACAGTGATAAATTTAAAATTTTCAATGTCTTTTTCTCAGAACAGCCAAAATGAACTTAGGTCTTGTTTTGCAGCGGCGAAATTATTTTAAAAAAATGCCTAAAAAACAAAATAATTTTTTTAAATGATTATTTTATTTAATTGGTCATTAATTTACAGCGAGCATTGTTATTTCTTCATCATGTTTCATGAAAAATGAAAACATCTATTAAGTTGTGTACAAAAAAATTGGTTTCGGATAAAAATTCATTCCTTGTCATCTGAAATTTTTAAAATATATTATCAAATAATTTTTTTAAATATATTATCATTCTCTAATTATATACATAATTTTTTGAGTTTTTGTAGATTTCACAAATCTCATTATATCTGATATTATAATAATATTATAAAAAAATATATCTGTTAATATATTTTCAATATTTAAAGATTGTTATGTTCTTTATATATATATATATATATATATATATATATATATATATATATATATATATATATATATATATATATATATATATATATATATATATATATATATATATATATATATATATATTTATGTCAAAAAATTTATGTAAGTTAACATTCTTAAATTTGGTCTATTAAATCTTGTTTCAAACGCTGTTAAACATTTTTTTAATTGAATTTTTTAATTTGTGATATAATATTAGTTTAATATTCATATGGTGAAAAATGATGATGAGAAAGCTTTAAAACAAGGTAAGTTAAATAAACCATTAATTTAAGTGAATAATAACCCAGCGTCACAAGTATCCTTTTCTTATTTTTTATGTATTTTAAATATTTTTTAAAGTACAATTGTTAATTTACAAGTAGATGATAAAATTTCTTTCTATCAGATTTTGTTCTTTCTAATATTTTCTTTAATAAAATGTTTTTGACTATTTTTAATTATTGGTGACTTATTATTGATATTGTTGATAATGTTGTCTGTTGTACAAAAAATTTAACGTGGTTTATTCAGTCTAAAAAAATAATATTATTAAAAGAAGAATTGATAAAAAGAAAAATAATCTTATTTAAAAAAAAAATTTTCTCTACCCCTATGAATGGGGTAGAGAAAAATAGACTTTCCTATACCTATAGATTTTCTATACCCAACAAATAGACTTTTCTATACCCTTACGAAAGTCAACAAATAGATTTTTTATGAAAGTTAAAAAAAAGAAGTTGAAATTTTCAAAGTATTTACAGAAATTCAAGATTTTATAATTGTTATTGGTGTGTAAAAAATTTATCTAAAAAATCATTTTTATCATTTTTCTTACCTAAATATCTATTCAAAAATAATTTAAAACGGGTAAAATAAAGTTTTCTTAAAAAAATATTTTTTGCAAAAGTTTTGAAAACTTAAATTGATTGAATTTTAAAAACTTAAATTTAAACTTAATTTTATCTGAAATTGCTTTATTTTTACTGCAGACAAAAATTTTAGCAAAAAAATATTTTTTCATCCAACTCTTAAATTACACTAACAATTTCAAAGCCTATTTATTGATATGTTAGGTAACTTCACAAAGAAATGAGCCAAGTGTGGTATAATTAGGGACCTTGTAGATTAATAGTAAAGTCCTTTTGCATTGAGTGTGAGTGCTCTGTTGTTGTACAACCATAAAATTAGCGGGATTATAAAACTACTTTTTTTTTTATCTATTTATATTTTACAAAGGCTTTGATTAATTCTTTTTTCTATATTTATATCTTGAAGAGATTTTAATAAACTTGAAAAAAACACTTTTAAAAATTAAAACATAAAAGAAAAATATTTCAATTAAAATGTTTTAAAACTTGTGATTTAGCATAGAGTATGTGTTCAAAAGTCATACACATAAATATTTTTTCATATATTCCTCTCAATTCTTGTAAAGGGAATTAGAATGTGAATCAATTACAAACAAAAAAGTTGACTTAAATTGTTTTGCAGAGATGTCTAGTTAAAATTACTACAGGGTTTCTGCATATCAGGCAAAACAGGGAAAAGTTAGTGATTTCAGATATCTGCAAAATAAATCACCTTATATACTAAAATATATTTGTGTTTATAAACTATTTATTCATAAATTTATATTGTATGTGTAAAATTTTTAGTCGTTTTGAAGAGAACTTGGAGTTAGTGTTACCTCAATTGGAAACACTGGTATTGACTAATAATAACCTGGCAGAACTTGTATGTAGATTTTTAATTTTTTTTTTGTCATTTTTGTAGATTTACTTGTCTTATTATCTTGAATTGTTTACTCTTTACTTATTTTTTACATAATTTTTATGATAAATAACAAATTTATTTTAAAATAGTAAAAAAAATTGCAATTTATTGCAAATCAAATCAGATAAATCCAGGCCCATAGCAACCGGAGAGGCAGCATGGGCATTTGCCCCCCAATAATTTTTAAAATAATTAATTTTGAGAAAATTTACTGAAAAAATGACTTAAAAAAAAGGGTCCTCAAAACTAATACAGGGCCTAATCCAGCACTGCCCCCCTCCCCCATATAGTTTTTGTTCCTACGGGCCTGAAATCAAAAATTTGTGTTAGCATTATAAGCTAAAATTTTTTAAATTAAAAAAGAGTTATTGAATATAAAAAATATACTGTATTACTAAATTTATTGAATAAGCCAAAAAAAAAATGCCCTTAAAATTTTTCTTTTTAATATCTTATTTACAATAAATTTAACTGGAAAAATATTTTTTGCATTTTTTTAGATGTATTTTTTAATAATAGTAATATGAATGCATAAAAAAAGTAATTGTCAATATTCTCAACAAGTATTTAGTTTATAACACATATTTTAAGTAGCCTTAAGTTGTGTATTAATTAATTTTGTGCCTTAAGTTGTGTATTAATTATTTAATAGTATGTTATAAAATATTTACTCCAATTGTTTTTTCATTTAAAATAAATGAAATATATATGAACATATAATATACATATGGACATATGAAATGCTATTAAGACTCAGGTAAAAAGGAAAAAAACATATACAAAACATATTGAAACTTTTTAATCCCTGTGTAATAAGGTTGATAAATTTGTGATGAAGTAATCCACTGTTTTTTTAGGGTTGTAGCTCTCTAGCTGTTCTAAATTCACAACAGAAGAGAATCTACTGTTTCAGAATGATATCCTTCTTATATGTCACAAAATAGTTCATAAACTTCCAGCTTTCATACATGCACTGAAGGACTTGTTAGCTACTCAACCTATTGTTGTTTAATTTGAAGACATCAAAACTCGAAACAGTATTGGTACACTATTTCTAGTTTCCATTTAATAAATGTTTTTTGCTGCCACAAAATATCTATGAAAAATTTATGATAATGTGAACAAAATTTTAGTTAGTCCAGATCAAACTCCATCTGAAGTTGATTCTTCCAACCTAATAAAAATAGAAAATAATACAATGACGCTTTTTGAACAGACAAAAAAAACTCAACTAGTTTTTTGATTCATTATGAGTAGATAGAGGTTCAAATGCATCAACACACAAAAAACGATCAATATCAATGGTATTGGAAAAAACTGGTTTAACAACTAATGCTTGCACATTGCACAAAAATCATCTTTGTCAGAATATTTTAATATCTCTTTATTGCTTCTCCACTGATGCAACTTCACTTGATAAAAAGAAAATTACTGAGCTGCAACAATTAGCCAAACAAATATGATATAATCTACTTAACTAAAACTTTTTTTCTGCCCCATCAATATATAAATGTGCTATTTTGGATAGATAGAATCAGTTATGGAGTTGATGTAGGAATTTATGTTCAAATTGGTATAGTGAGGCAAGGGAGCTAGATATTTAAATAAAAAAAAAACTTTAAATGCAAAAAATTTCTGTTTGTGTCTAGTCAAATATGGCTATGTGGCTAGTTGAAGCTAGCTAACAATAATCTAGAAAGACTGATATATATATTATATATATATATATATATATATATATATATATATATATATATATATATATATATATATATATATATATATATATATATATATATATATATATATATATATATATATATATATCAATAGTGAGGCATCACTACCCTTTAAATATTAAAATATGTAAAAAAAATATGTCTCACTATATATGTAAATTATTATTATGTTAAGAGTCTTGCAATCATTTCAGCGTGAGTGTTAACATTAACAGATAGTGAGCCTGAAGTCTCACTATTGGTTAATGGATAGTTAGACTTCAGATTGAAATCAACTGAGCAGTGGCAGAGTAACAAAAGCAAACATTCCCAACAACCAATTAGTTTTTAATTTAGTTTTTTCAAAAAAATCATTGAATCAGCAACTAAAACTATTTGCATCCAAAGCAATGGTTTCAATGTCAAATATAACAATTGATCAAGACATTTTTTTCAAGCACTTAAAAGTACCAAACAAGTCAATGGATGATGACAATACTCCTTTGTCATAGATTAATGGCAGCTTCATTAACTTTGATTTTCTAACTTTCAATAAAGTCTGGCAAAGTTCAATAAAATATAGCATCATTTTTGCTCACAGCTAATGAACTTTATAAGACCTCTTTATAAAAAAAGACAGCAAAACAGATCAACCCAATTACAGACCAATATTGCTCACTTATGTTTCATGCAAATCAATAGAAAAAAATAGTTAAACTAGCCATAATCATTTGGTAAACAACATATCTCCTTCCAAAAATTAAGATGAATTGCATCACTAGTCTTATAGAATCAACTGATTTTTTGGCTTATAGCAAATCAAACAAAAAAACCAGTCAACCTAATTTTTCTTGACTTTGCTTGAAGTCAGACTCAGCTATACTTAGCAGATGGTTTAATGAGGCTGACTAACTTATTTAACTACCTACCTTACTAAATCTTTTTATCATATTTTTAATTATTGTAATTTCGACTTTAAATAAAAGTTTTCCTTCAATAAAATCTTCTATTAATTATCAAGTAAAAATAAGCTTCCCTTCAATAAAATATCCTTTTATTGATTTTTTTTTAATTTTGATTTGTCATTTTATTAATGACAGATCAAAATTAAAACATTTTTAATTATTATTTTTAATGGTGAATAAAACTAATAGTACTTATATTTAGTATAATGAAATTGTTATACTGTAATAAAAACTTATTTATTTTTTATGATTAAAGAAATTTTAAACTATTTTCATTTACTAGGCTGATATTGATCCATTGTCTACTGTCAGTTCTTTAACTAGTATAAGGTAACGTCTTATTGTAGTTTCTAAAAATATATCAATATAAAATTTATCTATACAATATAAAAATTAGATTAAATAGTCTAAGTCAAAAACACAATTTTTATTCAAAGTAAAAAAGAAAAAAAAGTCAAAACACGTTGAATTCATATACAAAAAAATTAAAGATTAAACATGTTAAATTGAAAATGCTCAAAATATTGTATTGAACCAAATCATTTTTACCTAAGTATAATTTAGTTTTAAAAATTAAAATATATAAAAAAAATAATCAAACCTTGTTGTTTTTGCCAGTAGGTTGCCCACTTGATTTTTATCGATTTACAGTTATTTTAAGCAATTTACAAAATTGATTTCTTTTTAAATCAGAATAATTCATATGAGTTTAAAAGTGTTTGATATCAAGACCACCTATTTTTTATTTCTTTAGTTATTTCATAAAAGTATATAAAACTTTATATGCCATTAAAAAACAAAAACAAAAAAACAAATTGCAAATTGCAAATTAATTCAAAACATTGATAAGCAGTGTTATAAAAAGTACTTTCAAAGAAATGTTTAAAATACAAAAACAAATACTTAGTCAAAAAAGTATTTAAGATAATTGAATCCCTTTCCAATCGTTGTATAAAAGTTGTCCTTGATGAACAGAACTCTTCTTCATATCCTGTAATTTCAGGGGTTCCTCAAGGTTCTATCTTTGGCTATATACTCTTTTTAGTTTACATTAATGATCTTCCAGATATTCTAACATCTAAGGTGGCATTGTTGGCTGATGAAACTACCATTTGTTCTTGTCTTGATAAGAAGCCAACACTCTCTGATTGCTTGGAGGAGACATTTAAGCTTGATAAGGATCTCACTACTGCTACAGCATGGGGCTCACAGTTGCTGGTGAACCTTAATTCAGATAAAATGCTTTCCATTTTCTTACTCTGCATTTTTATTCTTTATCTCTATAAATCTTGTATGTCTTTGTATAGAATACTGTTGCCATATCTGGGGCGAATCTTCCAATGATGCCCTTTCTCTTTTAGACAAGGTGCAAAAGCACATTGTAGACATAGTTGGACCTGCTCTTGCAGCCAACCTCTAACCACTATCACATTGTCATAATGTTGCTTCTCTTTCTCCTTTCTACAAATACTATAATAGGCACTGCTCTGAAGAGCAAGTGTCTTTTGTGCCATCTACTAAAATCCATTCTTGTGTTACTCATCATTCGATTAAGTCTCATCTTTTTTCTATAACTATTCCTAAGTGCTCCAAAAACTCTTTTTTTCTAGTTTTTTTCCTTAAACATCAGTTCTTTTGAATTTGCTTCCTTCATCTTGCTTTCCTGATTCATATAATTTTCAATCTTCTAACTTGTCTGTCAACTGTTATCTTGCTCTATAAACCTCATATTTCTCTTCCAGTAACTTCCAACTCTAATAGTTGTTGCTTGCAGCTTTGTTAGAAGCAAAGATGTTGAGGAAAAAAAAAAATTAGAATACAAATTTCAAAAAGTTCAATATATTTAAAATACAAAATATATTTATAATACAAAATACAATTCTTGAATATGTTTTAAAGCAGCTAAAGTTTAAAATGTATCAAAATTAAATATATTTCTTTTTGAACAATCATCACAAGTTTCTTATGAACCTGGTGAGCTGTTAGCATGAGAAATCCCAAAAACAATATATTCTCCTTGAAGTTTGTCTAGCGCATCAGCAATAAGTTTTATAAATTGTTTGTATTATTCTAATACCTCTTACTTCACTGGTTTGAAAAGTTTAGGGGATTTTTCTTTTACTCTTGACTCTAAAAGTTAAAATCAAAGTTCTTCACAGCATTGGATGGTTGTGTGCTTCGGCTGACCCATGATAACAAGTTTTCAGCAATTGGCCATTGCACCCATGTGTTGTTGTTTATAGTTGATAGTTAAATCAATTGTCTTTACTTGCTGAAGAATTTTGTGACATTGATTGTTTTTTAGTAGTAGTTGAACTCAATGTTAATTGAACCACCAATTCAGCTACAAAATTTTTTGCAGGGACACCTTTCTTGTGTTGGCCAGACCTCTTTTTGTAACATTTCTGGACATTTCTTTCTTTTTCTTTTTTTTTTTTTTTTTTTTTTTTGATTTAAAAAAAAAAAATTAAAAAGTATTTTGTATTTAAAATATAAATACCAATTTCTCAACTGAAAAAGTATTTAAATACAAAATAAAAATATTTTTAAAGTATTTTAAAGACATTTTTAAAAGTATTAAAAAAACTACTAAAAAACGCCATAACATAAATGTTTGGTTGAGCTTAATAATATTTTTATTACTTAGTAATATTTTTATTACTTTTTATTATTTATTATTATTTTATCTTTCTAAAGTTTTCAAATAGCAAAATTGTAACAATATCTAAAAGTTGTTATATAACAAATTTATCATTGTAAGCATTATGTAGTTATGTAAACATCAGTATTATAAATATGTTTGCATATATCATTATGTATTATGATATATATTTTTTGATAGAGAAATCAGTAATATACAGAAATCATTTCGTTTATTTACTAAAATATTAAGATAACATTTGTTAATTTGTAGTAATCACTGAAGGTATAACAAGTCAAATTTTTCTTTCTTTTAACTTGTTATTACAAAAACAGTATTGCTTTATGTAAATATTTAATCATTATGAATAGTATCTTAAATCATTTAAATAAAATAGAAAAATCAGTGTTAGTAAGCTTACTACTTAATGTTAGTAAGGTCACTAGCTAATATATGATACATAATAAAAGTATGATAAAATACCTATCAAAATCCCAACAAAAACCACAAAACCATTTGATAGAATATACGATATTAAATATGCAGTATTATTATTATGTTATATACTAATATTAAATTGTATATTTAATAATAAAATTAAATGTATATATAATAATAACGTAATAAATATATAATATAATAATGTTTATTTATTAATAATTGTTTAATTTAAAAATAAAACTAGTTTATGATTTTAAATTTTTTTCCTTTTTTGACATTTTTCAATAGAAGTTGTGTTAACAAAATAATTCATAGAATGGAACAAAAACCGAACAGAAATTTATTCCTAATAAATATAACCTAGCATGTCCTCATCATATTATGGAGCTTTATTTGTTAGCAACTTTTCTATTCAAGTCACTGTGTCAGGACACTGAGTGACTAGAAGTTTAACTTTTTAAGCGATTTCAAGCTTAATGAAAGTTTGTTGATCTTTTTTTTTATTATTAGTCAGGGGTTGCATAAGTAAATGTCAGTGATTTTTTTATCTTATTTTAATTATTCACCTCCCCAAGGCCCGAGGGGGTCACTACAGTCGAGAAGGCTAATCATTTTTTTTTTTTTTTTTTTGTAAATTGTGGTACAACCCTCTCTCAACTCTTTAACTCCAAAACATGAACCTTGACAACCAAGGCCGCTGCGCGGAGAAATTAAGTTTAGCGCGATACTTCCAAGGACGTGGTGGGAGTCAAACTCCCAACCTCTCGCTTACAAAGCGAGTGGTCTTACCACTACACCACTACCGCATCTGATTACACGTGACATTATTTATCATACACTAAAATTTGCAACAAACCAGTTAGAGAAGACGTTACCTTGTAGCGATTACAATGAGCTACTTAAAAAATCATATTATTTGAAGATGTTCCAGTTTGTGGTTCTATTTTCAAGTGCTCTGGTGTTAGCATTATTCATGTTGGATTAATAAATCTTTTTATACCTTTAAAATATGAATGGAAAAAATACTTTAATCTTGAGATTCCTTCTGAAATAAAGCATTGCATGGTTGCCAAGTTTCTAGATTAATAAAAGATGGAGAACCTGTGACTCCAAAATGGTGATATTTTTTCAATAAACTTTGATTAAATGTTGAATTACTCAATGAAGAACCAACTTGCTTTCCAAAAAGAGATGTTTTCAAAACTGCTTTAGAAATTGTGAGAAGTTTAAAATTTGTTAATAAAGCTCTAATTGCAGTTTCAAGGAGAGATAGAAAAGTCAAAGATATTTTAGTTTGTTAGCAATGGTTTTTGTGTGTGTGGATTTTCAATTTTTAAAGTCTATTATTTACTATTTTTGTATAAAAATAAAACACCTGCAATTCAACTGCAATTAAAAAGATTTCTACATCATATGTAATAGTTTATTATTTAGATAAAGGTTTGTTTTATATCTTCTACAAAATGAAAAATTTTTAATAAATTTTTACACAAAAAAACACATCTAATCTTCTAATAGAATTTGTATTATTAAGTTATATATATATATAACTTATATATATAACTTATATATATATATATATATATATATATATATATATATATATATAACTTATATATATAACTTATATATATATATATATATATATATATATATATATATATATATATATATATATATATATATACACACAAATAGTATTGCGTACTAAGGTAAGCAATCTGACGTCATACTGAAATAGCCTGCTGCTGGGGGCTTCAGTACATACATCGACTGACAAATAGCCTGACTGGCAGTGGAGTGCTGCTACATTGACTGAGGGTTTGGGATGGGGAAGCAATCGTTTCATTCATCATTCTTCGTTTTTTCTTCTTCTTTTTCAAAAAAAACGATTTAGCTTAAGGTAAGCAGAAAAAGTGAGCAAATGCTTATCAAAACACGCTTTATTAAGTATATATATATATATATATATATATATATATATATATATATATATATATATATATATATATATATATATATATATATATATATATATATATATATATATATATATATATTAAAAAAGATAACCCACTATAGTTAACGGTGGGGCTCTCTCATCTTAAAATGATCAAAGATATGAAAGCTCTTCATAAAAATGAGACACCAGCCAAGATGGCATATCTGTCAAATTACTTTATGCTGCATGCCTTGAACTAGTTACAATTTTTAACTATTGTGTCAACAAATGTATTGTACCATATGATTGGCTTTATGCAAACATCATACCCATTCTTAAAGTTGCTAACCCTTTTCTATCAACTGACTAGCGACCAATTGCTATAAAATCTGTAACATACAAAATAGTTAAACATCTCATGCAAATAGTTATATAACATATATATAATATATATAATATATATATATATATATATAATATATATAATATATATAATATATATAAACATATATATAAATCAATTGCTATAAAATATGTAACATACAAAATAGTTAAACATCTCATGCAATAGTTAAAACATATATATAAAACTGCAAATACTTGTAAAATTAAAATTATGTAAAATTTATTGTAAAATTAAAATTATGATAAATTATTGTCAATTAATAGATGTAAGTACAAACTTATTACCTTTGTCGTGTTACAATGCAGTCATCCTCACCTCCACAACCAATAAAACAAAATCCAAGATGCAAGTCTTGCAAAAGTGTCTTCTAAAAGCAGCTGGTGTTAATCTTCATGATTTAAACTAGCATTGTATCATTCCCATTTGATGAACATCTTGATGCTGTAATGTCTCAGCCCACTTTAAATAAATTTAAACAAACCAAATTATCCAATCACAATTAGTCTGCATAAGTATGAATATTCACATTCCACTTTTAATTTTAACACCAGGTCTGCCAAATCATCAGTGTATTTAAACATATCTACTAAAATCTATTCATTACCTACATAATGGCGCAAATAAATCTGGTGCTAACATTATCCTTTAGCATTATCATTTATCCTGTTATCTGAATGCATTTAATCCATTGTCAATAGATTACATAAAAATATTGTACTGTTTGTAAACTAAAATTCAATATTTACTTCATTGAAAAAATTTGTATTAAAAACTATTATTTTAAAATTTTGGTGCTAATGCTATTTTGCTTTTGAAAATTTGTTAATTGTTGTGTTAATGTTGTTTTACTGCATCATATTTGAACTATAATTTTGCATTTCTAAATTGTTGGGCTTATCTTTTTCCACTCCCTCAAAATGCTCTGCTGCTAGTCTTTTAGCATTCTTATCAATTTTTTTATCCTAATATTATTTGACTGTATATGTTTTTGATACTTATTTGTGCTACAGAAACAATTTTTTAATAATTTAATATGGAGTTATGAAGTACTTGTTTAGAGTAAAATCTTTCAAATCATTCACATTTATATTAGGTCATTTTTTAATAAAAGGTTATTTTTTAAGGTCATTTTTTTATAAAATTTTTTAGGTCAATTTTTTAGGTCAAAATTTTTTAGGTCATTTTTTAATAAAATTTTCCTGATTTTTTTAGCTTGCTTCGCAACCCAATAACTAATAAACCAAATTATCGAAGTTATATTATTTACAAACTGCCACAAGTTCGTATTATAGACTTCCAACGTGTCAGAATGAAGGTAGCTTAATGTTTATTTTGATTTTAAAAAAATGTAGACTTTTAAAGGGATTCCAAAGTGCTAAGGCTAGTTGTGTTCATATTAAAGAGAATGTGTAAAAAATGTTTTTTGATTAAAAGTAAATAATAAACATATACAAAGAAAACTTACTTCGTTTTAATTGAAACTCATCATCTCCATTTGAGTAAGATTTTAAAGTCTTTAAAATATACGTTGCAATCTACAGATTTTATAATTTATTCAAGTCAGTTAAAGTCAAAGAGTTAAAAAATGATGTCGTTGTTGGATTTTTTTTTTTTGAATTAATTTTAATAGCTTTTTTTTTATTTATTTTTACAAAAAGTGTTTCTCATCAATTGTATAACTTTTCTATAAATTTTAAAGAAAGCTTAACATAAGTTTTTTTACAATAAACTAAATAAAAAATTTTATTTTTATGTAAACTTTGTGAACTTTTTTTAGATTTATCTAGGCTATTTGTTGCTATGACGTTTTTGTTCTCCTATCAAAATAACATTTTACAAATTCTTAAATTTTTACCTAATAAATAATTTTGGTAAACAACAGCATTTATTAGAGATATTTGACAAATATTTTATTTTTGAATTAGAGAATATTTATGTCAATATAGGTAAAATGTAGATACTGTACAACTATGCCTTTTGAAAAAAATGTATTTGTTGCATTAATAAATAAAGGTGATAAATAAGAAATAAATTGGCAATATTATAATGCCGATAATAAGAAATAAAAAGTCAATAAATAAATAATAAAAAATAATTATTAAAAAAGATAAATAATAAATAAATTTAAAATAAAGCAAATAAATATTGCCACAGATATTGCAAATTAAGAAAATAATTTTAAAATAAAACCCAATGCACCCAGTATTAAAAAAATTGACAATTACAAGTTTTCCATTTAACAATTTCAATTATAAAATTAAAAATGAAAATTAAAATAAATACTGTCAATTAAACTTTTATACGGTTAAATAATACAAAATAATTCTAACAGAATCTTAATAACAATAATAATCATTTAATGACAATAAATATAATACATTTATAACACACAATATTAGCTGATTTATAGCAAAATATCTGAAATATTTTATTCATATTTTTAATATAAGTTAGGTGAAAAATAAAAAATAAAATTCTTTAGTAATTTAAATTCTTTAGTAATTTATGATATAAATTTTTTTTATATAAGTAACAAAACAAATTATTTTGTAATCAATAATGGAAAAAAAAATTCTATCAATTGAAGAAAAAAAGAATTTCAAAATTCTACAATGGTTTCATATACTAAGACTCTTTGGAGTTAAACGCGCTTGAATAAATTATAAAGTCTGTAGATTGCAGCATATATTTTAAAGACTTAAAAATCATATTAAAATGGAGACAGCAAGCTTCGACTAAAACTACAATGTTAGATTTTCTAGGTATACGTTTATTTTATTTTTTTTTTAGTTAAAAAAATTTAGTCCAAACATTTTTTTTAAACATTCCCTTTAATGAACACAACTTTTCTCTTTGGGATCCCTTTAACTAAAAGTTTTTTGTATAAATTATCTAAACAAAGAAAATATTGCAAAAATCTGTTTAAACTTAATATTATTATTAACATATGATAACATAAAATGTTTAAAATAACTGCTAAAAAATATATTTAAAAATTATTATTTCCCTAAAGCTAATTTTTTTAGCAGTTATTTTAAACTTCTTATGTTATTGTATCCTAATTATTAATAGGAAAATAATAGTTATTTATTTATCACTATCCTAATAATTGTTATCTTAATTATTAATTACTAATTATCATTATCCTTATTAAATTATACATTATCCTAATAAATAATAATTGTTATTATTTCCTAAAATTCTAATTGTTATTAGTTAAACTGCCCTAATAACTATTAGAACAAAATAAATATTGAAAGCATTAAAGCATAGCCACAAAATATTGACTAAACTTTATGAACTTTCAAAGAAAACATTTGCAATACAAAAAAAATGTCTAAAAAATAAAAAATAAGATTCAGTACTTTTACAATGAAATTACAATGAAACATAAACAAAGACTTTCCTGAAACTTAGTTATTAAGAAAGTTGTAAAAAGAATAAATCAACCATGAACAAATTTTATGCATTGACATATAAAATTTTGGACAACTAAACTAGTCAAAGTCATTCAACTGCTTCTTAAGTTAACAAAAAAATAAAAATTATTTTTTTCGAAAAACTTAAACAAGATTTTTAAATTTGTATTAACAGTATGAAACAATAACTATCGCATTGTACTGTGTCAAATTGCACATTTAAGAGAAAAATATGCTTTTTTTAAGGGTGTCACATGACTGAAACATTTTTTTGAATATCATTAAAAGCTTTAGTTAGCTTTTTATCATTCTTAGTCTCAAAAGAAGTAAAATTTTGTAAAAGTTTCAATAAATTTATATTTTTAAAAAACGCAGCATGAAAAAATATTTTAAAAATATCAATAAACTTTTTTTGTTATTAATATGCAATAAAATCTAAAATGATAATTTTTATATAAAATGTTTATTATTTTCTTGTATTAATTTAATTGTTATATAATTTAAAGACAGCTGTCATAAGAAATAAATATATGAAAATAACCTAGTCAACTATTTCTTAAGTTGTCCACTTCTTGAGTTGTATTTAGGGAAATATATAGTTTGGCAAGCAATTTTCAATTTGTAAGCTATTTGTGGCAAGAAATGAAACCCATTTGTAACTTCAATGATAATAAAAAATGATCTCTACTTGAATAATTAATGCCTGGATAACACCTGTTGTTTTTTTACATACATACACACATCAATTAAGATTAAATCAGCTTTAATAATTTTTTTTATTATTATGTTGCAGTTTCTGTTTAACTGGTTCCCTGAATAGAAGATGAATCTGTGGCCTCTAGAAGAATTATTGTATGGCCAAACATGATTAAAGTTATAAAATATTATGAATCAGTGTGCAAAAGCAGACATCCCAAAATGTGTCCCATTTTAAGTATTCTTTAGGGAGGAATGTTTCATCTTTGTCTCCAAATGCAATGGTTTAAAACTTTAAAATTCAAGTGTCTTGCTGAGAGATTAAGTCCATTAAAATGGCTTTCAACTGATGATGCAGGTAATGCAAAATGAAAATTTGATGAATTTTTTGGTGCAGAATGTGTTCAATTTAGAGTCTTTAAAATGATAATAAATTTGAGTCCTTTAATGAATCAACTGATTCTGTTGATAAATTTCTTTGTGTCTATTTGCACAAAACTCAAAAGTATTCTGCATTGTTGAAAGTCTGTGCTATAATTTTTGTTTTATCTCATGACCAATAGGCAATAAAACAAGGATTTAGTGTTAACAAGCAGTTGTTAGTAGAAAATCTGCAAGAAAGATCTCTTGTTTCCCAAAGAATAGTTTATGACCACATCAAATGAGCTTCCCAGTGATCATTTAAAAAGCTGAAAGTTAGCATAAAATAGCATAATTTAGTGTTGAAGGAAAATAAGGATCAGTTAAAGGTAGACGAAGTAAGCAAGAAACCTAAATTGATTGATGAAGAATTTGTAAGATTTATTATAAGAGAAAAAAAAGAAGCAGAAATTTTTTTCTGCAAAATCCACCAAAGTTCTTAAAACTGACAAGTTAAGTAGAAGGAAAGCAAAACTTCACTATCTTTACAAAAAGAAATTCCTTTAGAAACACAATTTTAGAAAAAGAACTGGCAATTAAAGAGTTTGATATTTCACTAAAAAAACTTAAACAATTTAAGGAAGAGATTAAATAGAAGTGTTTGATAACCTAGTGTATCTATATATATACAATATAAAATATTTTTTAACTTGTACCATACTATATATTACTATATTACAACATACAGTACTATGAATGTGTTTTAGACCACTTGTATAGTTAGACGTGTTGACAATTTTTTTCCTATATAATTTTTTTCATATTATTATAAAGCATATTCAAGTTGAATAATATATAAGAAAAGTTGAAAGAATATATTTTGAATAAATAAACAAAATTGATAAAGGAACATGAGGGGTTTGTTTGTTTGTTTATTAAAATGTTGTTTCATAATAACTACAGACCAAGCATTCATCTAAATAAGAAATTTTACAGAATGTTATTTGTTTACAAAATTTTACAGAATATAACTTTTAAAATTTAGTTTTTACAGAGTGTTGTGAAAGAAATGCAAAACTGTTTTATATACTGTAAAGTGAACCAGTTTGGAGTGCCATTAAAAATCGATCTAAAACACGGCTCTAATACCATTGTTTTAAAATATTCTTTAAACTGGTTTAAACTGATTCTGGCTCGTACACCTTCATTTAATTTTTTGACTGTATGAAGTGCAGTCATTTTTAAATGTTTAGTTTGCATTTTTAGATTAATTAAACGGGTAAAATATCTTGAATAGAGAGACAAAAAGTTATCGTGCTTCACTAAGAAGGTTATTTGTAGCATCAAATTTCATCCAAAATACGATATTTGAAGATTGCTGTTACAGAAATCATTAAAAAGTTTAGAGAAACTGGCTCTCTTGAAGATAGAGAGAAAAGTGGCAGACCTCCTAAGCTATCAAAAGATGACAATAAATATTTAAAACCTATTCTTTAAAAAATAGAAAAAAAGCATCAACCAAGTTGGCAAAGGACATTAATACAGCATCTGGGGAAAGTTGTCCCTTCTTGTATTCGACAACACCTACTCAAATCAGGATTAAGTGTGTGTTGTAATTAGAAAACCATTATTACAACTTGGCAACAAAGTAAAACGGCTTAAATATGTACAACAACACAAAGATTTGGCCCAGGAAATGTTTAATCGGATTATGTACACTGATGAGTCCAAATTTGAAATTTTTGGAATGAAAAGACGCCAATATGTTTGAAGAAGAATTCAAGAAGCCTATCAGCCCAAGTGTTTAAACCCTACTATTAAACACAGAGGAGGCTCGTTACAAGTTTGTGGCTGTTTATCTTCATCTGGAGTAGGTGATTTAATCAAAATAGAGGGAGAACTGGAAAACGTTATGTGTGTATCCTAAGGTAGTGCCTTAGGATACCCACATAACGTTTTCCAGTTCTCCCTCTATTATGTATGCTGTATCATCCGAAATGAGACTAATAGGTCATAATTTTATTCTGCAGCAGGACAATGACCCAAAACATTGTTCCCAAGTGGCAAAAAAATTATTTAAATGAAATGGAAGAGGAAGGAGTACTGGAGTTGATGACCTGGCCTCCCCAGAGTCCAGATTTGAATATAATTGAACACATTTGGGATTACCTGGACAGAAAGAAGGTGCTCTGTGCTCCCCGAAATGCTTAAGAATGTTTTGAAGTACTTCAAAGAGAATGGCACAATATACCCCAGAATTTTATAACTAATTTGTATGAATCTATTCCCCGGCAAATATCGGCTGTGATTAAGGCAAAAAAAGGACATAGTAGATATTAAGAGTTTTTTATGAAGTTTGACATTAAAGTCAAAAGTTTGTAATTGTTCCATATTTTGTGTGAAATACATGTGTTTTAATTAGTTTATAATATAGAACTATAAGCTTAAAAATTAGAGAAGAATTCTCCGGGATTTTTTGAAAAAATGTAAGTGGTCTAAAACAAATTCATAACATATTCACAGTACTGTATGTTTATATTTATATATAAAACAAATTTTGAAGACAACATATGGGTAATTCCATTTATAACTTATGTTACACGCACAAAAACTTTATAAAATATTTGTCTATTTAAACTGTAAATTAAACTTTTAGCTATTTTGTTTAAAAGCTGTTAGTCTGAAGAATAAAATTTTGAGTCTGGTCGAAAGAGGGTGAACTTATTACTAAAAATGCCACTTAATTTACGTTACACTGAAAACTAGGTAAAAAAATTGCTTCTGCGAATCAGTAAAGCGTTTAGTATTAGAAATTTTTACAAGATGTTAAGAATTCTATGCCAATTAAAAAAATATATAAAAATTTTATCAGAGGTGACCGGGTTAAAAAAATAAACTGTTTTTTTTGATACTATATATCTAACTTACGTTACCTTGTGATTGTTATCGTGAGTTTTTTACTTCTATTATTTCGAGTTAGAGTTATGTATCAAAACAATTTCAAAGGTATTGAACTTATTCATGAAAAGTAATTAACAAAGGAAAAACTGGTGGCACTCTTCCTGAGTGATTTTTCGTAACATTTATAAAAGTTTTCAAATTGAAAACAGTTTTTCCTCAAAACCAAGAGCAACTTTGAAAAATTGTTATAGCATTACAACTTTTTAATACTTATTTGAGTTGTTTAAATAAAGAAATCTTTGGATTGTCAAAGTTTTTACTTTCACTTCTTACGTTTATGCGTATTGCCTTATTTTCATTAGGTTGAATTTTTTAAATGCTGCAAAATATTTACATTTAAATCTTTTGACATATTTTTGAAGAAAAACTGCTATCACAGTTTAGGAGGGAGAGGGATTCAGGTATATGTGATTGTTTGTGACAGGAGGGAAGGGGTTAAAAATTGACAAATATAGGGTGACATGTGCTTTATGGATGACCCATAATAGCATTTACAAACGATTTGTTTTACTAAAACAAAAACAAAAAAATATAAATAATATAATATAATTCTAATATAAAAAAGCAAACGAGACTGACAAAAAGTGAGGAGACTGGTCTACATAAAGTGTCTCTCTTCATTATCTTGAGTTACTCCAGAATCTGGATATAGGCTTCGCGAGGTTGTGAGGCTGCCGTCAATGTTAAGGCTCTTTTAAATGATTTGGTCAGCTACATCAATGTGAACGAGAAGATTGCGAAAGCCACATTAAGAACTTTCCTACGCCATTTATGGTATCTAGGTGGTGACCTTGTTGGCTTTTCACTTTTTTCAAAAAAGTTGTCTACTGATGAAAAAGAGGATATTGTTAGAGAAATGAAGAAGGAGAAGAATATGGATCGAATTAAGTGGGTTTAAGAACAACAATAAACCTCAGTGATCTCGCTTCTTCCGCATTCTTATGATTTTTAAAATCTTTCAGAATAAATGAAACCTTCTTGGAGTTACCTCCTGATTAATGGGATGTTGATGAAAGTTTTCAGGAAGGGCACAGAAAGCTTGAGAAACTGAAAATTGTAACTGATAGGGCAGAGAGGGGAGCTGCAATGATTTCCACTTTCAATGGTTCTTTGACAAGGAATGAAGAGACAAAACAAGCACTACTACAAGTTGTAGAGCAGCATCGTCGCCTCTACCCCCTTAAATGACTTTTCTGACATTAATGAACGATGTGAGTGATTGTGTTCTAGTTTTGTCACGTTTTGTAATATTTTTCACAGTGGTTTTTTTGAACAAAATGAACATAACAAACAACATGCCTCTGAAATATATTAAACTTGACGTTTTTGGACCACCCTACTATACATTATTTACATTATTATCTTTATATATTCTTACTATATCTCAAGTTGTAAAATATTGTTTATATATATATATATATATATATATATATATATATATATATATATATATATATATATATATATATATATATATAATATAAATTAGTAGAAAATCATTTACAAATTTTTTTTCATTTATATATATATATATTTATATATATATTTATATATATATTATATATATATATATATATATATATATATATATATATATATATATATATATATATATATATATATATATATATATATATATATATATACACACACACATACATATGCATATGCACTGAAATATAAATTTTTGATATTATTTAGGAGAGAGAAGCTGCTAAAAAACTATTTAGTGGTAAAAAAGGAGAAATCTTAAAAAAAGAAATTGCTGCAAAGCGAAGCAAGATGTATACATTTTTTGTTATTTTATAAATTAGATGATAAAGATAAAAATGTTAATTCTATATTATTATTATTTTTTTAGTTTTGATATACTTATTGTAGAAATAAATAATGCCATAAAAATATTTGCACAACATTTTATAAAGTAAATATTTTAAAAAACAGTATAAACAGTGAAGAAAAAGATTTTTTTTATTTAAAAATTCATTATCTAATTTTATATTATTTTACTTTTTTGTTTTACTAATTTTATATGTTCTATAATCAAGTTGCCTAGTCATTATTTTAGATTTGAAGCTAAAGATGTTTTAGCAACCAAAGAAGATGAAGCCTTCTTGGCTGAAAAATATAAGGACCAGGAAGCAATAAAGGTTGAAATGTTAATTTGATTTTATATGCTATGGTTATTTATATATACATATATACATATATATATATATATATATATATATATATATATATATATATATATATATATATATATATATATATATATATATATATATATATATATATATATATATATATATATATATATATTGTATGATATTTTGTATTTGCAATAAAATACAAAAAACTCTTGAACGTATAAGAGTGCTCAATAATAAATAAATAGGATTTATTTATATTATTTAATAGGGTACCCGACAATTAAATGGAAAATTTTAAAACGTTGTAGATCTTACAATCCCACAATAAAACGATGCAACTTATGTCTATACGAAAAGTATTTCATAATATCGTACACCTATGATAACTTATTAAATAAGAGGAATGAATTAGTATCTAAATGTAGACATAAAAGCAAGTTCCTCCTTTCGAATTTCGATACGGGTGATTAGGCAGCCGTTTTTAGGTTTTTGTTTTTGTTTTGTTTTGACGACGGAGCACATTCCACTGTAACTTTATATTTTAACGGTTTTTTTTGTTTCTTGTTTTGTATTACATGGCTGATGATTGCCTTTAGGCATGAAACTATTAGTACCAAAAAAAAGTTGTTTTCTTTATTTTTATAAATTAATATATATATATATATATATATATATATATATATATATATATATATATATATATATATATATATATATATATATATATATATATATATATAATATAATGAATAAATGTAAACCAATCCAATAAGTTTAATGCTTGGTTTGTTACACAATAAATGTCACTAAAGTAGTCATTTTTATGAAGGTATATTAACAATGATTGCCACAAAATTTCTGTACTGAATCTTTTTATGATAAAGATCTATTATGGCAGAAGTTAAAATCTAAATTATCCTGAACTTTATCTCATTAAGCAATATATGTCGATTATTAAAGCCATATTTCATAAGAAGTTTAGGATTTAATAGTTTTAAATTTGAAATAAAATATATTGATAACAGTGATTAGGTATTATAAAAATTATGTATAAAAAATTTAAAATTCAATAAATTCTAAATATTAGAAAAAAATATGTGGGCCACATCTGACAACATTGAGGGCCACTTTATGCCCTGTGGGCTTTGTGTTGGACAACCCTTAATTAGTTCCATTATGGTTCCATTATTAGTTCCAATTAGTTCCATTATAGTTCCATTATAGTTCCAATGGAAAATAGTTCCATTTTACATATAATGCATAGAATTTGCTATTTTTATTTTGTAAAAAATGGCAAAAAATGTGTTTCTGTTAAATAAGCAGCCCTCTGGCACCAATTAAAGAAATCTAAAAAAAATTGACTCAATTACTACTTATTTCATTATGCAACTTTTCTGCTCTATTATAATAGGTATTACTATAACTATTACTGTTAAAAAGAATAATTCAATTGATATTGTATATATATATATATATATATATATATATATATATATATATATATATATATATATATATATATATATATATATATATATATATATATATATATATATATATATATATATATATATATATATATATATATATAAAGTGGTAGAAAATCACTTAGCAAATATTTTTTCATTTAACACTGTGTTTCATCAATAAAGACTAATCAGAAAAAACTTTTTCTGATGAGTCTTTCTTGATGAAACACAGTGTTAAATGAAAAAAATTTTTGCTAAGTGATTTTCTAGGTTTGTGTTTTGGAGTTATAGAGTGGAGAAAAGGTTGTAACCACAGCTAAAGTGTGTAAAATCCTGAAAATTCAAAACCAATTATAATTATTCATTTTTCTAGCATTTTTAACAATTGTATACTTTAGTGGACTTTATACTTTTTTATGAAATTCTATTATGAAATCACATAATATTTATTTTATGCATCTTAACTTGGTCTTTAAATGCGGGCACACAAATATAACCACCTACCCCTATCATCTCTCTGACATCTAACAATTCTTAGGGAGAAAAAAAAACACATTGATACAAAAAATCAGTTATAAATAACTTATTAGTTGGTGTAGTGTGACAGACAACAGTTTTCCATTACAGATTTTAATGTTGTACCTTTAAGGGAAAGTTAGTAAAGGTGATTAAACATTTGCCCCAATCACTAAATGTTTTTTTATTTATTCTTTTAATTTGTGTCACAAATCAATCCTTTCCTAATCTACTTTTGATTAGTATGAAAAAATGATAGTAATGTGTTGATTTTATTTTCATAATACAGTAATAAACATATGATACCAGACTCACAGTGGTATGAAATGCTTGAAAATGCAAAATAGTTCAAAAATTAAATTATTTTTATAAACAAACTCAATTTTTATGACTTAATAATTTTCAAACCTTTTGCTTACTTTAACTTTTGATTAGGATATTGCACAAAAAAAGTTGGGTACTCTTGTCCAAAATTGTTTTTAAAAATGCAAAATTTTGGAAAACATCTCGTAAACATGAACAGGTTAATTGCATAGGTTAAATTTTAAGCTTTCTAATGAATACCCATGGGCATTCATTGGAAAGTTTAAAATTTAAGGTATGCAGGAGTAGGAGGGTATGATTTTAAGCATAAATGGTTAGTGATTCTAATCAATATTTTGAGGTTTTTACAGAATTGAAAAGAGTTAGACGAAGGCCAGAAATTCAATTTAAGTTTTTTTTTTAATTTGGTCAATTTTGAAAACGATCTGGCATTCTTTACTTTCTGTGACTTTAAAGTTAATCCCTTTAACTGAGCTTCTTTTAAGAATAATTTTGCTTCAAATCTCTGAATTTGTAAAACTTAAAAGAATTAAAACATTAAAAAATTTAACCTTAAATAGTAAAAATATTTTGATATTTTTCAGTTTCTTTAATTTAATTTCTACCCTGGCTCCTTTTTTTCTTTTTAGAAAGAAATTATTCTAAGTTTCTTGAAGGTTTGAAAATTATTAAATCATAAAAATTGAGTTCGTTTTTTAAAAATTAGTATTTTTGAATTATTTCGCATTTTCAAGCATTTCTGACCACTGTAAGACTATTGGTTGTACACTATGCTAGAGAGAGAGAAGAGACTTCTCTAGAGAGAAGTGCTGGTTTTACTTCAGAATTTTATATATCCCTTATAACTTTTTCATAATCTTGCAAAATAGAGTAGATAAAGTTTTCTTGAAGGCAGCAAGAAGAGTTTTTTTGAAGACTTGAAAAACAATATATTGTCTGTCTGATTTTTGAATATACTGAATATAGTAGATTCAAATTATAGTATATTATATTGAAATTACTAATTATAATTGAAATATGCTTTTTAACTAGCTCTATTGTCATATAAAAAAGTCTAGGAGCATCTTTATAAAAACCAGAATTTTTATGTGCAAACCACGTGGCAGTAAACTTGGACAATATACTATATATTTGTGCACAATTCATCTGTAGGATTCTTTATGAATTCTTCTACAAATTGTGTTGGAATAAACAATCATAATTCATAAAGCTAAAAAACAATCATAATTCATAAAGCCATCCAGCATGGTACATAATAAGTTTTTTCATTAAACATTTTTGGGAAACAAAACCTTTAATTATTCCAATACAGTATTCATAAAAGCTTTCATTGGTCTGTACTTAGATCAGATACATAGGAGTCACCCTCTGAAACATATTCAAAAACTGGTAAATTGCTTTTTGATGCTTTTTGACCAATAGAGCCCTAACATTTTTTTGGATTGTTACTTTTACTGTCTATTTCTGCTATGACATGGCAAAGTGATAACTCATTTTGATAAAGTACACATTAAATGAATTTCACAATTTAAAAGCTTTTCTAAAGAGATCGCTAATCCACACCAGTATTAGCAGAAGTGTCATCAAGTATAATGGCTTCTAAACTTTTAATGCTATTATATTTTTTGAGTACTTTAAGTATCTCAGCCACCATTGTAATTCCATTGTAAATCCATTTTTTATTTCTATGTGGTTTAAATAAATTTTTGAAATAGGTTTACTTTTTGCAGTAAAAGTTAGTTCATGCTTTACTAATTTATTAATAATAGGTTCAGCTAAATTATTCCAATATATGAGCAAATTTATTAAGTATTTTTGTCTTTTTTTCTATATATTCCAATGACTTTCAAATGAAAAACTTTTGAACATTTTTTTATTACTAATTATAGTTGAAATACGCTCTTTTGTCTTAAATTTTTTTTTTTTGTGATAACTTGAGAAAAATTGTTTTGGATTATTATTTAATAGTCTGCCTAAGCAACTTTTTCTCTTACTTATCTAAGTGGTCTATCTGCCAGTTTCCAAATGGCTCCTGCTTAGTTTTTTGATCTTTTAAACACTCTCTTACTAAAACTTGAACCTCTAATTTAAAAAAGAATTAAATGATTTAGTAATTTTTTAAATTTTTAACAAGCATAAAACTAAAATATAGCATCACGAAGAAGAAAAAAAATGAAAAAAAAAAATGTTTGCATTCTTTACAGAGACAAACATAGTGCTTGTCGGAACAACCCTTGCAATAAACATTTGTAAAGGGTAATATATAATAAATATTTGTTGACATAACAGCATTAAAACTTTGCAAAAACTGCTGTGAAATTTGTTATCAGTTTAATCACAAATTTTTATCATACTTGTTTATAAATATTCTAGATTTTTAAATGTGTTTTATTAACTTCAAATCTGTCACCACAATCTAAAAGAGGAACATTAAATCTGCGCAGATATATCAAATAACTTTTAAAGTTTTTTTCCAACTAAGAAACACTAATTTTATGTTTTGAAGCTTTAGATCTTGCTGCTGAAATTACTTTTTGAAATGCACTGAAGAGGTTCTGTAAATCTTATTTCTTAGAGGTTCTGTATATCTTATTTCTTAGAGGTTTTGTATATCTTATTTCTCAGCGGTTCTGTATTTCTTTTTTCTTAGAGGTTCTGTATTTCTTATTTCTTAGAGGTTCTGTATATTTTCTTGTGATTTTCTATATTTTAAAGGTTCTGTATATTTCTTAAAGATTTTTCATTAACAAGTGGAAGATTTGAATTTATGTTTTACCAAAGTTTTCTCAGTTGTAAATACTTTTTCGATCTTATAACAAATTGAATTATCTGTTTATATGTTAGGAAGTCACTAACCGTTCTCAAGGTTGTACAGCATATCAACTTTGATGCCTTGTTAAAATATTATGTTTACTTTTTTTTTGTGTTGCCCAGATCCATATTTGCATTTATTTTTAACATTTAAGATAAGTCTGAAAACAGATATCTAATAAATAATTTGTTAAAATCCAATATTTTAATATTTTATCCATGTTAGATTTAAACAATATTGTATATTATAATATACAATACAATATCTTAAAACATTTCAAAACTCTTTTATAAAAATTAAAAATCATTAAATAGCAAAAACGCAATTAAAAATGGCACTTTTGTTGTTAATTTATTAATTTTTTGATGTAAAATGAAGTTTTATGTGTCATTTTGTCCTATTTTGCAATATTTAAATGGACACATAAAGTTTAGTGAAGCTTTTCCCAAAAAAAGGAAAAAGTTTTGAAACTTTTTAAATTTATTATGTTTTTGTATATAAAAAAACATTTGTCAAAGTGAGCCGAATGTTGACTTATACTTGGTAGTGGCTTAGTGTACATATATCCGTTATATGTGCATCTAAATAATGTAAATTGTAATGTAAAAAATGTGAATGATGTAAAATATATTTTAAAACTCAACTTATTTGTGTATTTTATTGTTATTATTTATGAGAAAACTTTTTATTTAAGGTGGCAATTAGCAATGCAACTACACTTGAAGAAGTTAGAAAGTTAGAATTGTTATTACAGCAAGGTTATGTACCTGGAAAATCAATTGTTATTGATAGTAGTGAAGAATTAGGTTATGGTGAAATTAATGAAGTTGAAATGGACGAATAAATATTATAGTAGACTCATTTTTAAAGATTGTATGACTGTTGTATCAAACTTTTATATTTTTCACACATCTTTAGACTCTTATTTTGAATATAATTTCATTTATTATCACTAACTTATTTCTCTTTTCCAAACATTTTAAACATTTTTTATTCTGTATTAAAAATATTAAAGTAATATTAAAAAAGAAATTTTTATATGCTAGCGGTAGTGTATTGTCACATGAAGCTTTTTTGAAATTTATTTTATTTATTTTTATTTTGTTATTGATCTACTATCTATGCTTATTTATATAATAAATTTAGCAATAGAAAAGATATGCTTACACAAAGTGAACGTGTTGTTGAAGCTGTACTTTCAGTTGTTAAAAATCGACATTTACTTGAATCTTCAATTGAAAATCTTGATGCTCCTGTTTTATTTCCGAAGCATCAATCTCGTTTTATTGCATTTACTTATGGTATTACTGCAGTTACTTTAATTTATGGTGTGTTTTTTATGAACTTTGGTAGTCATAAGCATTGTTTTTCTACTATTCGTGAACAAGCATCGAGAGCAATATCTTCTTTTACAAATGTGCAACCTGATGAACAAGTAATTATTGAGCAAAGAGTCAAAGAAATAGAATCACAAATTAAACAAGTTACAGGTTATAAAGATAAAAAATGATTTTACTCAAATTTGTTTTCAATAAAATAATATTTGATTTTTTAAAATTATATTTTTCTTTTCATTTGATATCAATAATTTTACAAACAATAGGGGATTCCGGACTGCAATAAATTTTATTAAGTTTATTTCTGACGACATATTTTTTTTAACAAATTTTGTGGTAAAGTTGACTTTATTGTGGTAGTTAACTTCCACATCATTGATGACAACAATATATATAGATTATTATATTTTACCTTAACTAACTCTGAAATATTATATTATACCTTAACTAACTCTGAAATAATTAAAAGAAAATGAAAATTTTTGTTGAAAACAATAACAGTCAACGAAGCAATCACACCACAATGCAATAAAATAATTGTAGTGTTTGTAAGTAATACATCATTTATATTATCAGAACCATTGGAAGTATTAATATAGTATTATGGATTAAGTGATAAAGAGTTTCTTTTTCGAAAATGAAACATCAAAGGCAAACTTTTGTCAAAAGCTAAATAATATTATTTGATCTAATAATAATGTTATAGATCATTTTATGTTAACAATAAAAATTGAAACTTTTTAATTTCCTTTGTTTAATTTTTTTTATGCTTTTTATAGTTATTACAAGTACAAAATAAAATTCCAATATTTTTCTATATTAGAATGAAATTATTTCGAATTAAGAAATAAAAACTGCACTATTGAAACTAGTCCCGGTCTCCCCTATAAATTCTGCAAAAATAAAAACAAAAAGTTTATCACATGTACTTTATAATATTTATTTGAAGTGCACAGCTGTTTGTTAAAGATGCTTATGTTGTGTTTTTTTTAATTATAGTATTAATTATAGTATTATAGTATTTAACCTCTGCATTCATAGTTTTTACATTTTTTGGACCTATTATATAGTTGTTTCATTTTTACGCAATGCATTCGTATGCGTTTTAATTTGTTTTGCTTTATTTATATATTACCATCTTTTGATTATTCTAAAGTTCTATCTTTTACATCTTTTGGTCTTGCTAAAGATCTAGCTAATTGTCATGATATAAAAAAGTTATGAAAACAAAGTTATAAAAAAAGTTGATTGAACAAAAAAGCAGTGGTTTTATAGATGTGTTTATTTAAAATACTGCAGATAACCTGATAAACTTGATAAATAATATATATATATATATATATATATATATATATATATATATATATATATATATATATATATATATATATATATATATATATATATATATATATATATATATATATATATATTATATTTTTTATAAATATATATATTTATATATATAGATATTATATTTTTTATAAATATATATGTATATATATGTATATATATATATATATATATATATATATATATATATATATATATATATATATATATATATATATATATATATATATATATATATATATAAATTTATTAAGTTTATTTTATAATTATTTTTTTCTGGTGAAATTATTATTTATGGTTTAAAGTTAATGTTGAGTTTTATCTTTTATTATTAAATAAAATAAATTAGTATTTATCAAAAGCATGCCAATTCAACATTCTAAAAGATTGAGAGGACCACAAGAAACTCTACCATTAACGTCTCTTTCTTGCAAAGTTACTACTTCAACTAAATCAAGTTCCCAACGACAGGATGGACGCGGAGAAAATGAAATAAGACCGATGTATCTTAAAGCTGGTAAGCTGAATTTTTAGATCTTTTTTATAAAAAATAATGATAAATTGAGCTCATTGTTAATACAGATATTGTTCAGTTTTCTACGTAAAATTTAAACAATGATTTTTGAATCATTGAGTAGATTTTTCCGGATTTTTTAAATATGACCTGGATGATCTATGAAAATAAATACTAAAAGTTATATATTAGTATAATATTTTTAACTATTGGTCATTAACAAGCATGTTTTCCACTATTCGTTATAAACAAATAATAATGATTTTCCATTATTGGCCGTGAACAAAGTTAAAATTAATTTAGGAACCACTATAAACGTGTCATATTGCAATTTGTCGTGTTGATTAAGTTTTAAAAAATTCTATTTTAACAAGATGAAGTTTATTACTCTAAACAAAATTAGAAATAAAAAATTAAAATGTTTAAATTTTTTAAATTAATTCTCAAATTTAAAACTACTTTAAGAGTAATATTAAATTAATAAAAGTTTTTCTTAATTTACTCAAAGGTACTATCCATCAAGCTAATGGTTCTTCTTACGTAGAAACATGTGACACTAAGTTAATATGTGCCGTTTATGGACCCCGCGATAATCCAAAGCGTCATCAGTTTAGTTCAAAAGGAAATATATTTTGTGAAGTAACTTTTGCTCCGTTCTCGTGGCACGAAAGAGTTTCCAATCAAGATTCACTTAGTAAAGAATACTCATCTGCTATTGTTCAAGCTTTTGAATCTGCCGTTTGTCTTGAATCTTATCCAAAGGCGCAAATTGATATTTATATTAACATTTTAGAGTATAGTGGAAATTGTTTAAGCTATGCATTTATAGCAGCATCAATAGCTCTAGCTGATGCCGGCATCGAGATGCTAGATTTAGTCACGTCTTGCGAATCTGCTTTTTCTAACGAAACATCGATTCAACGCGTGTGTGTTGATCCAAGTGGCGAAGAAGTTTCACTTTGTAAAGGACGCGTAGTTATTGCTTATATGCCTTCATTAAATAAGATATCTTATTTATCAATGCAAGGCGAAGAAACAATTGATGACTCAATGCAAAACGTGATCACCTGTATTGAGGGGTGTTTACGTATTTATAAATATATGAAAGAATGTATTATGAATTGGACGTAAAAACTCAATAAAAATTATTTTTCGGATTTAGCACTATTTTCTTTATATACAATATATTTTTACATATACATATACTTTATATACCTCTAAATTTTGACTTAATTTGGCATATATATATATATATATATACACACACACACATATATATATATATATATATATATATATATATATATATATATATATATACATACATACATACATGCATATATATATATATATATATATATATATATATATATATATACATACATACATACATACATACATACATACATACATACATATATTTTCATTACTTAAAAAAATATATTCTTTATTAATTCTAAAAACACATGATTAAATAATGAAAGGTTTAAAAATTATAAAATAAAATTTTAACTGTATCTGTCATGTTTGAGTCCAGTAATAAGTTCAACTGTTTCCAAGTGATGGTAAAGATTTCTCAACATGAAAATGCGCAGTTTGTAAGATTTTTAAGTTGAAAACTAAGAATAATTTTTAAACTATTTTTAGTTTTCAACTTTTGTTTTGATTTTGTGCTGCATTTTTTTAAAAAAATGCAGCACAATAAACTCATTAATAGTTCCATAGTTATATCCCAAATTTATTATTGCATACAATCTTTTTAATTATACGTTAAAAAAATGTCAGTTGAGCACCAAGCAAATCTGTCACTAAACAATTAGACGATCAATTTGTCAACGACGATTTGAGTTTTTTTTAATTTGAGTTTATTAAAAAAATGTTTGAAAATTCTCTGTGAAAAGAACTAAATGGCTTTTTGCGAATAAAGAAAAAATCGTTGCAGAAGATTCTCTCAATTTTGCTTAAATGTTTTGTTTGATGAGAGGAAGCACTTTAAGTGCATCGTTTAAACTGTTATCAAAAAATCGACGACAAAGCTGCATTGTATGAGTGAAAAAAAGGGCATCTAAAGTTAATAATAAAATTTGATGTTAAGCCCGGATCACTGCATAAAGGGGCATATAGTAAGAAAAAAATTTATAACTTGGTGTGTATATTATATTTTTCTTTTTTTAAATGTAATATATTCTTTTTTTAAATGTAATATATTCATTTAACCATTTTATTTATGATTATTTACAAATTTAATATATTATAGTACCCCATTGCATGGAGTACGTTGATCTTTTGGAAGGGGTTGTTGTAAAGTATATAGCGTGTAAGTATTTACATTCTATATACTTAGCATGTTCATCAAATATTTTAATAAAATATTAATGTATACTTAAAAATAGCTTGTCCTAGTTTAGTTATATAATTAATAAGTTTTTATATCTATACCGAATTGTTCTCAGTTTAAAAAATACTGCTACGGCGATTAATGCGCTCCCATCTTCCTTACTGCTATTAACATTTTTTTTTTTTTTTTTTCACTGGTGAAATGCCAGTCTTACACCATCCCCTTGAAAAATAATTAGAAGCTGTAATTTTGTGATATAATTATGGAACTATTGTTAAGTTTGTAAATCGAAACTCGGTTCTTGGAGTATTAAGTCAGCCGGAAACTTACTTGCTGCAAAAGAACGGCTTTTTTTCTTTGGGAAACGATTTAGAACGATGTAAAGAATTGTGAAGGTGTTTCTTGATGAAAAGCATAATTTCATGTATTCACCAATACCTAAGAATGGTGCGCAAGATAAGTTCTCTAATGTTTAATTTGTGCTTTAAATTTATCGTGACCTGATGATAAAAACTGCACGGCGGTAAGGTCGTTTTCTAAAAAAAAATTGATCAAAAATAGACTGCTTATCTCAATACTCTAAAAATAGTTTTAACAACCTTGTGAAATTAACTATAACCAAACTTGTATGAGAACTGAAAGTGCCATCATAAGGAAAATAAGCTTTGATTTTTTTGTTTTATTTTTTTTAATGATTCACCCTTCCTAGGCCACTACAGTCGAGGAGGCTACTTTTGTGGTTACAATCCTCTCTCAACTCTCGAACTCCGAAACACGAACCTCGACGACCAAGGCCGCTGCACGGAGCAACAAGTTGAGCGCGGTACTACCAGGGACGTGGTGGGGATCGAACTCTAAACTTCTTGCTTATGAGGCGAGTACTCTACCGCTACATCACTACCACATTTAATAATGATATTGTCAATAACTTTGCTATAAAAAAGTTGGGAAAGTAGATGTATAGATTATTTCTGATATAACAAAGATGACACTATTTAAATGTAACAAACTGACACTATTTAAATGTAACAAACTGGCACTCTAGAAGTAAGTGAAACACTATGAGTTCACACACAGGGCCGTCCCAAACGGGGGAGTTGTCCCCCCCTCTCTCCTTAAAGTTATATATGGATTGGAGTATAGATGGCAAATGTCAAATATCAAGGAGCTTTTTTTTTGTGTGTGTGTGTGTCTCTAGTTGGCAAAAAACATATACGAACCGCCATCTCTTTGGGACGGCTCTGTTCACACAATATGTTATTTGTTTCATAGTTAATAAAACTATACCATTAAATAAATTTGGTAATGCATTATCAATTGTCCTGAATGGCATTGGGCCTCATAGTAAATTTTAGCTTGGGTGCCAACAAAGGTATCTCTGGCCCTGAGTTACAGTCTCACTATTTATCATTTATTTATTATTATCAATTACATTACTCTTAAGACTGTAGAATTAATTGTTCTGGATACAAATGAAAAATGCCAGACACAAAATAAAGTCGCTAAACCTTTAAAGAAAATGAAAACTTTGGATGGTGCTTTTATAAAGGCACAGAATGATTTTATGCCGAAACTAGAAGTATTTTAAAAGAAATATCATTCTGACCACAAATACGTTATTTAGCCAGATTTAGTTTACTCTCACTACGCAAAAAGAGTGAAAAACTATATTAGATTTTATTAAAGAAAAACTTTATTAGATTTTATTAAACTATTAAATGAAATTGATTGGAATCTTTTAACTGAGTGCAATGATGCTAATGATGCATGCAATCTGTTTTTACGTTTGTTTTCTAAACAATACGAAAGATCCTTTCCAAAAATTAGAAAAACAATTAATTCCATAAAAACATAATAATCCGTGGATGACAAATGGTCTTAGAAAATCATCCAGAAAAAAACAAAGGTTATATGAAAAATTTAAAAAAAATAAAACTTAAAACAATGAAAGTAAATACAAAAAGTATAAAAATTGTTTTGAAAGAATAAAAAAGCAAATAAAAAAAAGTTATTATTTTAACCTCTTAGAACATTCAAAAGGAAATAGTAAAAAGACATAGGAAGTAATTAAAGAAGTTAAGGTGAGTTTCCACTCATCCTTTTTTCTACGGGAACTGGATAGGAAATTGAAAAATAATCACTTGAGCATGCGCAGTTTTACTTCGGACAAATTTAAACTTATAATACGCATGCCCACGTGATTATTTTTCCCTTTCCTTTCCCGTTCCCTTAAAAAAACGGATGAGTGGAAACTCACCTTTACAGGAAAAAAGCAATTACATAAAAGCACTATTCCAAATGGAATAAAGCTAAACTCGAACAGAGAAATATTTGATAAGAAAGAAATAGCTGAAAACTTCAACAAATTTTTTATAAACATAGGAAAAAAATTAACAGCTGATATAACTCCTGGAAATAAAACATTCCAACCCTATTTAAAAAAAACTCACTATGTAATGGATGAGTCGGAACTGTCTCTAAATGAACTTCAGACATCCTTTAATGCGCTTAAAATAAATAAAGTGCCGGGTTTGACGATATTAATGTTTATGTTCTTAAAGTTGATTTTGACGCTATTAAATTACCTCTTTTGTTTATCTTCAATCTTTCAATTACAACTGGTATTTTTCCTTGCCAATTAAAAATAGCAAGAGTAGCCCCCGTATACAAAAATGGTGACGAT